CTGGTGTTTTGTATCATCAAAGGGAAGAAGGGAGGTTGTTTAAATCAGATGAAGACTCCAAGGCAACTTGAGAGTTGTCTCCACACTTCATTGGTAGGAGAGGCTAGAGGAAGCAAAGTCAGCAGACTGTTCTAGAAGGCTCTTAACTTGAGCAGGCAGAACAAAGCCCAGTGAGGGGTGAGGGAGGATCAGACTTCTGCATAGTGTGGGGAGAACTTCTAGATTCGGGTAATTCAGCACCACGTGGCCGGCAGACAGGGCAGAGAGCCCTGGCCCTGGCTTTTCACAGTTGTCCACTGGCTGGGGAGTGCTTCAGAAAGGAGTGAGTGGTGGGCAGCAGATGGAATCAGCAGAGAGTCTTCGATTCTTCTTGGAAAGTTTCTTCCAATGACAGCCTAAGGAAAGCCCAGTAAACCCACCTGCTTCTCTGAGTAGGCTGAGAAGCAGACTGACACTTCTGAGAAATTATTGGGATTTCTTTTTCTTTCTTTTTGGCTTTTGGGTTACACCCAGAAGTGCTCAGGCCTTAGTCCTGGCTCTAGGTTCTGGGATCACTCCAGGTGGGGTCTGGAGAACCAATGATATGTGGTGCCAGGGATTGATCCCAGGTTGGCTGCATGCAAGGCATCTTGTCTGCTGTACTATCTCTCTGGCCTCTCACTGGCATTTCTTGAAGCACAGTTGAAAATTGGTAACTAGACAGTCTCTAAGATCCTTTTATTTTTTAATTGGGGCCATCTCACTCAGCAGAGCTTGGGGGACCAGGGAACCGCTCCCAGCAATGATGCCCAGCCTCCTGATGGAGGGGATGTTGGGGAAGACTCTGCTAGAGCTGCTTCTCAAAGTGAAGTTTTGAAAGACAAACAAGAATGAACTGGATGGGCCAGAAGCGTGCCTTTCAAAAGCAGCAGGCAAGGGCCAGAGAGACAGCTCAACAGGATGAGCACAGAGAAGCCCAGATCAAATCTGTGGCGCTGTCCCTCAAGCACTGCCAGGACTGAACCCCTCCCCATTCCCCCTTCTCCCCACCAACCCTCTAGCGGAGTCAGGACTAACCCTGAGCACTGCTTCTACTAGAGATGAGCCTGGAGAAGTCTCCAGGGACTGGATCCTGAGACACATGTGAGCTGATCCGAGACTGAATCCTGAAAGTTCTGAGCTAGGATTATGCATAGCTTGAACCCACAGTTCCAAGGCTCAGAGGCCGCCTGTGAATGTGAGGGAATGTGCCACATGGACATTACTTAAAACTCCTTTAGTCTGGCTCGTGGACAGTCATCTGTTCCTGACCAGGCTCCTGATGCAGGCAGCATGCCAAGTGTCTCCTTCAGCACAGGGATAAAAATACCTCCATCAACCTACCATGTCAGGACTGCCCAGACCAAAGTGCTCTCTGTAGCATGAAATGGCGCACACACACAGACACACACACACACAGAGACACACACACACACGTTACCCCCCACCTCCTCCCACACACACACACACACACACACACACACACACACACACATACACACACACAGAGCCTTCTGAGTAGAATAGGCAGTCTTTGGAAAGAGTTTGGAGAAATCAGAAATGCATAGGGTTATAGTTTTTTTCGCTGGCACACCTGTTTCCTAAAGCGAGGGCTGGCTCAAGTGCCACCCATAGCTTCCTAAAGTCTGAGTTAGCTGCTGGGGGTGAGCTAGAGATGGGGAAGGACAGGGACTCGAAAGAGAGAACAGCACCTCCCACCTAGGGGGGTTTCTGTCACTCAGATGGGGACCTCAGAGGATTGGGGAAAGGGTGTTTGTAGCTAGTGTATGCATGTGTACGTGTGGTGTTTGGTGTTTGTATGCTAGTGTAACAAAGTCAGTGGTTCCTGTTACACATGCACACAGACCAGCTCTGAGCTTGCAAGGACTACCTCTCTGCATGAAACACATACTTTTAAGACGTAACGTTCTATCATTTCTTTCCTATTTGGCTATAAGAACTTCACCATCTAGCAAGATTTTCTGTGAACTGTGATCAACTGTGTGTCTCTCTTTGCTGAAATGTCACTTCCTCAAGGGCCAGGACTGATCCCTTCCATCTTCTCAGAAACAAGCATGCTTAGCTTGCTTCAAGGTCTCAGCACTGACTGTCTTCTTTCCCCACTCAAGGGACAGCTGTCCTCTCTGTAGGAAGAATCATGAAGTTCTTGTCTCCAACCCACAGTCGATCACATTGTGATTATGATTATTATGATTATTATTTTGCTTTTAGGGTCACACCCGGCGATGCTAAGGGGTTACTCCTGGCTTTGCACTCAGGAATCACTCCTGGCGGTGCTCAGGGGACCATATGGGATGCTGGGAATCAAACCCGGGCTGGCCACGTGCAAGGCAAACGCCCTACCCGCTGTGCTATTGCTCCAGCCCCCTATCACATTATTTTTGTTTTTAAAATTTTCAAAGCACTTCAGTATTTGAAATAATCTCAACGGTCTATTAACTTTTCTTCTTCATAAGAACATGAGCACCAAGCAATGGGGCCACAGTTATCCTCTTCATTGCTGTGTTCCCCAGTTTCCCATAACTGCTTGGCATTTCACAGGTGCTGAACTGGAATGAACATGGGATTGATGCAAAAGCAAATGACTAGGGGAACGTGGACTTTTACCTCTTCTTCAAGACAAAACAAAAAGTGAGTATTGTGGAGAGCGCAAAGGATAGTACGTATGAATCCTACTTCCAAACTGGTTGGAGAAGTATCAGCAAAACCACCTGAGAATGATACGGGCAAACTATGGCCAGAGCTCTTCCTCTTGTTTGCTGTCTAGATGCGAGACAGAATTGGAGGCAAGACCGGCAGGGTGGCTGCAAGTTTGAGGGCAGCAGGCAGCAATGCCCTGCTCAGTCCTTCCTACTAACCACCTGGCATGAGACTCTGGAGCAGGTTGTGAGCAACTGCTGAACTGTACTGAGGAGACACCCATCCACAGCGCAGTGAGTTAGGTCAGATACAGAGATTGTGTGTATAACGAGGTATCTTAGTGTGCAAATATTTGGGCTCAGTAGGTTCTTCATCTGTGTTAAGATTTCTCTTAAATTCAGAGTATTTAGGGGGTATGGTGCTGCCAGCAGGTCAATCTGTACCTGTGAGGCGAGTGATCAGCAGCCTGATGGCACCTTCAGACTTCCAAATATCCCAAAATATCTGCTGTGCCTTTGGCTAGACCCCAACAACTTGGGACAAAGTTTACCAAGAAAGTAAACAGCCAAAAGATAGGTATGTGGGAGACACACCCACAAACCACCTCCGGCTCAGCTATATAATTGGAGGTATGGCCTCTCTGGTTCCTGATCAAACTGCTTAATGGTCATGATCTCAGAGACTCAGAAACAAATCTCAAAACCCAGCGGCTTTTGGCAGAAATGTATCCGGACTGCGCAGTAGGTTAGTATCGCCAGGCCACCCCAGGGGGGAAGGGTGCTGTCCCTCTATCTGCTCCCCCTTGGTGGCTCGGTGACCACCATCCACCAGAGGCCATTGGACAGTCAGGTTTGGGCCCACAGCGACGAGACACGCTGGGCCTCATGGAATGGGGGTGGAGCTGGCCCTTCCCCCCCACCCCAAGGAGACCACAAGTCACTGACAACGAAGGGCCTCTCTGGCTCCTGATCAAGCCGTTTAATGGCCATGGTCCCAGAGACTCAGAAACAAATCTGACCCAGCGGCTTTTGGCAGAAATGCGTCCAGTCCCTGTAGTAAGTTACTGGCGCTGGGCCACCCCAGGTGGGAACAGGTTTCGTCCCTTGGCCTGTTCCCCCTGGCGGCTCGGTGGCTGCCATCTTCCAGAGGCCATTGGACAGTCAGGTTTGGGCCCACAGTGACGAGACATGCAGGGCCTCACGGGATAGGGATGGAGCCGGTCCTTTCCTTCCCGTCCCAACAAGACCCCGAGTCATCGCCCACGAATGACCTCTCTGGCTCCTGATCAAGCTGTTTAATGGCCATAATCCCAGAGACTCAGAAACAAATCGTGAAACCCAGCGGCTTTTGGCAGAAATGCATCCGGACCGCGCAGTAGGTTACTGTCGCCAGGCCACTCCAGGGGGGAAAGGGTGCTGTCCCTCTGCCTGCTCCCCCTTGGCGGCTCAGTGGCCACCATCCACGAGAGGCCATTGGACACTAAGGTTTGGGCCTGCAGTGATGAGACGCGGGCCTCACGGGATAGGGGTGAAGCCGGCCCTTTCCTCCTTGTCCCAAAGAGACCCTGAGTCGCCGCCCATGAACGGCCTTTCTGGCTCCTGATCAAGTTGCTTAAAGACCATGATCCAAGAGACTCAGGAACAAATCTGGGAACCCAGCAGGTTTTGGCAGAAATCCCTCCAGATTTAATTGTTAAAATTTCAGAATTTCAAAATTGTGCAGCCACTACTGCAGCCACACAACATCATATGTTATTCATAACCAGGAATAGAAAACAAATTGTCTACTGTTGCCTTTTCAGCAGATCTGAGTGTTGGGGTAAAATCTCAAATAGTAACGGTGGACCTGGTGTCAAAATATTGAATGTAATCAAAGTAGAGAGAGAGTAATGTGGAAATTGTCTGCCCCACAGGTAGGGGGAGGGTGTGGGATAAGGGCATACTGGGGTTTTTGGTGGTGGAGAATGGGCACTGGTGAAGGTACGGGTGTTTCATTGTATGACCGAGACTTAAATCCAAAAGCTTTGTAACTGCTCTCATGGTGATTCAATAAATAAAATTATTAAAAAAATTAAAAAAGCAGTATTTAAATACACACACACACACTTGATCAAGATGTATTAGCTGAAACCCATATTATTTATTTATTCAACAAATGACTGAGCATCTTCCATTTTCCAACCCATGGGAAATGAAGACAAACCCTGGCCCTCAGGGAGCTCACAGTCTGAGAAGGAAAAGACACATAAGGACCTATGCTCTAGAATACGCAAAGAGACCACAGTGGGAGGCAAGAAGCGGAGCAACCTAATTCCTAGAATCCATGGCCGTAGGAAAGAAAGATCTGGCTAATGGGCATTTTTGGTTTACTTATACCCAAAGAATCCTGAGCAGGTATTAAAATGCATATTCTCAGAGCCTCCTGCCAAGGTTTACTCAGCAGGTTGGGATTTGAGACCTGAAAAATTGCCTTTTAAAGTTCTCCATTGCAATTTAAAGTTTGATAACCTATGAGATAAGGTTTGCCCCTTTGAACTGGAATCGAGAATGATCTGCAGATCTGTTTTCGTTCTTTGGTCACACCCAGAGGGGCATGTGGTGCAGGAATGGAAATCAGGGTCTCACATGCAGGGTCAATGTTCATCACCAAGCCGCGCCCCTGTTGCCCTGCACATCTGAAATGCTCATCTGTGAATGCTGAAGGAGACACAGTAGAAGTAGAGAAGAGGAAGAGAGCTGACATTAAGCCCTACTGGTCTAGACATATTAACCCTTACAACAATCCTACAAGGTAGATATTGTTATGCCTTTTTTTCCAGATGAAACAATTAAGAGTGTAAATAATTTGTTCAACATTTATAGTGCTGATGAAGTCAGATTCACCTAACCAAAAGCCTGTCCACTTTGTATACACCATTCACCAGGACATAAATCACTGATGAAACATTACATTTTTCTTTTCCAGATCTCACAGAAAATATAACAGCCAGATGGCACTTTACCATGTTAATATTCAATGTAACTGTCCATGAAAATATCTTTCTTTTGGCAGATGGAGTTTTAGGGCAGAGCTGGGAGGAACAATAAGACAAACAGTTTTTATTACTTTTCCCATCATCTTCTCACCCTTGGCGCAGATGTTATAAAATCATACAAGAACTGGGTGTGTCTGAAAGTCAAAGCAAGTGATAACTGGAGACCCACAAAAGAAACTCTATCTGATGTCAAAGATTCTGGGAACTCAAAACATCCACAAATTTCTAAAAACAAAAAAAGCCTCCAAAACCAAAACCAAGACCAAACAAAACAAAACAACACCCCCCCCCCCCAAATAAAAACACCCCTGTCAGGATGAGATACAGAATCTGCATTTAGAAATAGTCGAATCTTTTAAAAAATTGTGAACGGCTAACAGCTTTTCCAGGTTGTTTAAATAAAGACCATCTGTCTCTTTCTACACAGATTCCAAAAGTGCAACTGACACAGCTGAGAAGAGAACGGGCAGCTCAACCCCACCGAAAGACTTGGGGTCAGGCCCAGACTATGCCGTCTTCTGTGATGAAGCGAACAAACACACGAACCACAAATCGCCATTAAATCCCAAGGCAACTTATATTCATGACATACAACCACATCTGAGGTAGGATGCGCAGACAAAGTGGGGTGACGCTCCATCAAGAAAAGGAAAGGGAGAGCAAAGAGCGGTGCCCTAGGACTGCAGGCCCAGAAAGCTGGTGTGTGGCCAACGGCATCGTCTATCACTGAGCCGAAAGTCACCCCAGGGACTAGACAGAGCAATCATGAACTCCAATGCTGGGGAGCTCTTTTCTTATTTTTTGCATTTTGAGCAACTGTTGCCAAGGATGAGGTTGGATCAGATCAACCCACAGTACCAACACTATGGACAACTATTTGATCGTTGAAATTTTACTGTGTCATGAAATAAAGATAAGCCAGATTTAATTTTATTGCTATATTTTCCCCACAGCCAATCTGCCAGCATTTGCTTCCACTCACTTAAAAATTACCATACTGGCACAATTTTTGGGTTGTTTAAAAAACAAAAACACACACACATACATCTGGACGGATCCTTTCCTTATAAAAGCATTGCTTTATTTACAGAGCACTGATCTGCCTCCTTTGAAACACAGCTTCTAACATCAGAATTAGTGGAGAGGGTCCACAATCCGGTTTGAAAAATAAGTAGATGCTGTACCTATGTGTGTAACTATACCTGAAATCTATGAATAGTCCAAACCAGCTACACTAAAGGTGACTCTGGGGGAGATCTACGGTGAAATCTCAGTCCTGAGGGTAACGTCTGGTTGGTGCAGGGTTTAAGGATACTTGAACGATGCCTTGGGCCAGCCAAGCGGTGCACAGGAAGAGTACTAGGAAGCCAGAACTTACTAAAGCAGGCCTTCAAGTTGATTTATCCTGTCACAGGTTTTTAAAGATGAAGAACCAATCACTTGGAAGTGGACGCAGTCCACATGGCTAGAATGCAAACGTGCTATCACACAGGGCAAAAATCAAGGCAACCATCCTGCAGATCTTTGGCGGTTTCTGGTTATAACTGCAGACACGCAAACGAAGGAATCTCAGATATGCTGGGAAACCATTATCAGAATGTTTGGGTACCTTCATTCCTGAATATCAAGTAATTGGGCTCACCTCCACGATGGCTCATTAGATTGTCCATGATAGATGCTGAGCTCCCTCCTGAGATTTCAAGGGGCTCCAGACTGCCCAAGGTGGGCAGACTCTGGAAGTAAACCTAACGGCTCTAAGTCTTATCCTGGTTCTGTGCACTTTTCAATTGTGCTCCGAGTCCACTCTGCTCCAGTTCAGCGATGACAGACATATATTTGAACTCATTTGGTCTGAAGTTAAAGGTTTCCACCAACCCAAAGGTCTCTTTCCGACTAGTGGCATAGAAGAGCTGAACTTGGTTGGCAATGCACTGTGCCTCCGCGACACTCTGTAAGGGAAAAAAAAGAATAGTGAGGTCCTTCACTGCATGTGGTTCAGAACTCTGGGTCTGAGATTCGTGATGAGTGCGGTACCTCACTGAGGCGGCCACTGCTTTCTGAAAGCCTCCCTATTTCCCATCTTGGTTGGGTGCCCATCACAGAACCCAAATTACCCCCTGTCTATGTTTACTATTAAATTATCATGCTGTGAAGTCTGTCTGTTCCCCTTCCTCAGGGCTGATGATTCCTGGCTCAATGCTCAGGGATAACTCCTGGCAGGCTCGGGGGACCATAGGAGACGCTGGGGAGCGAATCTGGACTGGCTGTGTGGAGGCAAATGCCCTCCCCGCCACACTACTGCTCTGGCTTCTCTCCTTCCTTTTCTTCACTGTTTCTTTCTGAGTAGGAATTCCTCAAGTATGTACTCATTTTGTGTCCCTGAACATAGTGACATGTGGTGAACACTTGTTCAATAAATTAAAGCTTATACTTATTTTTTTCTCTTCATTCAGTTCCTTAATAACTGCCAAGCGTGTCTTTAAAAATACTGTTGGTGCTGGGGTGAGAGGGGCCAGCAGCAATGGGGACAGAACCCAGGTCTGCTCTGTCTCTTGAATCCTGTCCCTGCTCCTGAGTATGGCTTCGAGGTGGGAAAATATAGAAAAGCAGTAGTTATCCAGATCTAGAACTAGTTTGAGTTCTTGTCTGGCAAGACAAATTCTTGAATACAACGTGCTTCTGTTAGCCACCTCCACCTCAGGAAACGAGTGCCGACGCCAACCACGCTCATTTTAAAATTAACCGACAGTCCCTGACATGCTGCCTTTTGCTGGCGACCTCACTTCCCTGTCCTTGTAGATGGCACTTAGTAGCTTGCTTTAATCAAATGGGCTACAGTAAAATGATGTAGAATGACTTCAACTATTAAGTAACAAAAAACATGGGAGGTCCTGTTCATTCCTTCTCTTGAACCACTTGGTCTGGGGAAAATCAGCTGTCAAGTCATGAGAACATTCAAGGAGTGCTGGGGAGAAGCCAGCCTGGTAAGGAAAAGAGGTTCCTGCCAGGAGCCACGAGAGTGGAGCTGGAAGTCCAAGCAGCCTGCTGACAGCTGTACCCCTGACTACTTCTTGGCAGCTGCTTCGCAAGAGACTGGAAGTCAGATCCACCTTCTGACGCACAGACACTGTAGTCATACATGTTGTTTTAAGTTGTAAACATTTGCAATCATTTGCTTTGTAGCCACTTATAACCGATCCATCAGGAAAACTATAGGGAAGAGAAGGGGCCACCCCTTCTAAAGGCTGGTGGCAAGAGAAAAGGGGAAGAGGCCACTCTCTGTGAGATGGCTTTAGAGGCCAGAAAGAGTTCAGTGGGCTGGAGTGTGCTTCGTACAATCCCGAGCACAGAATGGTCCCTGAACACTGAATAGCACCACGAGGCATGGCCCCCCTCCCCACCCCCCAAATCTTTAACAACTCTTACTTTTTCCATTCCAGCTGGATTCCAGGCACTCGTGGACTATTACCATGTTTATTTAGCCAAACTTACACTTGGAAGAGAATGGGAAATTCCTACTAGAACCCATGTCCGAAGTGTACTGTCTGGCTACAGAATGACGGAGCCGGGTTGATAAATACCTGATGCCATTTTCCCTGTGTGCCCCCTCACGAAACGTTCAGGTCATTTCTCACAAGCAGGCACTAATCTCTTAAGACAAACTCTTTAATCAAAAGCCCTTTTCCAAAACTCTGGCAACTTTAAATTGATAGAATTTCGAGCTGGAAGGGGCCTCAGAGACCATGCAGTCCTCATCTAACAGGTCTACAAACCAAAGCGGATGAGGCTCAGGGACAGGCCAAGGTCATCCGTTAGCAAATGGCAGAGCTTGGAGCAGACCTCTGGATGTTCAGCCGTCCTCCCTCCACTTCCCCGGACACTGGCTCCAGGAGGGCGAGATAATTAAAGATTGTCAAGGTCAATAACTCCACCTCATTAAATTTTATCATTTTACACGCAAACACGCCTCAAGAGCAATCCGCTTATGGGCTGAGGATGAGGCTCCTCGCCAGAGCACAGGCCTTGCAGGTGGGGAGCCCCGGGGCTGAGCTCCCGGCTCCAAAGGAAAATGCAAGTGCCAGCGATTTCAAAAGTGAGCGCAGCCCTGTGATCTGAGGCAGACGTCCTGCTCTGGGCCCAACAATCAGCAGGGATGGTGGTTTGGAGGCCAAGGTAGAGGTCTTTTAAGACAAGTCTACTCCAGAGAGCGGGGTTCAAACCACAGCACTGAAAGGCCTCTCTCTCCATAGCTGCCTTGGATCCCTTTAGCTCTGTTCCCGTGGTTATATCCTGGGGTTTTACGTGACACGATTGTTTGAATAAAGGGTTCTGGTCACTAGTGTGAGGACTGTTAATGTGGTAGGGAGGGAGACACAGAGAGGGGGATGACCAGCTGCGTCCTCCATTTTGCCCCCTTTTATTGTTCTCTCTTTGTTGGTTTCTGGGATACCACTGAGGGTGATGAAAGGCTGATTCTGGCTAGGTGCTCAGGGCCAGGGGTCACTCCTAACTGTTCAGGACCATATGGTAACAGGTCCTGGGCCACTGCATGGCAAAGCATGTATGCAAGCCTGTTGAGCCCTGTTTCAAAGAGAATGTTTCTTTGAGAAACATTCCCCCCCTCCCTGTTGTTCAATAAGGAGGTAAATTAACACTCTGATTCCCCCTCTTTTAGTTTCATAGTAACAATCAACTTACTAAGCCTTGCCCACTTCATTCCTTTCATATTCCTGAGGTCATTCTTCCTCTCACCATCCTTCCAGAAGCCTTTCCTATTTCTCACTTAGAATACTGCAGCGGTCTGCTGAATGGAACCCAGGGCCCCCATGTGCAAACATGTGCTCAGCCCTTTAAGGTACTGTCCAGGACTCAACTCCACCCAAGTAATCTTGTGTCTCCTAGCCTAATTTCTGTTTAGCCCAGGTGTCATTTTCAGGGGCTGGAGTGATAGCACAGCGGTAGGGCGTTTGCCTTGCACGCAGCCAACATGGCCGACCCGAGTTCGATTCCTCCACCCCTCTCGGAGAGCCCTGCAAGCTACCGAGAGTATCTCGCCCGCACAGCAGAGCCTGGCAAGCTCCCCGTGACACATTTGATATGCCGAACACAGTAACAACAAAGTCTCCAATGGAGACGTTACTGGGCCCGCTCGAGCAAATCGATGAACAATGGGAGGACAGTGACAGTGACAGTCATTTTCAGAAATCATTTACCTCCTTTTGGGCCAATGGCCGTGTCCCTCCCATCTCACCCTGAGAGCGGGTGTGTCTTTATCCTAGGCCTTACTGCATTCCAGTGAAATCATCTACTGGCACAGATGAAGGACCAGATAAGGCTAACTGCTTGCATATTCTAATCAGTTTTCATTAAAGTTAATTAGTTCAGAAGAAATTTCTAGCTTCCATATATTTCTAGTATTTCTAGTCACTTGGTTTATAGTATTTGGAAGTACTATACCTAAACTTTAAATTCTGATTTTTATATCACATTTCCAGGTTTTCCATTAAATTTTTTTTTTTTTTTTTGGTTTTGGGCCTCACCCAGCAGCGCTCAGGGACATATGTGGTGCTGGAGATTTGAATCAGGGTCGTGACTGCAGTAGCCACACGCAAATCATGTGCCTTATCTCCTGCACTCTCTCTCCGGCCCCGGTTTTCCATTTCTTAACCATAAATCTTAACATGTCCAGTTTTGTGCTACTCCGGAAAGTCACAATTCATTTACTTTATGCAAGGCAAACAAATGTTTGTGGCCTGCTGGCAAATATTATAAGGAAGGAAGCAGATCTGAAAGATGATGGGAACTGCGCAGCAGTTTGAGGTTGCCGGGTGAGGTGTGAAATGCCAGAGCAGAAACAGCCTCTCTCAGCACGAGCAACCACGCTCAAGAGCGCTCAAGGCTGTGCTTTTCTGAAGACCATAAAATAAAACGCAGTGTCTGTGCCACTCCCGGCTGTGCCAAATCTTAATCTTTTTGTTTGTTTTTGGGCCTCACCTGGCTGTGGTTAGGGCTGACTCTCTTGGTTCTGAGTTCAGTTCAGGGATCACAACTTGAAGGGGTTGAAGATTGTCTAAGGTATTGAGCAAGGGTCCCCCATGTGCGAGGCAAGTGACCTACCCCCACTGTATTATTTCTCTATTCCCTCAAATCTTAACCCTCACTGGTAGTTCTGTACCTCCAAATCTCAATCTGAAACACCCATATTTTCCCTATTATTTTCTTTTGTTTTGGGGCCATACCTGGGTGTGCTCAGGCCTGGTGCACTCACCTTGAACTCCCCGTGCTTTCTTTCTTTCTTTTTTTTTTTTTAATTTTTTATTAGTGACTCACCATGAGGTACAGTTATAGATTTACATATTTTTTTGTGCTTGTGTTTCAGTCATACAGTGCTTGAGTACCCATCTCTCCATCAGTGCTCATTCTCCACCACCGATGATCCTAGTACTCCCCCCTACCCCACCACACCTCTGTGGCAGGGCATTCCCTTTTGTTCTCTCTCTCCTTTTGGGTGTTGTGATTTGCAATAGAGGTTTTGAGTGGCCATCACGTTCGGTCTATAGTCTACTTTCAGTACGCGTCTCCCATCCCAAGTGGGTCCTCCAACCACACTTTACTTGGTGCTCCCTTCTCTAGCTGAGCTGCCTTTTCCCCCAGCACTGAGGCCGGCTTCCAAGCCGTGGAGCAAGCCTCCTGGTGCTTATTTCTACTACTCTTGGGTATTAGTCTCCCATTCTGTTACTTTATATTCCACAGATGGAACTCCCCGTGCTTTCTAGTACTGCATTAAATCACTTGGCTAAACCACAGCCTTAGTTGTGCTCTGTTTTGTGGGGGGCACACCCTGTGGTTCTCAGGGGATCTTCCCAGTGCATTACTGGAGGATCACTGCTGGAGGTGCTCAGGGGTCCACGCAGTACCTGGGATCAAACGTGGGCCTCCTACAAGCAAAGTTTATGTGTTCCACCCATTTGAGCCATCATAATCTGAGATCAAATTCCCACTCAGTACTGCCTTTACCCATGCAGTTATTCTCTTCTATGCTTTATTTAGATACCAAAATCTGAATTTCTCTTTTTTTTAGGGGGAGGGTATCTTCCCAACAGTACCACCAGGGCTATACCCCATGATGTAGGGAGGCATGTGGTGCTGGGATCGAACCTCAGGCACATGCATGTGCTCAGCCCTTTGAGCTCCTAAAAATTGAACTTTGTTCCCCTACTTTTTTTTTTTGTGGGAGGGGGCGCAGGGGGAGGGGAATGGTTTGGGCCACACCTGGCAATGTGCAGGGGTTCTTTCTGGTTCTACATTCAGGGATCACTCCTGGTAGGGTTCAGGGGACCATCTGGGGTGCCAGGAATCAAACCCAGTAGTGCTGGGGCCCTACCCAGGGTTATAGCAGCTGTGCATAAGAGGCCATGCAGCACTGAGGATCAAATCCAAGGTCTTATGCTCCAGCCCTGTTAGCCGCCTCCCTGGCCCCTAGAACATAGTCAGGATTTTACTGGTTTATTTGTTTTGGTCCATACTCAGCAGTGCTCTGTGCTCTTGGTGAGGCTCCGGAGACCATATGCCGTGCTGGGCAAAGCAAATACCTTAATCCCTCTACTATCTCTTCAGCCCCAAGATCTCTCTTAAAAAGAGCATCTGAGGAGAATCCTATAAGCTACCACAACCATCCTGGTTTCTCTCCTTCGGGGATACATTTTCAAAGATCCACACCCTGTTCCTAGATTTACCCACTCATAAGCATTACTTTAACAATGCCCCCCTGCCATTATCAGTATATTCCTCTTTACTGGATGATTCCATCAGTACATGAATACAATGTTATTTATTTTATATTTAAATCAAAACCAAAAAATCATTCTTTGTTTTCACGTCTCTCCCTCCAGCTTATGCTCCTTCATCTCTTTCCCTTCAGAGAAAAACCTCTCAAGACTTATCTACTGACTGGGTAGATGGCTCAAAGAAGTGGAGCATGTGCTTCGCATGCTCCAGGTCCCAAGGAAGGGCCAGTCCCCAAGCACTGCCAGTTGTGGCCCAAAAATCAAACCAAAAGCGCAGGGGGAGGGAATATCTTAACTTTGACAGTATCCTTCCATCTACTTAATCTTTTACTGACTTCCTCTTTACATAGAACTTCTTTGCTGATGCTTCCTCATTTCCACAGAGCTTGGGTCTAAGCTCTCTTTTCTTTTCCTTGGTTTTGGGACCAGGGCCAGCAGTGCTTATGGCTTACTCCTGGCTCTGCACTCAGGGATCACTCCTAGTAGGGCTCAGGGGACCATATGTGGTGTCAGGGATCAAACTTGGGTTGGTTGCATGCAAGGCAAGTACCTGCTATACTATCTCTCCACTTCCTTCTAAGATCTCTTTTCTATACTCATTTGTTAACTGATGATTTCATTCAGCTCAAGGCATCATCATTATCAATATTGTTATTATTATTATTTTCTGCAATGCTCAGGGGCTGCTACTGGCTCTGTGCTTAGGTGTCACTACTGGAGGTACTTTGGGGACAAAATCAGGGTTGGCCACATGCAACGCAAACACCTTACCCCCTGAACTGTCTCTCTGGCCAAGACTTTAAATAGTAAGTTATAAGCTGACAATTCCCTACTTCTATCTTCAGTCTGGACCTCACTATTAACCCTCATATATTTCGCATCTATTACTTGGATATTGAACAACCATACTAGACTTAAACACATCCAAAATAAAGTGCTGATCTTTCTCCCATCCCTGCTCCCCCATCATCCTGTCTGTGCAGTAATGGTAACTCCTCCTCCTTATTGGGATTTTGGGTGACTTCTAGTTGAGTGTGATGGGTGGAAGGAAGAATGGGGGTAATGTGACTGAACAGTAGGGAGTAATGGAAAAATAGTTCCAACTTTCCCAGACGCGGGGCTCATCGCTACTTTGAGCTAACCCTGCCCCCCCCCCCCCCCCCCCCCCGTAGCTGTTGAGAGAGAAAAATAAGTGGATATAGTAATAAAGACTCTCAGGAGAAGGGCTAAAGAGATAGTACAAGACTTTTTAAAGCCAGGCATTTACATGGCTGACCCTGGTTCAATCCCCAGCACTACACGGTCTCTGAGCAGTGCAGGGAGTGACCCTCAAGCACAAGTAGGGGCAGCACCCGAGCACTGCTAGGGGTGTGAACGGCCCCCCCACCCCAAACAAACAAACAAAAAAAACCCAAAACAAGAAACAATCTTAGGGGAAAAAAGGCACTGAGGAATCCACTTTCTTATAGCTAGCCTAAACTTACTTAAACCTTGCCAGATAAATGAGACTGAAATGAGCAAGGACTAAACAAAGAGGCTATACAGTTATTAAAAATCTGTTCTTGGCCGTGGACATGCAGAGAACAGATATTGTGGAAATCAGTATGTGGAGCATATGGTCAGTGCTTATCTCTGCAAACAGGAATAGGGAATATCGCTAAAGTCTATGAATGCTGCACCTATAAACAGTATGGAAGAAGATGAAGGATGGAAGGATCTAAGGACCCTAGACTTGGAACTCCTCTCCACTCTGAAGAGCCCTTCTCTTCTCTATAGGCTCTTAGCTGACACTTGAAGAGTCAGATGTCCAACATCGGGGCTATTGGATTTTTGGTTTTTGTGGGGATGCGGCCTCCCTAGAAGAGCCTGGGTGTCACCCTCAGCAACACTCGGCTAGTGATGCAGTACTGCTTGGGCCTGGGAGCCATACAGTGCCAAAGCCTCCACATGAGGCTTCTGTTTCGAGCTATTGTCCCGGCACTAGAATTGTCGAATTTCAGAAAGGTACCATATAATTGTGTATTCTATGGCTCCTCATACTGAAGCAGATTAATATTACCCTAGTAAAATTATATGCCAAGTAAAATTACATTCCACACCAAGATGGAAAATAAGGACTAAAAGTGGACATCAGTTTAAACAAAGATTCAGTTACCAAAAGAGTTCAAGCCATATTAAAAACTGTTTTCAGGGAGCGATAGCACAGCAGATAGGGCGTTTGCCTTGCAATGGCCAGCCCGGGTTCGATTCCCAGCATCCCATATGATCCCCTGAGCACCGCCAGGAGTAACTCCTGAGTACAGAGCCAGGAGCAACACCCCTGTGCATCGTCAGGTGTGACCCAAAAGCAAAAAAAAAAAAAAAAAAAACAACTGTTTTCAGAACTTTCAATCTTATTTTTTGGGGGGTCTGGTTTGGGGCCAACACCCAGTAGTGCTCAGAGACTATTACCAGCCACATTCTCAAGAGTCAGGAGTGAGCGCAGAGCCAAGAGTGAGTTCTGAGCACCACAGAGAATGGTTAAAAAAAAAAATTTTTTTTTGAGAGTTCTGGTGGTGTCTGGGAGACATTGCCCGGGGTCTAACCTGGGCCGCCTACAGGTAAAATATAAACTTCAGCTATTGAACCATTTCTCTGGTCCCCATTTTTTGCAGGGGAGGGCTTTGGGTTACATCTGGTGTTGCTCAGGAGTCAGCTCTAACAGTGCTCAGGAGATCATACGCTGTGCAGAGAACTGAAGCAGCAATATGCAAGGCAAGCACTATATCACTTCTCTGGCTCCCTGGACCAAATCTGAAATCGTGTCTGAATGATTCAATACGAGGATCTGTACTGACCTCAACTTGGAGGAGACTGGAGCAAGACAAAATTATTGTCAACTTGAAGACGTAAATGTATGTAGTATCTGAAACTTTACCTCATGAGCTCTGGCAGAAGAAATATTTTCAGGACCACCAGTTAAAAGCAGAGAGGGAAACGCTGATTCTTACCAGAAATGTGGAATCCATTTCTGCAGTCATTAGCACTATGCCCTTTTCTTCCTTAAGATCAGGGTAGTGATATAAAATCAGCTGGCTGGCAGCAGCATCCCCTCGGGTCTGTAAGAAGGAACACTTATCAGGACTCAATAAGATACCACCACAAAAAGCCCACAATTTCAGAGCAATAGAGAGTCTAGAGAAAATTCTGACTTTTAACTGCCCCTGGTGGCTTGTGACTTGGAGGACTGGTATGCAGGGGGCCAAGAGGCCTGCCAAGGCACTGCGAAACTGACAGTTTGCAAGGTGTTATTTGTGTCTTCAATTGAAAAAGGTTTGGCTTTTTTCCCAGAAAATGTTTACAGCAGGCAGTGAATCCTTCATCATGGCCATATATTTAAAAACAAAATGGCACAAGCAGCTACCAAATCAAGTTCTAAAGAAAGCAATATGCCTGTGTAATTGCCACTTTTATGGACTAGTGCATTTCACAGCTGAAATCTACTCCCCTTGGCTGGCTCTGAAGACTGAGCTCTTTTAAGCTGCAGCAAACAGCTGGAGAGTTTGCACATGGGTCAGATTTGTAATGCAGTTTTAAAAATAACCTGGGTAGAGGATGGGAGGAAAAGAATGGGAACACGTAATGTCATGAGGATGGACAAAACAGGTTACTAGATCTCAAGTCCAGACATGGAAGAATACTGAGTTCAACAGTAACATTTCAATGCAGGAGGAAGTAATTATACACCTAAAAAGATCTCCGGACTTTGTCTATAGAAGTCTGTTTAATTTGTTTTGTCTTTTTGGACCATACCTGGCAGTGTTCAGGGTTTACTCCTGGCTCTGTGCTCAGGGATCGATCACTCCTAGCAGAGCTTGGAGACCATATACGGTGCCGGGATTGAACCTGGGTACGATGCTTGCAAGGTAAGCTTCCAACCCACTATACTATCTCTCTAGCCCCGAGTTTTATGTTTAGTTTTGTTCCACACCCAGCGATGCTCAGGACTTACCCCTGGCTCTTCATTCAGGAATCACTCCGGGTGATTTTAGGGGACTTATAGGGGTGCCAAGAATTTAACCCTAAAATATGGCCCCCTTGTTCTGGAGTTTTTCCACCTGCTATATATTAAGGAGGTCCTCAGACACTAGTCCAACATACCAAGTACGAAAATTCCTTCTCTCACAGCAAATGCCATGGAATCATCATAGATTCTGGTCCTTAAAGTCTGAGCAAGGGCTCTTGGTTCCACTGCGGGGTAGGCCTGATTCCTTCGGATGAGCACAAGCCACTTACCTGAATATTTATAAGTGCAGTGAAGTGGAGCTCGGTTCCAGTCCACTGTCCCACGTAGAACTCATAACCTTCCCTTCTTGGTAGTGCACACAGGAACTGAGGATCAAATACACAAGGGAGGGAGAAATGAATAGAACCACCTGTAACACCCAACCTGTGTTAAGTCCATTTCTTCACTATTTTGTTTCAAAAGCATTTTTAAAAATTACAAATTCATAGGTGATAATATAAAAACCACCAACATACTTCCCAACCCATAGTAGGAAAAATGCATTAGAGATGTAAGTGAAGCTCTCTTGGAACCCATTTCACTGCCACTCACAGTTAATTCTTCATCCTTCTACTGGTGGACTGTCCTCTGGTTCAGGATTTTATATTCTTAAAGTATAGTAAGTGTATACTCATAAAAATAAATAGTACTAGTTGCATATTTAAAAAATCTTACTCCGGGGGCTGGAGAGATAGCGCGAGAATCAAGGTGACTGCCCGGCAGACTCTCAACCCACCTTTGAACTTCTGCCATTGCACATGTTGCCCCCATACTGACGGAGGTCACGCTTGAGCATGGAGCCAAGAAGAGTCTCTCAATAGAGCAGGATGTGACCCAAACCATGACCCCCCAAAACCCAACCCCCCAAAACTACCTAATTCATATTAAACTGTATGTATTCTTTTCTTATTTTTGGGGGGAGTTGTGGGGTTATTTGGGGGTGGGGTGTGCGGCACACCCAGCAGTGCTCAGGGCTTACTCCTGGCTCTAGGTTCAGACATCACTCCTAGCAGTGCTTAGAGGACAGATGCACTGCTGGCAATGGAACTGGGTCAGTCATGTGCAAGGCAAACATTCTTAATACCTGTACTCTCTCCAGTCCCCAAACTATATGATTCTTTTCTAACTTGTGTTTTTCACTTCACATTATTTCTTCTAGAATTTAGTTATGCTGATAAGCATGACTAATTTATTAGTTTTCACTGTTATACATAAATCTACATAAATTCATCAAAATGTATCTGTACTCTTGATACACATTGGGGTCTTTTTTAATTTGCATATGTGACAATGCTGCTATATTACTTATGTCACTAACTGTTGTCATTATTTATCTTATCATCATCTGAGGCTGGGCTGGAGTGATAGCACAGCGGGTAGGGCGTTTGCCTTGCACGTGGCCAACCCAGATTCGATTTCTCCTTCCCTCTTGGAGAGCCCGGCAAGCTACTGAGAGTATCCCTCCCACACGGCAAAGTCCAGCAAGCTACTTGCGATGTATTTGATATGCCAAAAACAGTAACAACAAGTCTCACAATGGAGATGTTACTGGTGCCCGCTTGAGCAAGTCAATGAACAATGGAAGGACAGTGCTACAGTGCATCTGAGGCTAATATTATAGCATGGCTCTAAACATGACCATGATGAAGAAATAGTACAGCAGGTAAGTTACTTGCCTGGCATGCAGTCTACCCTGGTTCAATCTCTGGCACCACATACTGTACCCTAAGCATCACCAGGAGTGGTCTCTAAGCACAGAACTGGACTGAGCCCTAAAGCACAGATGGGTGTGGCCCCAAGCAAAAAAAAGAAAGAGAGAACAACTTTTGTTTATGCTGGGCTATCCCAAAGAGGCAGAGTATAATACCTAGCATGAGCGAGGCCCTGAATCTGATCCCGAGCACAGTATGGTCTACTGAGCAGAGCCATGTGGTCTCTAATACCACCGGGTCTGAACATCCTGGTACTGCTCAGTCTGAGCACTAACGGTGAGGCCTGCACAGTCCGGCCAGATACTGCTCGAAGTGTCCCTAAGGCCCTTGGACACTGCTGGGGAGGGGGGCGCCTTCCCCTTCTTAAAAAGAAGAGAACATTCTTGTTTGGAGGTAAACACAGGCAATCCCTATATGGTCACTTGACTTACTGTTGGACAGGACTGAGCCCGTTTCCAGATCAAATCAAATTTTTCTTTCTGTAGATTAGAAAAAGAAAAAAAAAATCAATTCATAACCAAAACCCACAAAAGGTTTTAACACTTAAATTCACTAAGACTGAACTACAGAACTTCAAGTCAACTATCAATCTTAGTTCCTATCATCTGCAAATCCTTCTTAAGAGAGAGATTTGTGGGAGACAGCCAAGGTGCTGAGCACGGCTAGCAGTCCAACTAGCTATGAGTTCAATGTCAAGTACCTCAAAACCAGGCAGCCCCAAAGCAACACTAGGTGTGGCCCCTATAAAGAAAACAGTAGGTATCTAATTTTTAAAAAGCGACTTTTAATTTGTTCTCATCCCACCTAATGATGCTGGGGGACTACTCCTGGCTTGGTGCTTGGGTGCTATGGGGACCCTTCAGGGCTTGGGTTAAAACTCAGCCCCCCATGCAAAATATGTGCCCCAGCCCTCTGAGCCACCCCCCAGTCCTCCCTCATTAGACCCAGAAGAACAGACAGACACGCTTTGCTGTTGAAAGTTATGTGTAAAGAATGAATACTTTAAATGTTTCAAACTCTACAGGGTGTCAGAGGTATAAGGACATTAAATCTGAGAGAGAGGGCTAAGAACCTGTTCAATGAGTTAGTATCAGAGATCTGAAGTGCAGAAAAGTGCAGATGCTTTTTGAGGTTGAATTCATGAAGTGTGAGAGTATATGTGTGTGAGAAGACAGCAATACTTTTACGACATTGAAAAGACCAGGCTGTATTTTTTTCATGTTAGGTTTTTTTCCCCCTCAATCTTATGCTTAATTAGTACCTGATATTGAACTCATAGCTAGCTGGACTGCTAGCCAAACTCATAGTTTAGTCACTGTCACTGTCATTGTCCTCCCGTTGCTCATCGATTTGCTCGAGCGGGCCCAGTAACGACTCCAAGTTTAGTAATATTTTGATATAAAGTTCTGTAATCCTTAATGGAAGAAAATACTTGGAGAACTGGTGAATAACCCACAACATCAAATGCGCTCTCAGGTTAGAAGTTGGCAGTAAGGAAAAAGTCAGCCGCACCCCGTCCTTCTCACAGAGCTTAATGGTGTAGCCGTAGTCACTGACTAACTCCAAGAGAGCATTTTTAAGTAGGAAACAAGAACACTTGGTAAGAAAGGCAGAAAAGAACTAAGTGGAGAATCCAAGTCAGCTTGGGTACAGGTCATTTACAGAGAAGTGAAGAGAGCTATGCTAGAGGCCCTATCTTGATTTCCAACAATAAGGTTGGAAAACACTAAGAAGAAATAATGGACATTCAGAAATTGTTCAGCAACATGAACTTATGCTGTGCTCCCTTGTCAGGGACTTGACTCACAGAGACATTTCTAAACAAGAAAGAGGAAAAACAAGAGCCATAAATATACCATATGGAGCGTCCAATCTTTGGTGCTCAGGGCATAATAAAAAACCTCCGAGCTATAAATGTAAGTTCTCAAGAGGCAATAAACATAGAAAAAGTAAAGGCAACTGCCTGCTAAGGTTGGAGCCCTGACCTTCATTTCCCTCCAAAGTACTTACAGGAATAACGGCGAAGACTGTATCTTTTGCTGCAAAATACTGCTGCCAAATCTGTACAAAAAAGGAGAGGGTGACATGTGGGTGATCCTTTCAACCTATGCCAAGAAACGGTGACAGCTTTCATTGCTCAGAGTAATATACTATTTGATAACAGGAGGAAAACCCAACATAATACTTTTATTACTAGTACGTGATTACAAAAAAGATTTAATAGCACCTGCTTTTCTAGATGATTAAACTGCAACTCTTAATAACAAATCACTGCCAGAGAAATGGATTCGATGACCTTGTTATTCATTTTTCTCAAGACGTGGCTTTGTGCAGGAGACAGGCTCTCCACCCCTCCCCCCCATATATTCTCTGTTCCTCCCCAAATGCACATTCCCCAGCTAACTGTGGGTCTTCTCAGAAGACCAGGATATAAGTCATTCAGAACCAGGATTTGGAGTCATGCATAACTGGCTACAAATTTCCAGTTCCAATTACCTGCCAGCAATGCTACTTTGGGCAAATTGCCGATACAAAGTAACATCAATGTAGTCATCAACAGAACAGCAATAACATCAACCTTACAGGACTACTGTCACGACTCAAGACTGGTTGAAATAACGAAGGCCTGTGCTTAGCTTATGAGAATTACAATATAAACCAGAGTCCAAGGTGCTTTGAGAACAACAAAAGGGCACCTAATCTAGGTTCAGCGATAAGTTCGAGAGGAGGTGACACTTGAATTAGATCATACAGAACAATCAAGTGTTAACTGGATAAAGAAGTTTATTTTTCTGAAAGACGCAGAAAAACAGAAGTATGAGATGCAAATGCAGATAATAACAGCATTAGCCAAGGCACAGAAATTGGGAAAGAAATAGCCAACCTGACACCCGAGCAAGCTAGTGTTGAAGAATAGGCCACCCTGCTTTAAAATTCTGTACTGGGGGCTGGAGCAGTAGCACAACGGGTAGGCCGTTTGCCTTGCACGTGGCCGACCCGGGTTCGATTCCCAGCATCCCGTATGGTCCCCGGAGCACCACCAGGAGTGATTCCTGAGTGCAGAGCCAGGAGTAACCACTGAGCATCACTGGCTGTGACCAAAAAAGCAAAAAATAAAAAAGATGAATAAAACTGCTGTACTCTGTCAACTTTCCCCAATCCAAGTCACTAGTCAGAGTATAATCGAGGGACTATTATCTCCTAGGATGCAGGCAAACCATTCTATCAGTATAGCCTAACATTAGTTTGCCTATTTTTCCCCCTGTAAAAACACTACCTTCTTAATTATTTTTTTCTTTTTTGTCTTTTTGGGTCAAACCCAGCAATGTTCAGGGTTTACTCCTGGCTCTGCACTCAGGAATTACTCTTGGTGGTGTTTGGGGGACCAAATGGAATGTCACGGATCGAACCTATGTGGGCCTCGTACAACGCAAACACCCTACCTGCTGTTCTATTGCTTTCGCCCTTTTGATTTTTTTGGGGGGGGGGGCACACCTGGCTCTGCACTCTGGACTCATTCCTGACTCTGCTCGGGGGCCCATTTGGGATGCGGGGACTCAAACTCAGGTCAGCTACATGCAAGGCTAGCCCCCTCCTTACTGTACGATCTCTCTAGCCCCAACCTTCTCATTTTAAGGATAGCATATTGTGCCTGCTTTGTTTAAACTATATTAATACAGTATAGAAGCTAACACATACTTTTTTTGTTTTGCAACCACACCTGGTGGTACTCAGGGTTTACTCATGGCTCTGTGCTCGGGGATCACTCCTGGCAATGCTAAGGGAACTCTCTGCAGTGCCAGGGATCAATCTGGCTGGTCACACGCAAAGCAAGCACCTTACCTGCTGAACTATCTTTGTAGCCTCCTACACACAAACATTTTTGAGATTAACATAAGTCCTTTAACATGGCTTACGCTACTTACTCAAATTTATTTTATTTTTTTTCCTTGAGCTATACCAAGAGTGCTCATAGATTGCCAGCATGGTGCTCAGCAGTGCTAGGGGGATTGTGTGGTGTCAGGGAGCAAACACTGGCCTTAACACTCAGAACATGCACACTAGCCCTTTGAGTCATCTCCCCACAAACTGTGTCGAAAGGAACTCAGAATCACTTTAATCAGGACCAGAGTGACAATACAGTGGGTAAGGTACTTGCCATGCAAGCAGCCAGCCCAGGTTCGATCCTCAGCATTCCATATAGTCCCACAAGCCCCGCCAGGAGTAATCCCTGAGCTCAGGGCCAGGAGTCAGCCCCCAAGCACCATTGGGTGTGACCCCAAAACAAAAACTAAACGAAAAAATTAATGAACACAAATTTGTATCTAAAATTATAGTCTCAATGCTACTTGTCATACGATCAGGTCTCTGGGGAGGCCTCTCCTCCTTAAAGGACATGCTTGGTGTCAACTTTCTTTTGGCGCTTCTTCCCAAAGGCACAGTTTGCCATCTCCTTGCATCAGGCCCTAAGAACAGCAGCTAGTTCCTGGGTTCTTGCAGGTTTCTGTGTCTGTCCCTTCACAAGGTTAAGACTCCTCCGAGGGCAGGGAATTCTCTCATTTATCTCTGTGCCTGGCAAAGCCTAATACCGAATAGTTGGTTAATAAATTGAAATAAATGATTTTATTACTCAAAGGGAACACAGAGCAACTGGCATAACTTCCTGAAGGGAAACATGATGCAGCCAAACAAACAAGGGTTTGAGTGCCTGCTTTACCACTCGTGATGCTATCACTTAGCTCTTACAGTTTCTTCAATTGCACAATGGGAATAACAGTACCACTCTGCAGGGTCGTTACGAGAGTTTATGAAATTGTGCATATGAAGCAGTAAATTCTATATCTGACACACAGTGTACTGCTTTTGATTCTCTTAACATATGTAAACATCACGCATGAAACCAAAAGGAATGTCAAAAAGTGGCTTATGATAATCAAATCAGAAGAGGGGAAATGTGACACGAAACACAAACTGCAAAGCAATCAAGGAACATGAAATAACCAAACAGACTGGACAGTTTTTGAGTACTTTGAAGGAAGCATTCAGGAAGTTTCCCGCAGCAATGGAGGATTCTGTCTGCTTGGGGACATGGGAGGTCATTTTGAACAGTGACATAAACTTATGTTTATTCATTTATTTTAAAGCACAAATATAGCACTTGTTCTGTAACACACACTATTTTAAGTGTTATAAACATTAAGTCATTTAATTCTCCAAATAACTCTGAGAAAAGTACTATTATTATCTCCACACTTCACAGAGAAGAGAACTAAAATCAAGCGAGGTTAATTAACTTACTAAATTCCTTCAGCCAGTAAGCAGCAGAGCTCAGATTCTAAACCGGCAGCTTGGTTCTGGAGTCTGTGTCTATCTTAACTAATGCACCATGCAGAACTTAAAGAGGAATCAGTTAGAGAGGGTCTCAAGGGGAAGGGGCAATGGTGAAAAGGAGAACAGGAAAAGCTATTCAGAAAGACATGGGGACAGAGAGAGGACTGCAGGGAGGGCACTCGTTTACCTATAGCTGACCTGGGTTGATTCCCCGGCATCCCAAATAGTCCCCTGGACATTGCCAGGAGTGATCCCTGATTCCTGAGAGCAGAACCAGGAGTAACCTGAACATTGCTGGTATGACCCAAAACCAAAATTAGACAAATAAAAACAGAAAGAGAGTATAAGAATCCAGGTAGAGCAATGATTATTTTAAATAAGATGTGAGTAATAGTAGTGAAAAAGGGACAGGTAAGTTGTTAGACATACATGAGAAAAATTAAGGAGACAAGTTTTCTCATGCCACTATTGTTCTGATATTCATCATTTTTGCCTTTAAATTTGGTTAAGAAATGGCGCTAGGAAACCTATGTCCGTTCCTGCTTTCAGATTTCTTTCAGAGTACACAGTCCCACATTTCCATAAAGGATGCCAACCCATCGGCAGTCATTACCTGTTTTATTTCTTCTGCTGTCTTATCTTTAACCATCTCAATGTTAAAGATTGAACTCAGAGTCTGAAAGAGAAAATAAGAGGGGATTAGCCCTGACAATTAAAAAAGTAAAACAACTGAACTCTATTTGTAAGTCTCGTGGGAGGAGCAAGTCAGGAAGGGAGCGGTGTGCCCAGGGATGCGGGCCCTCACTCAGCAGGACAGCTCTCCTCTACAAGTCTGTAGGTCACCATGTGCTTCCAATGCTTCACCTCACCAATGACCTCTAGAGCACTGTGGAGCTAGGAAGAGAGATCTTGGCTACTAACTGTAACAGCTTTCCAGAGTAAGGTGGCTTCAAATCTGAAAATTAAGTGGAAAACAGTTTTACCCAATTTTAAAAATATGAATTCCTGGGTCCAGGCAGGGATGTAGCTTATTAGCAGGGTATGTGCGTCACATGTTAGAGCCCTGAGCTCAATCCCTGGTTCTCCCCTCTCCTCCCCTTCCAAATCTAATTCCTGCAGAAGGAAGGGCACCATCACATTCCTTCACATTTGCTCTAGCCCCCCAGGACCCAAACTCTGCCAGGGTCATATCAAAGACAAAATTCATAGGAGAGTCAGTGAACCACACAAAATGCACATGTTCAAATTTGCAAATCTCATTACAGATGTTTCATTCGACACGTACCTTGTCCTTAGTGAATCCTCTGCTCATAGATTTTTTCCCTAAGGCATCAGCCTGAAAGACAGGATGAGAAAGATTATCAATATACAATTTATCATAAGGAAAGGACCTACAACCTAGGTGAGCTGTCCAATATCCAAGTAACCGTGTACCTGAGAGTTCTTCATTCTACACAGTAACTACATACACTAAGTGTGCTCTGCCCTCTGATATGCTCCACAGTAAGCCAAGAAAGAGGTGAAAAAAGGAGAACTGTGTTATTTAAGGCTGCTTCCAGTCTCAGACAGCATAGCTGGCCGTGGGCAGCTCAGTTGCCTTGAGCAGTGACTTTCAATCGCCCGTTCAAGGAGACACCTCCTGCCAATGCACAAAAAAGTTATTGCTGCTTAATAAATGATGTGCCTGAATAATTTTCACCTTATATTTTTTAGAAGATATATTTTATTTTATTTTGGTCTTGGGTCACACCCAGCGATGCACAGTGGTTACTCCTGGCTCATGCACTCAGAAATTACTCCTGATGGTGCTCGGGGGACCATATGGGATGTGGGAAATCGAACTCGGGTTGGCTGTGTGCAAGGCAAATGCCCTACCCTGCTGTGCTATCACTCTGGCCCCCTGACCTTATAATATTTGATTTGAAAGTTAAAACACAATCTAGGTGAGGAATTCTGAGGGCTGTAACCATAACTACCCCACTACTTTTCATTACTATGCACTGTAACAAATCCAAGCCTTTCTTTCACAAACAATGTCCACAGAACTCATCCAGATTAGTCAAAATATCTAGTATAGAAAAACCTATCATGGGGTCAGTGACATAGTCCAGGAGTTAAGGAGCTCCCCTTGCATGTGGCAGACCCTGGGTCAGATCTCCAAAACTGCTTATTGTGCCTTGATCACTGCCAAGAGTGACCCCTGAACACAGAGCCAAGAGCAGCTCCTGAGTACTACCAGGTATGGCCCAAATCCTCTGCAAAAAGAAAAAAAAATCTTATTCAAATGTAGCCTATTTTTTGGGTTTACATTCTTACACATTTGGCAGCATCCTAAAATATCTTTCCCTTCATATGCTAGTTGTCCAAAACTCAAGTTTCTTTTCCATACCACTCACCCTCAGGTGTGTGTGTGTGTGAACAAAATCTTCCCTTTGCACAGCTGCCTTCCATCTTTCAATCACTGAGACCAGGGCTTCAGCGTCCCTGAACCCATCCTTCACTGACATTTTCACTTGTAGAAATAAAAGACTTAAGCTCCAAGTGTAAACTTCCTAGCACCATGCACCTGATGACCGCCTGCGGTCCCACAGCAGAACTATGTCCAAGCACTTACACATTAAAATGTGTGCTTTTTAAAAAACTACTTTCCTTTCTATAATGGTTAGGGCATTACATTGATATTTCCCTCTGAAACTGTGTCTTATAATTGCAAGTGGATTATATTGTTTACCTATCATGGTGGAAAAGGAAAGAATTAAAAAATCATTATAAAAGAGAAATGATGGCTCTCCTGTGAGTTTCTCTCAAAAGCTCAAAGTGAAGAAAAGGCTTTGGGAATGGAGGGTATGGGTTAGCCATTAGCCTTCCTCTGTCTAAGTGGATAAGAAAGAAGGGATCTTTTCCAATATAACACTGAAAGTTTAAAATACAGTAATAGTCCCAAGGTTCCACTATCTGTAACCTTGACATTATAAATATTTATTACAGGAAATTACATGTTAAAATATTTATATAGAAGCTGTTTGCACATAAACTGTAACTATGTCATACAAGTAAATGTGCTCTTCAACCTGGTAATAATTAACCTACTGACCATTGATCCTGTTCAGACCAGTTAAGAATCTGATCGATCCTTAAAATTTAAGATAAGCAAAGCAAGCAAAGTTATTCTCCAGTCAAATAACCATGCTGAATTTTCACTGTGACTCCTTACTGAGGACCTCGACCCATGCCTGAACCTCTGCATATTCCCCTCTTGGTTCTAGCCCACTCCAATTTTTCTATGTAGCACCCTGACTGGTATATTATAAATTACAGATCATGAAGTCATTTACTGGATAGTGGCCAAAGTTCTTTGAGAAGAAAACAAGGGACAGGGAGTGAGATCAAAGGGCTCGAGCTCAGGCTCTGCACTTGGAAGTCCTGGTTTCAAAATCCCAGCACCAAAGTAACCAGCAGGGACAACCCCTGAACACCAAGCCCAGAGCAGCACTCCAAGCAAAACAAATTACACTGGAGCACTGTCCTCCCATTGTCCACCCATTTGCTCAGGCAGGCACCAGTAACATCTCCCTTGTGACACTTGCTGTTACTGTTTTTTTTTTTTTGCATATCCAATAGCCATGGGGAGCTTGCCAGGCTCTGCCGCGCAGGCAGGATACTTCCAGTAGCTTGCCAGGCTCTCCGAGGGGACAGAAGAGTTGAACCCAGGTCGGCCGCGTGCAAGGCAAATGCCCTACCCGCTGTGGTATTGCTCCAGTCCAGCAAAACAAATCAAAACAAAAAAAAGAAAGAAAAAAAAGAAAAGAAAAACGTAAGGCAGTGACTTATATGTAGTAAAAGTAATACTGCTTTATTCATTTAATTAGCTTTTTGGTTGTAGGGCCACACCTAGAGGTTCTCAGGGCTTACTCCTGGCTCTGTGCTAAGGGATCACTTTTGGTGGTGCTCAAGCATCACATGTGGAGCCAGGACTTGAACTGAGGTTGGCTTTTGCAAGGAAGGGCCTTATCTCCTGTATCATCTTCAGTCTGAGTACTGATGTATAAAGATTTTGCTTCAGGGGCTCAGGAGACGTAATTTAGTGGTGTATCTACTTTGCATGTATGAAGCTGAGAGTTGATACCCCCCAACTGGCCCACATCGCTTAGTGCAATCCTCAGCTTTGAGCCCTGACAGCGAAAATAGGGGACCCCAGGTACACTGCAACCAACAGTGTACCGGTACCACAACCAAGAATGTTGGAGCACTGTAACCAATAGTGTAACCCCTGATACACTGAAACAACAACAAACTAAAACAACAGAGAAGGGGAAACAGTTATAATCTTATACATGTGTATATAATGAATTGCATCATGGTACAAACTTATATACATATAACTGTATGTATTATGCATATATACATATATATCTATGCATGGGCTGGAGCACAGTGGGTAGGGCGTTTGCCTTGCATGAGGCCAATGGGCCAACCCGAGTTCGATTCCTCCGCCCCTCTTGGAGAGCCTGGCAAGCTACCGAGAGGATCTCGCCCACAGGGCAAAACCTGGAAAACTACCTGTTCGATATGCCAAACACAGTAACGAGTCTCACAGTGTTAAGGGGCTATGCCAAACACAGGAACAAGTCTCACAATGTTACTGGACCCCCTCGAACAAATTGATGAACAACGGGAGGACAGTGACAGTGATGTATGCATTATGTATTTTAATTTTGGGGTCACACCAGCAGTATTCAGGGCTTACTCCTGTTCTGCACTCAGGGATCACTCCTGGCAGGGCACAGGGGAACCATATGTGGTGCTGGGGATCAAACCCAGGTTGGCCACATTCAAGGCAAGCACCCTACCCACTGTGGTACAGCTCTAGCTCCTAAAAATAGTTTTTACTGTGGGCTGGAGCGATAGCACAGCCGGTAGGACATTTGCCTTGCACGCAGCCAACATGGCTGACGCGAGTTCGATTCCTCTGCCCCTCTCGGAGAGCCCGGCAAAGCCTGGCAAGCTACCCGTGAGGCAGTCAATATGCCAAACACAGAAACAACAAGTCTCACAATGGAGACGTTACTGGGCCCGCTCGAGCAAATTGATGAACAACGGGAGGACTGTGACTGTGGGGTCTATTAGGAAAGTTTTTGAAATATTGTATTTGGTTAATTTTCTAATACACAGCTTTCGACCTGCTTTTCCCCAGAGTTGATTCTTATTTAAAAATAGGAGATGGACCAGTGAGATAGTCCAGTAGACAGGGAAGATCTCTTGGATGTGCTGACCCAGATTCGATCCCTGATACCACATAAGGTCCCCTAAGTCTCACCAGGAGTGATCCCTGAGCACAGAGCTAGGAGAAAATGCTGAGCACAGCCAGTTGTGGCCCTGAAACCAAACCAACGAAAAGATAACAGGAACGCTGCGCAAGAGAGACAGTCGAGGAGGGAAGGAATCGCCTTGAATTCAGCTGCACCTGGTTAGATTCCTCGCTCTGCATGTGGTCCCCAGAACACCACCAGGAGTGATTCCTAAGCACAGAGCCAGGAGTAAGACCTGCGCACAGGTCTTACTGGTCATACTTCGAATATGGATATGGTCGTACTTCAAATCCCTGCACCCACATAAAACAATAACAGGGCCTTAGGGGTTGGGGAGACAGTACAAGTGGTCGAGTACATGCCTCATATTATGAGACCCCGAGAAGGATCCCAACCTGCCTCCCACTCAGCAATTTTAGATGTGGCCCCTGCCAGGTGGGCCTCTACAAAAAAGTGACTGGAGTGTATTAAGCACTTATTTCCCCATCCCCACTATCCAGTGTCATGTGTGGCTGGCCTGGGACATGTGACTGCACCCCTGGAAGCAGGGAATATTCTTCTTTTTTTTTTTTTGCTTATCTGTTATTTATTAAAATACTGTGAGATACATAGTTAAAATTTTCCAATACCCATCCCTTCGCCAGTACCTTTCCCAGTTTCTCTCCTTCCATCCCCACTTCCTCTCCCCCATCTCCCTCTCTCGATTATTCTTTTATCCTCCTGTATTACCACTGTGACCTCAGTCTCTTGCCCGGCAGAGCAAGATACCATTTGTAAAAAGGACTGGACTAAGAAGAGAGAGTGTTCAGTGATCCAGCTGAGCCATGAAAAAGCCAAGAGGACAGGGATGAAGATTAGGGTGGAGAGTATTAGTGGGCCTAAGGCAGGGGACACACACACACACACACACACACACACACACACCACAGATGCACATCCAGCGGTTACACACACAGACACACAGACACAGACACACAGACACAGACACACAGACACAGACACACACAGACACACACACACACATGCACGTCCAGCGGTTCCCACCTTCTGTTCCATGCATTTGATAAAGTCACCTTGCTTGGAGTGCCCCACTGGCTGCTTTCGGAACTCACTGCGTTTCTCCAGTCGGGACGCAAAAGCAGCTGGGTCAGACCTGATGGAGAAAACCAAGGTCACGTCACCAAAGCCTTTTTAGATGCTTTCAAATAACAGAGCCCATGGATGCATTCCTACACAGAGAAAGGACACAGACATTCAGAGATAGAAGGAAATGGCTTCATTTAGGCCCGAGCACAGACCTACAAATCAAGAAAATGAAAAAAAAAAAAAAAAAGCCCAGTCACTCAACTACTGTAACATTTTTCTCTGCAGGCTACTCACAAGGGTCCCTCGGATTAAAACTCTAGACACCTGAATCTTGAAGACGAGAAGGGTACTTTGAGGTCGTCTTGCCTGGTTCCCTCCATAGGCAGAAATCTTAGGGGTCTAGCTGGCTTTTACTTGAACAGATCTAGTCTGTGACCGTCTTTCTCTTTCCTAACACTACTCCCCCCACAAAACCAGTCATCTACTCTTTTCCAGACGATTCAGAGGCTTCATGCAGTCTAGCTCCAAGTGGAAGATTTATAGCCAAGCATCTTGCTCACCTTCTCCCCCAGAGATTCTGCTCCTGTAGAGGGGATCAACAGAATTTGTCCTTCAAGCCAAAATGAGGCTGGTCATCAGGCCTGAAGTCCATCTTTGTTAAGAATGCACCAACCAGGGACTGGGGAGATGATTTAGCCACTGAAACACATTCTTTGCATGCAAGAGCCCATAGTTTGATCTCAAGTATCACCAGGAATTAGCCCTGAGCAGCACCGGGTATGGTGCAAAAATACAAAACAATGACACAATAAATTCTTCAGGGAAGTTCTTGGAAATTCAGTGACAAAAACTCAAACCTGAGGCCTGTAAGGTTAAGGCCCAATCTGCCCCACATGTCTGAATGCAGGGCCAGCGGCTCTAGGACACAGGGACGCAGGGAATGAGAACTCAGTGTGTACTCTCCAGTAAACCACCAAGTGTGTTTGAGCACTGTGGCAGAGTGAGAGCCCTGGCAAACAGTACAATAACTGGCACAGGTGCTTGTGACCTCCAGTCACTGAAACAAGTGTGTGTGTAGGTATGGGAGGGGGATGGGAGGAAGGCGAGAGGATAGGAGAGAATAAACACATTTTAAAAAGAAAACTTATTTTGGGGGGCAGTGGGGCTGGGGGGGCAGGCCACACCTAGCGGTATCATTCCTGATGGGCTTGGGAGATCATATGGGGTGACAGATATCAAATATCAGCTGCATTCAAGGCAAATGCCCTACCTGCTGTACTATAGCACTCCAAAAGAAAACATTCTTGAGAGGCTGGATAGCTAGTATAGCAGGTAGGGTTGGCCTTGTATCTGGCCAACTCTGGTTTGATCTCCAGCATCACGTATGATCGATTCCCCAAACCCTATCAGGAGTGATCTCTGACCACAGAGCCAGGAGAGAGCCCTGAATACAATTGGGTGCAGCTCCCAAACCAAAGAATCAAGCCGTAAAACCAATAAAGGGCTAGAGAGGAGGCCTGGATCTGATTCCCAATAGCCAACGTCCCAAAAGCAAGGTCAGGAGGGACCCCTGAGCATATCTGGTATAACTCAAAAGACAAAAACTAACAAAATTCTTGGCCCAGAGGAACAGCATGGGGCTGAGAGGCTGCTTGAGTGCAAGACCATAGCTCAGTCTTGTTCCCACAGGCAGCGAGTACTATCCTGGAAGCCATCCTCGGTGCCCCAAGCAATCAGTGTCCCTCAGCAAGGTGTATAAGCACCACAAACAGGTATGACCAAACAAGCACTGTTCATAACCTAAAAATGTGTGAGCCACATGACCACGGAGTGCAACTCTGATGCGCACATGTGTGAGTGCTGCAGGAGCCCTGGCAAGCGCCACAATCAGGACTTGTGGCCTCAGCTGAGAGTGCACCCTTTGTTGAGCATGTGTGGGAGCACCATCACTGAAGCTCTTGTGAGCACTGTGGCCCAATCTGTGAGCACCACAGCCCGGGGTGGGACCACCTCCCAGCCTCTACAACAAGACGATCAACATCAACAATAACAATGGGAGGGAGAATTAATAATTACAAAAACAGACATGAAAAAAGAATCCTGGGGTCAGAGTGATAACACAGAGAGTAGGGCATTTGTTTGCATGAGGCCCCTAACCTGGTTTGATCCCCGGAACTCCATACGGTTCTCTGAGTCCCACCATGAGTGATCCCTGAGCACAGAGCCAGGAGTAAGCCCTGAGCACTGCTGGGTATGGCCCTCAAACAAACAAAATATTCTTCAGGCTATGTAGCAATGATAAGAGACTCTGAGGAAGGACTGCAGCTGAGAGCATCATGGGAGGCCTGCATGCTCCAAGCACATCTTGGGTTCCCTTCTGCAGAGTGCTTCCTGGTCAAGACTTTATAGGGCAGTTTTCCCAGATGGGTGAGACTGCCCCCAGGGGCATTGGAACAAGGATGGCAGTAGCCTCAGGTGCAATTAGGGAACACTTGGACTGTTTAAAAAAGACAGATTTCCAGGGGGCCCAGAGTAATTTTTTTTTTCAGTAGTTATGGGTAGAACCATCACAGTGAAGAGTTGAACTGGGGGGGTCCTGCTAGTTGGGTGTGGTGCCTGCCAGGTCACAGCTGCCACTTCAGGAGCAAGGCGACTGCTGCTTCTGTGGCAGGTACGGCTGACGGGTGGTCTCAGCAGGGAACCAAGGTCCCCCTGTCCTGTGCATCTTTTTTAATTAAAGTGTCCTGAGTTTAAATCTCTGACTTGTAAAAAGTTTGATTTCTTCTATAAATAAAATATAATCATTTTACTTATATAGTCCTAGAAATATAAAATCTTTTTATGTGAATGCATGGAAATCACTATTATGTCACACCCTAAGTTTATTTTTGGTTGAAGTAATATAATTTTTACTGAAAGTTATTTAGAAAGATGCTAGGGGCAAGAGAGACAAATTTGTTTACGAGAGATTACAGGCTTCTTCAGAGTGAAAATAAGCAAAGAAACACAGAGACAAACATATGAGATACGTATTCGAGATAGAACATGTGTTCAAAGAGCAGACCTATATTCATTTTCTCTAGGCTAAATTTCCAGTTTTTCGATCCCTCTTCATATGTGTGAATTGTGACTCTGGATCCCCCCTCTGGTGTGCCCATACTGTAGATATGGCAGGCCTGGGGCTAGTTACATCTCCTAAGTGGCTGGTATAAAGTGTGACCAAAAACCCAGACAGGGGTGGAACTGGCTCAACAGGGCACACAGCCTTGTTCTGTCCTTGGTTCATACTGAAACTGTGCCAGTGCATTAAGAACCCCGGCTTTAGGAGTATGTCCCAGCACTAATCAGGGTGACGATTCCTTTAATAAATAGCTCAGTGGGGCAGGGGCGACGGCTCAAAGGACTGGAGTACTTGCTTTGCGTGCTGGAGCCCATGCTTGACTTCCCTTACCAAACGGTCTCCTGAACAACACTGAGAGTGGTCCTTGTGTTCCACACTGGAAACAGTTCCTACGTACTGCCAGATGCAACCCAAAAAGGGAAAAAAACAAATTAACCTCAGTGGAGGGTAGTTAAAATAGAGGAGGGTCCATTATGACAATACTAGTTGGAAGTGATGACTCTGGGCAAGAGCGGAGTGTTGAAAGCAGGTAAAGGGATACACATCAGAGCCTTTCAACATCTGTGTCACCAACTACATGCTTAAAATGAGAGAAAGAAAGAAGAGAGGTGCCTGCCACAGAGACAGGTTGGGGCTGGGGGTGGATTGAAGGGGTGGGAGGGAAACTGGGAACATTGGTGCTGGGAAATTACACTCGTGGATGGGTGTTGGGACAGTATGACTGAAATGCAATCATGAACAATTTTGTAATGCTCTATCTCATGATGATTCAATTAAAAAAAAACATCAGCAACTGCCAAAAAAAAAAAAATCTCATCACTGGTCTGAGTGATGTGGCTCAGTGGAAGTGCAAGGGGACTAAGACTCATCCCTGGCACCATATCTGAGCAGTTTGCCAACTCGGATGCACTTCAACCAAATATGGGGACCTCAAATCATTGTGACCTCACTCATTGTGACAATGATAGCAACATTTAAGCAAACAACAACAACAAAAACTCTGGAGGATGGTAAACTGGGTAAAAGGGATCAATTTCAGGGAGGGATGCTGGGAGCAAAGATTCTGAAAGCAAACATGCATAAAGAGGTTGACTTAAACATTACATAGGGCTGGAGAGAGAGCACAGCGACTTCAGAACTGGGGATGCAGTGCACATGCGTGAGACTCTTGGGTAAACGGCCCCCAAATAAAAATCAAAATGACAACAAAACCCCTTCATGATAGCAGCTGTTTGGTTCTAGCCCTAAAATCAGATCCTATCTTGAGCTTCCCTCAACTTGACCTAAGTTCTGCCGACCCCATTTTGCTGGTTCTGTCACATCTCTTTTTCCTAGTCTCTACCAACACGACCTATCCTGTATCCACAAAGCTCTCTCCCATCTACACTTGTCTCATTCAGTTTTCTCCTTGCATGGGCTCCACAACTTACTTCTCTTGTTAGTTACTTAGCTGGGTTATGGGATATACAGAAGTAAGAGAATCCCTGTCTCTGAGTTTCAGGATTCAGTGGGAGAGACAGAGATGCTTATTAGCGCGGAAGGCGGACAGAACTTATGGCGGAAATCTGCTCAAACATTCCGAAATGGTTGAGAATTTGGCTTCCTGCTCTGCGCCTTTGCTGCTGCCGTCCCATTCACTACCTGCAACATTTCTCTCCACCCCATTCCTTGGGTCCTACTGCCACCGTACCAGCCCACAGCATTCAAAGGCAGCTTGGTCCCGGGTAAAGCTAGTGCCCGCCTGTGGGACGCCAGGGAGCAGAGACCCTCTCCGGGCCTGGGGGTACCTCGGGAAGCTCGTTCTCAAGGAGCGAGCAGCGCGCACAAACGCTGATGCGGACGAAGCGGAAAGGAGGACGGAGCCCTCCGCTCCTCCGCCAACGAAACGAATCTGACCGGCTCCGTGACCTCTGCCGGGTCTCTGGCCTTCTCCGACCCTCAGCTCCCGCCTGCTGCGGAAACGGTTCGACGGGGTCCAGCCGCCTCTGACGCCCTGCCCCCACCCGCACTCTCCTCCGCTCGCCCAGGGGCCCCGGCCAGAGCCTGCGCGGCTGGCCCGGCGCGACCCGGGACCGGCCCAGCCTCCTCCCCGAGGCTCCGCGTTCCGCTCCTGCCGCGAGGCGCGGGCCTCCGCTCCGCCCGCCTCCCCGGACCGGCCCCGCTCGCGCTCTCGAGGGCGGAAGCCCACGGGCTCGCGGAGGCCCCGACCCGCGCGCCCGACGGCCCCGGGCCCCGCGCGGAGACCCGTGCGGGCAGCCGGGCCGAGGCGGGGGCGCCCGCCAGCCCCCGCCCGGACCGCACCTGCGCAGCTGCTGGATCTTGTCGCGGTAGCGGGCGTAGAAGGGGTTGGCCTCGAGCTCGGCTCCGGCCCCGCCGCCGTCGGCGCCCCCCGCGGCGCGGCGCACGGGGAACACGCGCAGCTGCGCGGCGGACACGAGCCCCAGGCCCAGGGCGCGGCTGCGCACGGCGCACAGGCCCCGGTAGAGGCCGGCCACCTGCAGCACGGCCGGGCCCGCGCCCGCGCCCGCCATGGCGGCCCCCGCTGCCGCCGCCGCCGCCTCCCGCGCCGCCTCCTCCTCCCCGGGCGCGGCGGCCCCGGCCCGCGGCCCGCGCGTCCCCGCCATCGCCCTCCGGCCCCGCGTCCGCGCGCCCGCGCCGAGGTTCCGCTCGCCCAAGGTTCCGGGCGCCGGGAACGGGGCTCGCCCCTGCCGCGCCGGCCCCGAGCGCGGGCCGCTGCGCCGCCGCCGCCGCCGCCCGCAGGCCCGCCCGGACTCACGCCCGCCCGCCGGGGACCGGCAGCCTCTGCGCGGGCTCCCGAGTCTCCCGAAAGGCGCCCGGCCCGGCCGCTCCTCGCAGCGGGTCCCCCTGAAGTCCCGGGGCACTCGCTGTCCGGGGGTCCTGCGGCGTCGGAGGCGCTTTCGGCCGCTGATCTGCACCGCGCGCCCCTGTGCGGCGAAGAACAGCGCGGTGCGTGCCCTCTGGGGCAGGTGGTATCGTTGTACGGGCGAGAAACCTGAGGTGGTCGTCGGAGTCCCGAGGGATTCGCCCAGCCGTCCTGCCCGCCCACAGCCTCGGCCCACCGCCAACGCCTGTCCCACTACCCCCGCCCGGAAAAGCCGCCCGTTTTATCCCTGACAAGTGCTTGCTCGCTCAGTTTTGGTTAGGGGCCACTCCCGGAGCATCTCGGCGGAGGGCAAGACGTGCAATGGTGGGGATGGAACCCAGGACCTCCCACGTGCTTTGCCGTTTGAACTTCATTCCCTCCTGTTTTGATCACTGGGATGTTCGTTCCTACCCCATCTCCCCAACGCTACCATTTTCTTCCCCCTCCCCTACTCCAAACCGGGTGCAGTTATGGCCAGGTGGGTTAGGGTCATGGGCCTGAATGGACATCCCAGTGCTACCTGCTCTCAGCACAGGAGGCATGGAGCAGCCCCTCTGAGCAGGCACTGATCAACACGGAAGTTCTCCATGGAAGTCCTTTCTGGCAAAAACTACCTGAACCCTCACAAAGAGTGGCCCGTCAGGAACAGGGACAGAGCCTCAACTCTGCTTACTTGGTAATCCATACTCCTGGTGGGTCATCCCCTGCGCAAGGATGCCACGCAAATTCGTGAAGCGTTCCATATTTAGAAAATAAATAAATAAATAAAAATAAAACTACTTAAATAGATTGGAGCCTGAGTAATTTTTTTCCTGAAAAAAGAGCAGTAGGCCAGGTAACTATGGGAACCTCTGCATGACCCAAGATTGCCAACAGTCCTCCGGAATGCGTAATGCTCAGAACCCAGTGACCTGGCCTTTAGGGAACAATGGGACCTGGGCATTCCATGGAGTCTGGATAGCTGGACAGATGGGTAGGTGAACTTCCTCTCTCCAGAGCTGTCTACTGGGAACCAAGGCTTGACTTAATGGAGTTCCCACAGGAAGATCTGAGCTTACCTGGTGGTAAATGTCCCTTTAGTCATTGACATTTGGCCCTTAGGCTTGGGGCCAACATGGAGGGAAGCCCCTTTGCATGTTGCCTGTGCGGAGGAAGCTAAGCAGTTAGCCTATGGATTCCTCTAGAGAATGGAGGATTCTGTGAGGGCAATGACCACATCTCCCTGCCCCGCCAGAGAGAGCACCATGACCACCATTGCTGGGGGCACCCCAGGACCATCACTGTTGAAGGGTTAAGGCATGTTGGGGGCGAGTGGGGTGGCAGAATAGCATTCCCGTACGCAGCTAATGTTTTACTTCTTTGATGATTCTTGCCTTTTCCCCCTTAATGTTTGGGCCATAACTCACTTGGTGCTCAGAAATTATTCCTGGCAGGGTTTGGGGAACCATATGGGGGATTGAGGATTGAACCCACGTCTGGCATGTGCAAGACAGACAGCATTTCTGTGTACTATCTCTCTAATCCAGAGGTAGGTTTCTCTTTTTAATTTTTGTTTTTTGGGCCACACTTAGTGGTGCTCAGGGCTTACTTCTGGCTCTGCACTCAAGGATCATTCCTGGTGGGGCATGGGGTTCTGGGAATTGAACCCGGGTCTGCCCAGTTTCTTAGTGGGAGGTTTTTTTTTTAAATTCTTTGATTTGGGGGCCACACTTGACAATGTTCAGGTGTTTCTCCTTGCCTTGCACTCAGGAATTACTCCTAGTGGTGCTTGGGGGACCATATCGGGTGCCAGGGATCAAATCTGTGTTGTGTACAAGGCAAATGCCCGCCCTGCTGTACTGTTACTCTGATCCCAGGAGGTTTTTTTCATTTTTTAATTTATTTTTTATTGAATCACTGTGAGATAGTTACAAAGCTTTCATGATTGAGTTTCAGTCATACAATGATCAAACACCCATCCCTCCTCCAGGAGGTTTCTTAATGAGAGGCATTGGATGGGTCTAGGAGTGGGAACTAGAAGCTTGACTATACTGGGTTGGGTCATACCCCTACCATTGGCCTAGCTTTTCTTATTTATAGAAGGCCTCCAGGAGAACCCGATTTTTGTTTTGTTTTGGGGGGTCCCACCTAGTGGTGCTCAGAGCTTACTTTTGGCTCTGTGCTCAAGGATTATTCCTGGCGGGGGTTGGGGATCCATCTGTGGTATGAAGGATCGAACCTGAGTTGGCTGCATGCAGGGCAAGGTCCCTTCCTGCTGTACTATTTTCTCTGGTCCAGAGATCCTGCTTTGACTGGGTAAGAGAGTATGAGAAGGTGAGTTCCTGAGGGAAGGAAGGGAAGGAGAGTGATTTAAGTGGATGCCAATGAGTGATGAGTGGCTCAAGGAGAGGAAGGGAAAGTGGCTCACACTAGAAAAGAACTGTCGCCAGCCTGCCTGCATCTTTGTTTCCTTATCATTTCAGTGTGGGTCTCCCTGTACTTCGGACTCCTGGGGCTGTGTTCTGTGATAACCGGCAGCTGCATTCTCTTCCTACACTGGAGGAAGAACCTGCGGCGGGAACTGCGTGCCCGAGAGTGGGTGGAGGCCATGCGCAACGCCACGTTCACCTACAGCCCGCTGTTGTACTGGATCAACAAACGACGACACTGTGGCATGAACACAGCCATCACCACGGGCCCTCGTCCTGCTGCTGCCAACACTGAATCCGACGTTCAGAATTCAGACGTGTGGCAGGTGGACATCCCCGAGAGCCAGGACAATGCTGCCCACCACAGCTCCACCAAGACCCAAGTGCCTGGCTCCCTGCGACCTGCGATGCAGTTGGTACCTCAGTCACTCCGTTCCCCAAAGTCTCAGTCCCATGCCGCCTCCCCAATGCCAACCCCTGTCTTTCAGGAGGTGCCCATTTCCCTCTCCCTGTGCAACCTTCCTCCGATGCTGAACCACTCAGTCTCTTACCCGATGGCCACCCATCCTGAGAGGAACGTGCACTCCCATTCCCTCCCCACACTGGCCCATGGGGACTGCTGCTCTCATGCCAAGACCCTCACTAAAGAACTGTAGGCTCCTCTCATCAGTGGGAAGTGGAGAAAATGGCAGAGCAGGAGAGTGAGCTGCCTGGGAGAGCAAGAATTGGCAGAGGTCAGGGCCCCTCTGCTTGTCACATTAAAAAAAGAGAAACAAACTCCTTTGTGCCTTACTTGTGGTCAGGGGAGCACACGACTTTCCCATTTGATGGAAGCACTTCACTGACCTGGTACTCAGAGTGCCAATCACTGAGTCTCCAAGACAAATGGGAACTGGAGAGTTCCCAGGGGGAGTCTCGTCAGGGCCCAATATCCCTTTATCAGGTATTTATGACTGAAATGTGCTGCCTCCTATAGGATGTCAGGTACAGCTGCCACCAGAATGATGGCTCTTCTGAGTGCATATGGTGGTGACTCCTTTTTTCTGGGCAGGGGACACCTCCCAAGTTCGCTCAAGAAGCCCGGGGCCACACTCAATTGAGCCAGTTCAGTGCAAAGGTAGCAGATGTGAAGCTGCTTAGGGCCCGTGGTGCCAGGGCTTACTCAGGCCATCCTGGCTGTGCTGGGAGCCTCCTGGGTTGCATCTTAGAGGTCCTTTTGGGAACTATGTAGATCTGGAAATTGAGCCTGGACCTAGTGCATGCTAAGCACGCTACCATCTCCTAACCCCAAGCGATGGCATTCTTAGAGCCCATATCACAGCAAAACAAGTTATATATACCCCGCGAGCACCACTGCACTGCTGGTGGAATTGCATTCCATGTTAATATCTGCACTGTAGGTTCTTCCACTCTGGAGAAGCCTCTGTCTTAAACAGATATATCCTCTCCGTGTCCCCCCATGCCCCTCTCAATTTCTCTTAAATTTCTTTGAATAAAAAAGCTGCTTAATTGAAAAAACAAGACCACAAACAAACTGCACTGTATTGAATGCTCATGTGGTTGTCTCCATTTCTAATGCAGAGCACGTGCACTGTATTAGGATACCACTATCCTAATGAAAGATGAAGAAACATGAAGAAACAGTAACCAACGACACTTGCCACATATTTTTGGGGGAGACAAAGGGGATGGGCCATACCCAGCAATACTGAGGGATCACTCCTGGCCCTGTGCTCAGGGATAATTCCCGGCAAGGCTCAGTGAACCCTAGTGAGGTGCGTGGGATCAAATAGCAGTCAGTCACATGTAAGAGCTCTTCCTGTGTACTAACTCTCCAGCCTAATATTTTTTGGGCGCTCACACCTAACCATGATCAGGGGCTACTCCTGACTCTCTGAGATGTTGCAACTGATCTGCTGGGGCAATCGTGGTGTAGGGATCTAAAACCTGGGCGTCCTATATTCAAAGCACATAGTCCATTGAGCTCTCTGGTCCTGCTATATTAGTTTTTGGGAAGTGAGGTGGGGCACACCTGCTGATGCTTAGAGGCTATTCTTGGCTCTTTGCTTAGGAATTATTCCTGACAGAGCTCAGGGGACCGTATGTGATGTTGGGGATTGAACCCTGGTTGACCATGTGCAAGGTAAGTGCCCTACTTGCTGTACTCTCTGGCCCACTGCCATATTTAATGCTGCAGAGCCAGCCTCAAATTTGTCAGTCTGGCATCAAGATCCTGATCTTTTTACCACGTACTATGGTGCCCCTTCCTTGATACATCTTACTAGAAAACACTAGGCAAACACTTGGGTATGTGTCAGAGTTCCTGCTGGCAAAGCTCTGAAATGAACTGGACCGGTTAGACTTCAAGAGCGCTCCCAGGACCTAGACAGAGGGTGACAGAGTGGAGCCAGGGGGATTGACATTTCCTGGATAGATTAATGACTGGCGATCACCAATGGCCAGGTTTGTAACGTGAGAGTTGACACCTATGTAATCTAGACAACTGATTGGTAATAATGGAATAACTGATTGGTAATAATGGAATAAATAATTGGCAATAGTGATGGAATCTAGATAATTTTGTTTCTATTTATACCAATCTTCCCCATGCAGTGACTGATCTAATTTTTCATCTCCCACTTACCACCTGTCCTTGTGCATGAATTGCATTCCATTTGCCCCTATATAATTATTGTTGGATCCCTGAATTAAAGTGTCTATTGGGCTATCGGCCTGTAGTCCACATCTATTGACCATCAGCCGTAGACTACATCAAATTGGCTCCATGTCAGGTCACCGGATACTGCCAGACAGCATCACGTATGTGTAGGGCATATACTTGGTGCACAGATTGGCTTGGGAGAAGGGCTGCAGTGCACCCTTTAGAACTCTATCCAGAATAATGTCCTTTTTTTCCTAAAAGGGATTCACAGCCCTACTAAGATCTGCTCTATGGCAATATTAGATATTTTAGGAAAGGATCCTGAAGAGAGAGAACATCATTTGGTCCCAGTTTAAAGATAAGGTCTAGTTCTGCCCCACAATGTCATCCCCTTTTATTTTGAGAATTAATTTTTTCTTTCTGAGCCGGGGTCAATTCCTCCGCCCCTCTTGGAGAGCCTGGAAAGCTACAGAGAGTATCTCGCCTGCGCGGCAAAGCCTGGCAAGCTACCTGTGACGTATTCGATATGCCAAACACAGTAACAACAAGTCTCAAAATGGAGATATTACTGAGCCTGCTTGCGCAAATCGATGAACAATGGGAGGATAGTGATAGTGACTGTGTTCAGAAATGATCTCTGACAGTGCTTTGGGGAGCAGGATTTGAACTGGGGCTGGCTTTGTGCTTTAATCCATATTCTCTCCTGCCCCTCCTGTTGATCATCGATTTGCTCGAGCGGGCCCAGTAATGTCTCCATTGGAGATTTTGTTGTTACTGTACTTACTTTTACTTTCCTGCCCCACCTCTCTTACTTTTTAAAGGCAATGGAACATTTGCTGTGGATGTGCTCTTATTGACACTCAAAATATAAAACAGGCCTAGGGGGTATGGTGCCGCCAGCAGGTCATCCTGTACCTGTGAGGCGAGTGCATCAGCAGCCTGATGGCATTGTCAGACTTTCAGATACCCCCAAATTGCTGCTTTGCCTTTGGCCAGACCCCAAAAACTTGGGGCAAAGTTTACCAAGAAAGTAAACAGCCAAAAGTTAGGTATGTGGGAGACACACCCACAAACCACCTCCGGATCAGCTATATAATTGGAGGCATGGCCTCTCTGGTTCCTAATTGAACTGCTTAATGGCCATGATCCCAGAGACTCAGAAACGAATCTCGGAACCCAAAGGCTTTTGGCAGAAATGCGTCCTGTTCCTGCAGTAGGTTACTGGGGCTGGGCCAACCCAGGTGGGAATAGGTTTTGTGCCTTGGGCTGTTCCCCTTGGCGGCCCAGTGACCTCCATCCTCCAGAGGCCACTGGACAGTCAGGTTTGGGCTGCAATGACAAGTGGGGCCTCACCAGATGGGGGTGCAACCAGCCCTTTCCTCCCCATCCCAGCAAGACCCCGAGTCGCCACCTACAATGGCCTTGCTGGCTCCTGATCAATCTGCTTAATGGCCATGAACCCAGAGACTCAGAAACAAATCTCGAAACCCAGCGGCTTTTGACAGAAATGCATCTGGACTGCATACAAGGTGGCCGCCACCTCAGAGCTTATAGGAAAGCCAGGTATGAGCCTGCGGTGATGGGGCAACTGCAGCCTCATGGGAAGGGAGCGGTACCGGCTCATCCTTCATGCTCTACTGAGGTCACGAGTTGCCCCCCACAAGCGACTCTCCGGCACGGCCATAGCTCCAGAGGCAAAAGGATTTAATCCAGTAATCCAGAGCCCGGTAGCTTGCAGCAGGTGAATGGACCATGCGTTAAACTACGGCACCATGCCACCTCCCCGGGAGGGAAAGGGTGTTGCTCCCTTCCGCCTTCCCCCCCCCCCCCCGCCGCAGCAAGGTGGCCACTGCCTCAGAGCTTATTGGAAATCCAGGTATGAGCCAGCGGTGATGGGGCAAATGCAGTCTCATGGGAAGGGGGACGGTACCGGCTCGTCCATCACACCCTGCTGAGGTCATGAGTTGTCCCCCACAAGTGGCTCTCTGGCACAGCCATGGCTCCAGAGGAAAAAGGACTTAGTCCAGAGCCTGGCAGCTTGCAGCAGAAAAGTGAATGGACCATGCGTTAAACTCTGGCGCGATGCCTTCCTGTGAGGGAAAGGGTATTGCTCTCTTTTGCCCTCCCCCCTCTCCCCCCCCCCCCCCCGGGCCACAAGGTGGCTGCCACCTCAGAGCTTATAGGAAAGCCAGGTATGAGCCAGTGGTGACGGGGCAACTGCAGTCTCATGGGAAGGGGGGCGGTACCGGCTTGTCCTTCACGCCCTACCAAAGTCACAAGTTGCCCCCCACGAATGACTCTCTGGTATAGCAATAACACCAGATGTACAGAAACCAATCTCGTAATTATCTGGCTCTTTGCAGAAATCCAAAATCAATATATGATTCTCATAACCTGCTATAGAAAACAAAGTATTTCACAATGCCTTTTCAGCATTTCTGATTGTTGGGGGGAAATTCTAAACAATAAGTAAAGTAAGTAAAGGCCCTCCCGTTGATCGTCGATTTGCTCGAGCGGGCCCAGTAACGTCTCCATTGGAGACTTTGTTGTTACTGTGTCTGGCATATCGAATACTCTCGGTAGCTTGCCGGGCTCTCCGAGAGGGGCGGAGGAATCGAACTCGGGTCGGCCATGTTGGCCGCGTGTAAGGCGAACGCCCTACCCGCTGTGCTATCGCTCCAGCCCCAATAATGGTGCATCTTTTGTCGAAATAATGAATGTAATCAATGTAGAAAAGAGTTAAGTAGAAATCATCTGCCTTACAGGCACTGGGAGGGTTGGGAGGGGGGTATATTGGGGTCCTTGGTGGTGAAAAATGAGTAGTGGTGAAGGAAGAGGTGTTTGATTATTGTTATGACCGAGACTTAAACCTGAAAGCTCAGTAACTTTTCCCACAGTGATTCAATAAATAAAGAAGAAAAATAAATAAATAAAACTATGAAAAACAAAAAAAAAAAACCAAAACAACAGGCCTAAAGGAGGCTCAAGCTGATGGGGATGGATGATAGGTTCATTCTTCCCTCCCACTGTCCTCCCAGGGTGGAGGCTGAAGCAGGAGACTGAGCTTCCTCAGAGAAAATTCTGTAGTTCATCAGGAAGATTTTTCACCATTACCTTGGATCCACCATCTCTTAATCCCTGCTTTCAAAAGGAGGACATTGTTGGTAAAAATAGGGTTCAGAGCATATATTTTAGTAATCACGGTTGGGAAAGAGCCTTTAGTCATAGACACAGTGGGAGAAAAAGAACTGTTTTATTTCAATCAATGAAAATGGCTGGATTACTGAAAATGAAACAAGCAAAGCTCAAATGATAAATTCACTCCCCAAACAGAACCAAAAGTGTACGTATATTACCAAAATGCTCAACTAGCGTGGATTTACATTTCTTAATATGAGAAAGAAAGGTAGGTGAGATTCATATGATAAATAGTACACGCTCTATAAAGTCTTAGGAACGCCCAAATGTGTTTTGGATATGAAGGAAGGTACCACATCTAGCTGGTGTTGGGAAGCAAGCCAATGAGGTGTGCAGCAACAAAAGCTGTTACTAAAAGCAAGTCAAGAGCAGGCCATTATGAGTATGACCCCACCACAGTCAGCATCTTCAACCGTTACCAGCAAGGGCAGCCAGGTGGGGCAGTCAGGGCAGGCTGGGGGCTCTGTCCAGTGGCCGTGAAGTGAATCTGAAATGCTACAGAAAGGGACCACGGGCAGCAGCAGGCACAGCTGGTCCCCTCTAGCTCTGCTGCTCGCAGATGCCACGACAGGCCTTCCTCACCCGTTTGCTGCTTCTCTTCTCGAAACAACTTTTTACCTCTCGGACTCTAGGCTTCATACCCTGTATCACAAGGCAAAAGGCAAAAGGCCCAGGGAAGTGTTCTGGGCATCTCAGGACAGCAGCAGCAGGAGCTATCAGAGGGAAAAGGCCAACATACTTAAAACCAAAAAGCTCGCCACCACAACCCAACATTCCTCCCGGAGCCGAGGCGGCAGCTGACTGGTTGGCTAGGCTGCTTGCAAACCGAAACTCCAAATTCACACTGAACAACAGGTGTTTAGGGATCTCTTTCAAAGCCAGTGAGTCTGCTCAGTCCCTCAGGACACTACAGTTCTGCCAGGGAAACAGGACACTTTCTTTTTTTTGCTTTTTGGGTCACACCCTGCGATGCACAGAGGTTACTCCTGGCACATATACTCAGGAATGACTCCTGGCGGTGCTCAGAGGACCATATGGGATGCTGGGATTCGAACCCAGGTTGGCCACGTGCAAGGCAAACGCCGTACCTGTTGTGCTATCACTCCAGCCCCAAGAGACAGGACACTTTCTAAGGCAGGCAAGTACATATGTGAGCATGACATAGACATTCTTGCCAACTGGGTAGCAGGAGAGGACAGTGATGGCTAACTGCATCAAGGATGATGCCAGCTGGAAAAGCCAGTTGGGAGGAACTAAGGATACATTAAAGAACTAAAACGAAACTGACTTCTCCATGTACCTGATATGACAGCACACACAACAAAGAGTTAAGGTGTCTTCCAAGTATCTGCCTATGAATAAGAATTTGAAACTAAAAAAGGACAAGCTACATTACCCTCAAGTATATTTCATATAAATCAGTTCTCAAAAAATACCTTCCAGGTACACTCACACTATCTACGGTACAATATATACAATAGAGCAGTATAATTCAATTTATTGCTAGAATTTTATTTGGTTGTTACAAAATCTGTAAGGGCATATATATTAAAAAAAGGGGGGGGGGGAAAGGTTGAGGGAGGCAGGGGAATGAAAGGCAGCCGAAGAGTACAACTTATCTTCAAGTTACCTAAAGTGCCAGTCTGACTTTGTACTATACTTTTGTTTTGGGGGGAGGGGTCACACCTGGCAGTGCTGAGGGATCACTCCTGTGCACAGGGGACCATATGGGTTGCTTGGAATAGAACCTGCGTTGGCTGCATGCAAGGCAAGTGCCCTACCTGCTGTACTACTGCCCCGGCTCCTATATTATGATCTTTCCAAGAAATTGAAATAACTCTGATATTGAGTGAAATGTTCTTATGAAAGAGAAGCATGAGAAGCAAAAGTCATGATGGGGTAAGTGGACAGGATCACAGGAAAAGACCTTATCCTGCTGGAGAGATAGCACAGCGGGTAGGGCGTTTGCCTTGCACACGGCCGACCTGGGTTCGATTCCTCCTTCCCTCTGAGAGAGCCCGGCAAGCTAAAGAGTATCCTGCCCACATGGCAGAGCCTGGCAAGCTTCCTGTGGTGTATGTGATAAGCCAAAAACAGTAACAAGTCTCACAATGGAGGTGTTACTGGTGCCCGCTCAAGCAAATGAATGAACAATGCGAGGACAGTGCTACAGTGCTAACTAAAATTTACGACTTTCAAGTTTATTTTGCTTTGATTTTTGGGCCACACCCGGTGATACTCAGGGGTTAGTCTTGGCTCTGCACTCAGGAATCACTCCTAGAAGTGCTTGGGGATCATATGGGATGCCAGAAATTAAACCCAGGTCAGACACGTGCAACGCAAAACACCCTACCCACTGTGCTATGGCTCCGGTCCCAAATTCACTACTTTTATTTTAAAAAGAGCCAAGTGAACCAACACCAAGCTCAACGTAAAACAAAGTAAAAACAAAAAAATCAACTTGGGCAATGTAAAGATGGAAATGAGCTCTACTAAGGTCCATGTCACAACGGTTGCTTTAGTATCGTCCTGTGTTGCCTCCAACATGGCAGATGACCCACAGCTGTGACTCCTCCCAGCCCAAGGACCTTTAGTAGCAGGCCTGTGGGAGGGAGGAGTATTGCATTTATTTGCATGAGATGTCAAACTTGTCACAGTCACACAGAGCCCCGACTCCTGGTGTCTTCTGGGCAGAAAGTCTCCTGTGAGCTGACGATTACTAAGGAAATCTAATGTGATTTCATGTGATCCATTTCGCATCCTTTTTGGTTCTAGTCAGTCGACAGAGAAACACATTCGATTTTTTGGCTTGGCCCCAGGTAAAATCTCAAGGAGTTTCCTGGGTCACAATGAGAGGCTAATATCAGCTCTCTTCTAAAGCTGAAACAGTGACAGAGGGACTTCAGTCCTGCATCCAGAATCTTAGAGGTCCGCCACAGCTTTAAATAACTCGTGTTTCAGTGGGCCTACAGAGTTCTCCTTCCTCCCTCTCAAGAACTGTGGTCAACACCTGCTATTCCTGGGTACCTTCCTAATAGGACTCTCCCTTCCTTTTGAGGAATTACTTCTCTGTGCCATCTTGGCAAAAGAAACAATCCTGATGGCTACTTCCGACCATTAAAGCCAACAGGCTAGAAGCTAACATTTTTGGATCTAGCACAGCTGGAAGGTGGCTGCACTCTCCCATGAAACAATCCTTTCTCCTAAACAGGCAACACGAGGAAGGGCCCAGAGAGCAGAAGCGGGGGTCCAGGGGACGAGAGGCCTTTCCCACCCGGAGACTGGCCGCCGTGCACCCGCAGCCCTGGGCAGAGCTCTCTTTGCTCCTGCCAGGTGCCACGGGCCCTATTCTCTCCAGCTTTAAGACCGACGTGAGGGGGGAGATGGGGAAGCGGATCTGCCTGAACTCGAGTAGCAAATGTAGCTTTCCACAGAATATTCTGTGCTCATAAATCCTGAAATAGAAGTGAAAATGAGAAAAACTTTCAACCAGACTTCTCTGGTTCGCGGGTTGGGGCTGGGCGAGAGGAACAGGAGTCAGAATCTTCCTTTCCTGAGCCTGAAGGTAGCACTGTAGCCCAAGTCCACTCCCTAGACCTGCTCCCTGCCACCAGGCTAAACTGCCCTGTGGCTGCCCTAAAGGTGATGTGGACAGAGCTTCAGCTGCTCCCAGGTCAGATTAGTCTTCTTTTTAAATAAGTCATGTATTCACATCCTGCTTCAAACTTCCCAGAAAATATGCACAATCTTTCATTTTAAATATTTACAAACACCAAGGGTCTATCTTTTAAAGAAAGACATTTTCTGAGTCTGTACAAAGTGCAGCTAATTTAAGGCAAATTTATGTGAAATATAAAAGGTGGCTTATTCTCTATATATACATTTTTCATTTTTAAAAGATAGTCTCCTTCCCTCAAAAAAATAAAATGAAAAGGAAAAAGCAAAAAAGGGGCTTGACTTTCTTCTGGTTAATTTTAAAATTAAGATCTTACTGATTTCAAAAAAATCATAGATTTCTAAATATCTTAAGTGATCTTTCTTTAAAAAAATAACTTTTATATCGCTTTTCCAAACAGGTTAAAAGGTGGTAATGTGTCTGCTACAGTAGTCTGGAGGGTTAGATGATTGCTGGGCGAGTCACAGGGTCGTGTTTGTTAGAAGCGTAGACATTAGGCAGTCCAGGATACAGATCCATTTCTAAAATATGCTTGCTGGAGCTAGACACCTAATGCTGCTCTTAGCTCTGGGAGTGAATATCTTCCATCTCCATTGGAATCAAACACTCTGAAGCTCTCGGGCTCTGGCACAGCAGAACCTAAAGAGTTCGAGATTTCCTGGTAGGTCAGCTTCCCATTCACGTCCTGACCAGTCTTGTGGAATAAATCTTGAAGATCTGTTAGAAAGAAATCACAAAATGTTTTCAGGTCTAAACATATAACCTGAGGGCCGGAGCAATAGTACAGCGGGTAGGGCGTCTGCCTTGCATGCCGAAATCCCTGGCATCCCATATAGTCCCCTGAGCACCACCAGGAGTAACCCCTGACCATCGTGGTGTGACCCCAAAAAGCAAAATAAATATAAAATTAATTTTAAAAAATCCAAACATATAACCTAAAGTTTAATTAGCAATTGAAAAAAAAACCCATCAACTGAATTTAAAGCACTAAAAGAAAAATGACTTTGCAAGTTTTGTTTCTGAAAGGTAAAGTTTAGGATCCTACTATACCAGAAGACTGATTGCTTTTTTTGTCATACCCCGGGGTTCTCAGGGACCATGTGGTGCTGGGGATTGAACTTGGGGTTCCAGCACACAAAGTAACACCAAGCCTTTAAGGTACTGCCACAGCCCAGAAAGACATTCTTTTGTTTTTGAGTCAAACCCAGTGTACTGGAGGGGTACTCCCAGTGCATTACAATACTTTGCAATGCCCAGGGTATTAAGCAGGGCTGGGGATTGAACTCCCAATATGCAAAGCATGCATTTAAGCCCTTGCAGCTATCTCCCCAGGCCCAGAAAAACTAATTTCTGATCCTTTAAGAATGAGAGGAACTCTGCACAGCACTATTTCCCAATAAGAAGCAGTGCCAAATAAGCCTGGGAAAGATGAATGGACAGGCTTTCCCTCTCCAGTCTTTCATGTAGGTTCTCCAGATTTTATTTTTATGTTGAAGGGGCAAAAAAGATTAGAGAGGTGTTCAAGAGCTATCTAACAGGGCCAGAAGGATAATGCAGGGCTTAAGGCATTTGTCTTGGACCCCCACCCTACCCTGGGTTAAATCCCTAGTATTATATATGGTTCCCAGAGCACTGCTGCCAGTAACCCAATTCCCTACCTTCCCCCAGAAAAGTTACTCAACAGATAATGAACCTGTACAACAGTCTAAGGCATATTACCAGTGAAGCAGTTGTTATATGACCCAGTCGCTCCATCCCTAGGTACTTATCCAATAGAAATGAAAATATCTGTCCACACCAATACTTTATATGTGGTAAGGAGATATGCTCAAAAGGGTAGAACAGAGGCTCCGCATGTTCAAGAGTTGGATCCTCAGCACTGCACAGACCTCTGGGCACCCAGAAGTGGCCTTGGGTCCCTGAATATCAATGGTGTGGCCCCTATGAAAACAAACACCTGTACATGAACGTCCACAGCTCTGTTATTCCTGATGGCGAAAATATGGAACTCAAATAGTCATCAATTAACAAATGGGTAAATAAGATCTGTAACTGAAATATTATTCAGCCATAAAAAGAAATAAAATATTGCAACATGCTATGAAATAGCAGGACGCTGAAGACATTAAGTTCAACGCAAACAGCATGTTGAAAGAAAGCACATGCAATGGCATGTCTTTTACGATTCCAGTTCTATGAAAACCCAGAATAGGCAATCCAAAGGGACAGTGCTTCTGAGACTAGTGGTAAGGGCAGGGTGAAAAGGATGTTAAACTGTTTAACGGGTAGAAGGTTCCTTTGGGGAGTGACAAAATGTTCTGGAATTAGATGACAGTGATGACTGTAAAACCTTGTGAATAATAACAACAATTACACTTCTAAAGAAGTTTTGGACCTCCCAAGGAGGCCAAGGGTTCACTCCTGGGATTATCTGCCTTGCTGAGTGGGTCACATGGTTCAATGCTTGGGTCCAGTACTGCTAGGGATTACCAGGACAACCTTGGCAGTGCTCAGAAGCCACGTGGGCACCTGTACTGTCCTGTCCCATCTTTTTCCCCAACTAAGAAGGAGAGCAATAATACCAGTTGATCTGTACCATTTTAATTCTAAGATATTATTTGGCCCAGAGAGAGAGGTCAAAGGACTAGAGTATATGCTTTGTGAGCAGAAAGCTTGGATTAGATCCCTGGCATTAGAACTGTGACATGACATGGTTCCCTGAGTGCTACCAGGAGTTAGCCCCTGGGCATGCCAGGTGTGGCTCAAAGTCAAAAGAGCACTGCACCGTCCTCCCATTATTCATCGATTTGCTCGAGCGGGCAGCAGTAATGTCTCACAACAAATTAGGAGACTTGCTGTTACTGTTTTTGGCATATCGAATACGTCACGGGTAGCTTGCCAGGCTTTGCCATGTGGGCGAGATACTCTCGGTAGCTTGCCGGGCTCTCCGAGAGGGGCGGAGGAATCGAACCTGGGTCGGCCACATGCAAGGCAAACGCCCTACCCGCTGTGCTTACAGCTCCAGCCCAAGTTATTTATAAGGCTTGTCAATTCACCACAATGAATTTTGTGTCTATACACCTACATTGCACCCCACTAAAACTTTGCCAATTATCCCTTCTCTCATTTGTAAATCCTAAAATCCAGAGTCAAAAAAAAAAGAAAAAAAGAATAAAAGAAAAGGTATTATTTGATCCAGAGAACCAGAGGATTCCTATCAATAATTAATAATCTCTTCTGATATTTTCTCAAGTCCTTCCAAATAAACACTCAGGAGGAATATTTACATAAAAATGCATTTGCTTCTGTCCTTATAAAATGACTTAAAACAGATTCAGTCTAGAATACCAGAAGATAGGTCAATCAGAACTATGTTTCTTTAAGATCTTTCCAAATTCCTTTCCTTTCCTTTTTTATTCAACTCTAAGCCTAGATTCAGTAGGCCTCCAGTCTTTCACTTAGGAAGGCAGGAAATAACCTGAGGCTGGAGAAACAACTCTGTAAGGTACAGTGGAGGAATTTAGCAGAGAAGTCTCTGAATAGGGCCCTACTCTCATGCCTCAAATCTTAAAAGCAGGTGGGATGCTTGTTTCCAGGTACAAGACAGATAGAAACCAAGTAGCTACATAGAAAATGTTTTTGTTGGGCCAGGGAGAAAGTGCACCTGTGTTTGACCCCTGGCACTCCATGTGGTCCCCAAAGTCCCACTAGGTGTGATTTCTGAGCACAGAGCCAGGAGTAAGCCTTGAGCATAAAAACCCAAACCAAACCAAACAAACAAAAAAAAGTTGTGGCTGCAAGACAAGCAAAGAAAAAGAAAATGTGTTTTTTTGTGGCCACATACAACCAGCAGTGCTAAGAGGCTACTCCTGTCTCTATGTTCCAGAGTCACTCCTGGCAGCGCTCAGGGAACCATATATATGCAGTTAATGAGGACTGAACCAGGGCTGGCCTCGTGCAAGGCAAGCACCTTAGCCTCTGTATTATTTATGTGGCACTAGATAATAAATGGGCTGGAGCGACAGCACAGCGGTAGGGCGTTTGCCTTGCGCGTAGCCAGCCCGGCCAAGCCAGGTTCGATTCCTCTGCCCCTCTCGGAGAGCCCGGCAAGCTACTGAGAGTATCATGCCCGCACGGCAAAGCCTGGCAAGCTCCCCGTGACATATTCGATATGCCAAACACAGTAACAAGAAGTCTCAAAATGGAGACGTTACTGGGCCCGCTCGAGCAAAATCGATGAACAATGGGAAGACAGTGACAGTGACAGATAATCAATGTTTCTATGTGTTTATGGGTATGGGTTCCTAAAATGTGCTAAGCACCTAGTAGCAGTATTTGAAGAAAAATTTGATTGCTACTTCAGGTCATTTAAAAATGTTACTCAAAAGTGTGTAAAGGGCCAAGGACAGAGCTCAGTGGCACTTATCCTGCATGGAAGGTGCTCCAAGGGTTGAATGCATACTCTCATGTGTGTGCGCACGCGTGGGTGGGGGAGTGGGAGGGGCTGAGTTTGGTCGCTGGCACAGCATGGTTCTTAAAGCACTGATGGGAGGGACCCTGAGCACAGACTCAGAATAGCTTTTGAGCATCATCTGGCATGGCCCAAAATAAAACAAAAACAAAATAAGAAAAGAAAGAAACCAAAAGTGTGCAACATCCATATTAGAGACTCAAGTATAAACGTTAAAGATTTAACCCTGTTGAGATGCTCAACAGGGTGGGGAGCAGGTTTTGAAACCAGGAGTCCCTGGGTTCGATCCCTGGCACCTTATGATCTCCTGAGCAGTGCCAGGAGTAATTCCTGAGCAGCCAAATGGTGACCGGAACCCAGCAATACTGGGTGTGGCCCCAAAAACAAGTAACACAAAATAATAAAAATAAAATACAAACGCTAAGATGACTATTTCTTTTGTTGTTGCTGTTATTTTGCTTTTGGATAATATCCAGCCATGCTCAGAGCTTATTCCTGGCTTACAGATCATTCCTGGCAGGGCTCAGGGGACCATATGGGCTGCCAGGAATCAAATGGCACCAGCCTCATGCAAGGCAAGCACCTTATCCACCTTATCCGAAGTCCCAAGATGACTATTTCTTAATCTGCTGCAGAGGTTTTTCCTCTATTTATTCTCATCAAGTTTTGATGTAAAAATATAAAGGGGGAGGAGCCAAGTTGTACTGCCAATAAACCCAATTTAACAATCTCATCTCACAAGAAAACAAAAGGAAAAAAATGAGGTCAGGAGGGAAAAAAAAGTAATTGCATTTGAAAGGCAATATAAATTGAAATCTTTTACATTTTACTTGCTGGGAGTGAAGTTACATTAAGTCCAGGAAATTGTAAGTGAATGACAGCTGCTAAATGGGGACAGACACAAAACATTCTGAAAGAACATAAACAGAGGAAATAATCCAGTCCTGGGAGATAAAAAAAGTTTCCTGTTGGAACGATATCTAAGTGTCAGTGAAGAGCCAGGCAAGAATATGGATGAGTGATTTTTTTAGGTGGTCAGCATATGCGAACTCTGGCGACTTTAGAAATCACTGAGAAACTGAATAGATACTTTAGAAACAAGGTGAACACACTTCTGTGGATCATTCTTCCTACTAATATTTATTTTGCTGATTTTGGTTGGAGGCCTTGTCTACTAGATGTGTAACCAGGAAGAAAATGATTCTATATATGATACTGTATTTCTTTTCATTTGTTTTGCTTTTGAGTTGCGCGAATGTCCTCAAGGCCTACTCTTGGCTCTGTGCTTAAGGACCATTCCTGGAGTGCTTGGAGATTAATTCTGGGTTGGCCATGTGCAAGGCAAGCACCTTACTCCACTGTGTGATCGCTTTAGTCCCAAGTGTTAGGTCTTGTTATATTGGTGACAACTCACCTTGTTTTGTTTCTGGACCCAGTGAGCAGTGCCCAAAGGCTATGCCTTGCTCTGGGTTTAGGGATCTCCTCTGAATGGGGCCTGTGGGGGTGATATGTAGCACTGGAATTTGAAACATGGTTCCAGTGGCTACAGCTGCAAGCTAGGCATGCACCTTAACCTTTGTACTTTTTCCCCCGACCCTGACACTGTATTCTTAAGATTAGCACTGGATTTAACAAGGCACTCACTGAATGAAGACTCTACATCAAATATTTATAGAGAGAATAATAGCATATTGGGGCTGGTATGAATTTTACCTCAACCAATTATTTGTTATGCATACTTAGGCAGCTTCCCTATCGGTTAAAATGGATAAAATAAATTACGCTATGTTTCTAGAATTGTTATCAGGATATAATATAAAGCAAATCAAATATATGACCCATAGGAAGTACAGTAAGTGTTAGGGATAAATCTTTTTCATACAAGATAAACATTTGTTTATTTATTTATTTTTGGTTTGGGGCCACACCCAGCGCTGCTCAGGGGTTACTCCTGGCTCTGGACTCAGGAATCACTCCTGGTGGTACTTGGGGACCATGTAGGATGCCAGAAACCGAACCCCAGGTTGGCAACGTGCAAGGCAAGTGCTTTATCTGCTGTACTATCTCTCTGGCCCCAAGGTAAAAAACATATTTAAAAGCTGTGAGTCTGAATACTTTTCCCATTATTCTATGGTATAATTTTTTTACCTTGGATGTTAGAAATTCCTGGTAGGGAAACGAGTCTTAGTTGTGCAGTATTTTCAATTTGGTCTCCAAGAGACTGTGAAAATTTTGGCAATGTTGATGGCTTTGATGTGGAACTCTGCTCTTGACCTGTAACAAACACATACTATTTCAGCATTATCAAGTGTTAAACCAAATTAAGCCAGTATTGAAAGTCATCTTTTCAGGCAACTGTATACTTAAGACAAAGAGATGAAAGTTACGTAGGATAATAATTTATGTGAAGTTCAAGGCTTGACTGAAAAATCTCTTTCGGTGAAGATTCATCAATATTATGTAACATAATATTTGAAGCTAGTCACATTGGAAGAGCTTAACGAACAAGTTAACAATATATCTATTTTAATGTTAAAAATTTAGGCTGCAGGGCCAGTAATATAGAAGAGAGGCTAAGGCTACTTGCTTTGCAAGTGGCCAACTTCATCCAGTTCAATCCCCAGCATCACATATGGTTCTGTTCTGTCTGGAGGGAACCTTGAGACAGAGCCAGGAGTAAACCCCGAGCACTCTGGGTGCGGCCCAAATTGTGTTGTCCCCCCACCACTCCCACCTCCAGGCCCAAAGCTTTAAGCTGCAAGTGATTACAGCATTGGCTAGTTTTCATCCTGGTAGTCATCCTGGATGGCTACCAACTAAAATTGAGAGGGCTGCCATACAATGAAGGAACACTGTTAGCCCCCAAATGAATTCTGTCTCTCTCACCCAAGAGATGAAGGCAGACTGTGCTGCTTTCTCCCAAATGAAACACACGTGGGGTGGGGAACAGAGGTCAAAGCCAACATGATCCAGGGCTTGGTTAAGTCCTTCAAGAACTTAACCCACGAGGCTGAGGCGAGCGTCAAGAGCAATTAGGTATAGCTTTATCTACAAAAGGGCTCTTCCAACCAATAATTCCATCATTGTGTTAATGGTTTTTCAGAAGAACTAATATTTATTTTTAAGTAAATTTTATGCATTTACAGAAATGAAAGATTCCTGTAAACAACATTTAGGACTGGTTTAATATACTCTATGACAGTAACATTTTTGCCTGTAATTGGATGCAGACAGCATGGAGAAGTCTATTTCCAGCTAAACATTACCCATTCTTCCCTTAATAGACTGGAGTACAAATCATGTACAAAATGGGCTTTTTCTAAATGAAAGCAAAGTGTATCAGCTTCACCTCGGTGCACTCGGGCGTCATTCACACAGTTCGATCAGTCCTGCCGAACACCTTCCCGCATGCCTACGTGGGTGGCACGCTGCCCAAGTCTGCGTGAATATTTAGGAGCCAGCCTTACTCTCACCTGCACTGATGGTCTCTGGAGGCCTGTTGCTCTCAGGTTTGTTTGTGAGAGCACTGATCAACTGCAGCTTTTCTCTGAGCTTGGACACCTGAGAGTCCGAAATATCTTCTTTCTGTCCGAAACAAGGATGAGAGAAGATGTCAGGGATAAGCCTGCAGCAGATTCTTCTTTACTCCCCCACAATTATTCAGGACGCCATGCTTGACCCCCAGGAGGCTCCCTATCGAGGCAATGAAGGAATGAACCGACAAAGAGCAGATATATCTCTGGTACTGGTGCTGGTGAGGGCCTAGTTGGATTTGAGGCTAGACATTAAGGGAACATTATGCGGCAGATGTTCTGATTTCCTGTAAACATTCGGCTGATGGGGAAAGGCATGCATGTGTCAGCAGTAAAGGAAATGTACCCTTGCTCAGGTGCCCATGTGACACCCATTTCTTAAATGAGTAGGATATTGCTTTCAAGAAACGATTTCACACTAATTTTCCTGAATATCTTACTTCGCCTTGTGACTATATCACTTTAGTGTTATGCTCTTACAAGAAACAAACAAAAAAGCAACCAAATTATACATATTCCTCTGACCCCACTGTGATAATTCAACTGGTGGCAAGAACTGTTAGGAATATGAAAAGATGCTACAGTTTTTCTAATTTAAAGTCTTACATCTATTTTATCTACCACTGGTTTGCAATACAAAAGTAGCACAGTTTTATACCTCCATACATGGCAAAGGCTCCCCTATCCACCATCGAAGTTCAGTGTCCTCATACTCCTGAAATAATCCATCTAACCTATTCCTCCCAGACCTGTCCCCTTTTTCTATCATAAGTACCAGATTTTCCAGTCTATTTTTCACGTTATCTTGTAAAACATCTTTTCCCCTATTCCCGGCTTTATTCAGAGGATGATCTAAACTTGCATATGAAAAATTCACTAAGTTTGCTATGTGTATATTTTTTTCCTTCTTGGGGGGAGGGGAAACAGCTGGCTGTGCTTAGGGGCTACTCTTGGCTCTGAGCTAGTTCTGATACCATGTCCCTCTTGGTGATGCTTGGAGAATTGTGCAGTGCCAGGAACTGAGCCCTGCATGCATGCACACACTCCTGCCTATTGAGCTATTTCTCTGGTCTAATAGTCTAACAAATTCATTTAATTAAAGAAAAAGTTTAGCATTGTAGCACTGTCCTCCTGTTGTTCATCGTTTTGCTCAAGCGGGCCCAGTAACATCTCCATTGTGAGATTTCTTGTTACTGTGTTTGGCATATCGTATACGTCACGGATAGCTTGCCAGGCTTTGCCGTGCGGGCGAGATACTTTCGGTAGCTTGCCGGGCTCTCCGAGAGGGGCGGAGGAATTGAACCTGGCTCAGCCGTGCTGGCCACGCACAAGGCAAACGTCCTACTGCTGTGCTATCGCTCTAGCCCTAGTTTAGGATTGTTTGTTTTCTTGCCACACCTGGCAATGCTCAAGGGTTGCTCCTGGCTCTGTACTCAGGAATTACTCGTGGTGATGCTTGGGGCACCATACGGGATGCCGAGAATCGAACCAGGGTCAGTCACAAGCAAGGCAAGTGCCCTATTTTCTGTACTATTGCTCCAGCTCAAGAAAAATTTAGCTTCTGAGGAAAGTTTCTTATTTCTTTGGTTGTTGGGTCACACCAGGTGGAGTAAGTGGGCTACTTCTAGCAATGAGCTTGGGGGTCACTCCTGGTGGTACCTGGGGGACCATGACATGCCAGAGATAGAACCTAAATCATGAACACTCAGGTTCTAGGAGAACAGTTTCTAAATGCTTAGGGTACCTTGAAAGGTCATGATTCTATGTTTGATTATAATATATTCTTTTATTTAATATGTGTTTCATTTTCTCCTTTATTTCTATTCAACTAGTAACTGCAAAGATCATTCTTAGTTTATTCGGGGAGCTAATACACAGATGTACACTACGTAAAATTAGGTTCTAAGCCCTCGTGAAACTGAGATGGGAGAAAAAGTACAGATGGAAAGCATTACACTGAAAATGTCTGCACTATGGATCTAGTCCAAGTTCATTTCCCCTGGCCCTGAAAGCCTCCGAACTCCCTAAACGCAATATGCAACTGAGATGGTCTTTTGCCACTCAGTCATCTTTCTGACTTTTACTTTGGCTTAGTTCAGGTCTCTTAGTACACCTCGGAATCACAAAGAAGCTGCTAATTTTCCTGTATTGTTAGAGTACAACACAGACTGTCCTATCTTGATAATAAGCCTGGGAAGAGAAGGGGGAAAGGACAAGGTTAAGGGAACTGGTCGAGACATAAATGAAAGGTACTGAGGATAACACCTGAAAGAACGATTCTTAAATTAGTCATCTATCCCCCGCTCTGATTTGGGGCCACACTCAGCACTGCTGGGGACTGAGCGGGGTCAGTAACATGTAAGCAAGTGCCATAACCCCTGTATTATCTCTCTGACCCAGTTATACATCTTTTTCTGGTTCTGTGACTTTGTTGCCCATCATTAAAATAGGCAACTTAATGTCTTAGCCTAAGTCACTTCCTCAGGAAAGCCTTTCTGTTCACTGTTAATACTCTCCTGCCTCACAATTCTCCATTGTGAAACTCATCATTCATGATTAATTATCTGCTCAATAATGATGGTCATTTCTGACCGACAACTTTGGACACTGTCAGAACAGGCGTCAGGCGTTCACCCTGGTCACTGTGTTTGCCCCAAGGCCTACCAAAGTGCTGGCAAAGGTCACGTATTTAAGAAATCATCCAATTGTTCACTGTAATGGGGCTGGAGCGATAGCACAGCAGGTGGGGCATTTGCCTCGCACGTGGATGACCCGGGTTCGATTCCTCCACCCCTCTTGGAGAGCCCGGCAAGCTACCGAGAGTTTCGCTCACACGGCAAAGCCTGGCAAGCTTCCCGTGATGTATTCAATATGCCAGGGACGACAGTAACAACAAGTCTCAGAATTTGTTGTGAGACGTTACTGGTGCCCGCTCGAGCAAATCGATGAACAATGGGAGGACAGTGCTATACTGCCAATTGTTCACTAATATATTAATTTAGTCATTCGTCTTGAAGTTTCAGCAGAGACCAAAGTGCTCCTCTGGAGAATTAAGCAATTAGCTCCTAAGTACAAAGATGGCAAACATCTCTTATTTCCATTTTGGGTTTTCACTGTCTCTGTTCCGGTGGTCACCTAATACAAAGACTCCTTCCAGGAAGGCAACTTTAAAGTCAAGAAGACAAAAGGGGAAGATTAAAGGCAAACTTAAAACTTAAACAACAACGACCAGAACAGTTTCAACAGAAGTACCACTACGAGTCTGAGAGGGAGAAAGGCCGCAGAAGTCAAAGTTAAATAAGACCAAACTTGTGAGTCTGGCTATTTTAATCATAAACATTAAAACTCTGAAATAGGAAAGACAAGAAAGCTTTTGAATTTTTTCCTAGAACTTAGGCATAATGTTGCTGGAAGAGGGCAGGACAGATGGGTATTATTAATGATTTCCTCTATCTGGTGTAAAATAAAGTGAGGAGGGGTGGGGCTGTGAGGGTGGTAAGTTTTCACAATCAGCCCCGAGCACCTTTAAGGCATTGTGTACATCAAATCACCCCAAATTCCTGGCCTCCACTTAGCTGAGTTCAAAAGGGATTTTAAATATCAGGCTCCTTTAATCTTCACAGCTTTGTAGTAAATTACACACCCCAGTCGGAGGGAAGCAGGTCTTCTTACTTCTCCCTCAAAGCCAAGTCCAGGCAACTTGCCAAGGCCCCTCGGCGGCACAGCCAGTTCAAACACTGCTTTCGATGTGCCAGAGTTTCACATTGCTGGGTGCTTGCTTCCAACCGTGGTGCTAACTTGAACTTACGGCACAACTTCCTGTGTTTGATTCCATCTTTTCACAGACACAGACACATGCCTGTGTCTTTCGTCTATGGCATCGCTGAAGGTGGGACTTGCAGCTACCAAAAAATAACCCACACGAATCCCAGCACAATGTGTACGGGAGAGGCAACAAACGAAACAAAAAATCCTCTGACTTTATTCATGACCCAACAACGCTAACCACCCAGGAACGTGCCGGCATCCCAAACTTTGGTGTGGCCAACGCAGAAGGAGGGGTGCACTTACTGACAATCCCCGGGCCAAACAGCTGCTGGCTCCACCTGCTTCAGTCAAGGCGCCCCTTGTGTGCAGGAGCAGCAGTGAGGGGAAAACCAAGCTCAGGCTTACGGAAATGGCAACCTGCTTCTTCAGTTATTTGTCATCATCGTCGATTCCAGCCCTGACAACTTTAATAAGGGGGCTGGGGACAGAGCTCTGGAGAGGAGCACGCACTTCACATATATGAGGGCCTTGGCAGCAGGAGTGAGGAAAAGACCTCTCGGAAATCCGTACCACAGCTTCCCTACCAGATGGGTCCCTGGTAACAGGAAGAGACTTGTCATATCCTGCCAACCACTGGGCCAGGCTTGGCAAGCGAATGAATGTCCTTCCACGGTCCTTTTCCAAATCGGACTACCAGTGCCCATGCTGTTCACTTCACAGAACTAGTCACATTGTCACACTGTCCTCCCGTTGTTCATCGGTTTTCTTGAGCGGGCCCAGTAACGTCTCCATTGTGAGACTTCTTGGTACTGTGTTTGGCATACTGAATACTCTTGGTAGCTTGCCAGGCTCTGAGAGGGGCGGAGGAATCGAACCCGGCTTGGCCGGGCTGGCTGCGTGCAAGGCTAACACCCTACCACTGTGCTATCACTCCAGCCCTAGTATAACGATTAAAGGAGACAAGGATTAAGCAAGACACAAATGTGTAGCCTCTCAGTTATGAAAGACTGTCAAAAAAGACTGGAAGGTCATCCATGTACAGACAAAACACACGGCACCACATAACAATCACAAAAGAGCTGAAAAGGTTCACCAGGCTGACGGACAGGTTTGCTTGCTTTTCTACCTTGCTCTTAGCAACCAGATCCTTTTCGATCAAGCTGACTCTCTTGGTAAGATTACTGACCGTCTCATTCTTCCCCTTGAGTTTAAGATCATTCTGTCTCTGATGTCCCACTAGGGTACTGTTTACCTCCTCTAAAGAGTGGTGAAGGTACAGGATATCCTGGAGTGAAAATAAATCAAGTTATGGAATCCAGGTAAGACGTATTTTGGACAAGCAGGCCAGCAGCACTGAACCACTACTATGTGTCAGGTTACTGAAGAAAACGCCCTTTCCAGGTTTGCATCATTGACTGCCTGTCTGCCTTGTTACACTTCTCCCTCCAACTCCCCCCCCCCCCCCCCCCCCCCCCGCCCTCTGCTTACAGGTAACTCCCTCTGGAACTGTTTGGCCTCAGCTGGACAGGCGGGGGAAAGAATGAAGAGAACTACCTACATGATTCACTCTTTGGTCCAGAAAGCTGAGCGCACGGGAATCGATTTCCCAATGTTTATCTCACCTGCTGGCAGGAAAGCTTACTGGGTTATTAACTGAAATGCCCATTAACCTAATTTGTCAGAACAAAACTACCTTAGGAACAATACCAATTACTGAATTGGCTCATGTAGCAAAACCATAACAAGTGGTGCATTATTTAGTACAAGATTCAATTATTTTTATTGACATTCTCTAGTACTAATTGCTACTTAAAAAGGAATGATGACTATAGGTTTCAAAGGGCATTACAGTCAGGACAGAAATTTTTCTTAGTGAAGATTTTCTTTATTCTCTTTAATGTGATCCTAAACTCAATATCCTTGTTCCTCCTCTTGTCTTAAGAAAATTATCATTTGTCCAGGATGCTTTCTAAAGTCCTTAAAAGTTTATGTGGTTCAAAATAGCAATCACTCCGAATTAATCTCCTATCCATCCATCTTTAACTTGCTCAGACTGCTGTTTTTTCCACAATTTCAAGACAATCTGGTTACTACGTATTTTTGAGTGGTGAAAAGGAATTTACTTCACTGACTGACATTCAAGGATCCAAAAAACAAGGCAGTATGCCAAAGAGGCAACAGAAAAGCATTTGGATCCTGAAGATAACAACACACATCCCTCCCTATCCTGCTCTCAGGCAGGCAAATAAACACATGACACACTTGCCCAGGCATCACGACACTGAGCCCGAACAACTCAGACTGCAGCAGACTGCAATGTGTCCTAGGGAGTTAAGCAGAGACAAAAAGTACCTGCTTCATGCTTTCCCTGTGGGTTTTACTGTCAAGTTCTAATGTAGCTGAAGCTGATTGAAAGAAAGGTCTGGTTTCTTCCACCGGTCTCCATCAAGAAGTGTTGGTTCTGGTAATACGAATCCAGGTAGGAATAGGTGATGATGACTTGGTCTACTCAGCCATCTGGGATGGTCCCAGAACAGTCCATCCTCTCCCAGCAGTGACCACTGATTAATCAACAAGTATTTCTCAGAAAACATTAGTGTCACAACTCCTGTGCCAGCTCTCAGGGCCCCAGTACTTTTGGGGATGGCTGTCCTAAAGTAGGGCTGGACCGGCAGCACCCAGGCTATCCTGGGACCTGAGAGCTTGCAGTCTCTGAAGGGAATGAAGTGCTAAGAAACCCGCCCTTTACTTCCCCAGTGACTGCACCCTGTATACTTTCAGATCACTGGAATCAACTCAGCCTGAACCTGGCTAATGATATGACTTTCCCAGGGAATCTTGGACATTCAGAGAGTAATCCGTCAGTCATGGGACCACTGGCTTTGTGCACTGAGCACAACAAATAAAAGTGCACGTAATTAGTTTTAACACACACCAAGACTTAGATTTGAGGGCTGTCCTTCCTTTCCCATCTGCATCCTACTGTTCTTAGTATAGACAGGCCACACCTGGCAGTGCTCTGCAGATTCCCTCTGCATGAGTCTTGGGTAGACAATGCAGTGCTGGGGAGTAAGCCCAGGCTCTTTAATGTGGCCCTAAACTCAATATACATCATAGTACGCGCTTTAGCCCTCTGGGCTAGACCTTACACTTTTTTCCTTTTAGCAAAAAACTGTAATCTTTCAGACCCATAACAATGACTTCTTTGGTATAAAGTGTTCCGGCAGGAGGATTACCACTGATAGGCACGGAAATCTAAAAGAAGAAAAACTGTGAGGCTGGGAGATAGCTCAAATGCTGAAGAACAGTGCTGCTGGGTTCTATCACTGGCACTGCATGGTACCCCCGAGCAGTGCTGGGAGTGATCCTTAAGCAACATCTCAGGAGTGTCCCTTGAGCACTGCTGTGGCATGGCTTCAAGACCAAAACCAACAAAGGAGCAGAGGTGGACTCGTGGCTGAGCTCTGAGGTACAGCGTAGGCTTTGCACTAATGAGGCCCCTAGTTAAGCTCTGACACCACAAAACCAAGTGAACAACAAGGCAGGTTTAATTTTAAGAGTATGGAACTGGTGAAATTTGTCTTGAAATATAAAAATCCCAATTTATTTACCATGCTTTCATAATAAATAAAATAAACAAAAAGGCAACAATGAAGAGAAAAGCAATAGTGGCTGGGGTGGTGAGACAGTGTTCATTTGTGCATCTTTGAAACGTCTGACTACCTTGAGAAAATACCTACAGATATTTAAATGATAATGCACAGAAGATTAAAAAAAAACCTGCTGGGTTGGAGATGTTTTTAATCATTATGGATCACAGAGTTATTCAGTGGCAGAAATGAGTGGAGATGTTAGGAACTTTTATGTGCCTTGAAAAGTCCCAATTTCATGTTCACATAACCCATTTTCCCAGCAAGAGAGCAATGGCTGTGCCATCCTAACTTATGCTTCCTAAGTCCTTCTTCATGGAGCTGAGGATCCTCCGATGGCTAATTAAGGTCTCTGAATGACTGCACGTCACTCACAGCATTAATACAAAGCTGGAAGCAATTCCTGAGCATTGCAGGGGTAAGTTTCTGTCTCTGCTACAATTTGCCACATAACAAATCATCCCAACTTTGTGGCGTAAAACAATTCACTATCTCGCATGCACCCAGAGCTGACCAAGCTCAGTACATGCTCAGGTGCTCTATTCTATGGAGAAAGCGGAGATCAAAGATGGCTATGTTTTTTTTTTTTCTTTTTGGGTCACACTCGGCAATGCTCAGGGGTTACTCCTGGTTCATGCACTCAGGAACCACCCCTGGCCGTGCTCAGGAGACCATATGGGATGCTGGGAATTGAACCCGGGTCAGGCCGCGTGCAAGGCAAACACCCTACCCGCTGTGCTATTACTCCAGCCCCAAAGATGGCTATGACTAACTGGGCGCTTGCCCAGAGCTGGGACATGCAAGATGGCTTCTCATCCTCTAAAGTTGTATTTCTCAACCTCTTTCCAACCGTGGCTCCCTTCTGCCCTTGTTTCCTTCCCGTGGGCCACCCAGGTCCCTACCACTTGGCCCCCTCTCATAACGCAGCTCCTCCTTCATGTGATTTCCCCCTGTGGCCCCCTTGGACTACCTTGAAGGCCCATAGGAGACATATGGCTGAAAAACAGTCTGAGAGCAAGGCTTCTTAATTTTTTTCCCACTTACTGCTAGAGAAAATTTTAGACACCATAAGTACATAGGCATATAAGCCGAACATTGTCGTAAAGAAATGAAAACCAAAATTTTTACAAAATGTGATATGATCTACATGGGGTCCTGTAGCTAGGTTCTAAAACGGCATTTCATACACAAAAGAATTTCGGAACCGAGCAGCTCGCTGCAGAGATGCACCAGTCCACTCTCACTGGGCCACTCCAGACAGGAGGCGGTTCTGTCCCTCAGCCTGCCCCTTAGGGATTCCGGCGGCTGCCATCTTCCAGAACCCAGTGAGAAGCACAGGTACACGGGAGCAGTAACAGCAAACGCCAGGCCTCATAGGATAGGGGAGGAGCTGGTCCCTCTTGTCTCCCCGCCCCATGGCACCCGAGATGACGCCCACAAACTGCCCCCGGCTACGATTTAAGCTCCTTAACGACCACGATCCAGAGACACACAGAAGAATCTCAGAACAGAGCAGCTCACTGAAAAGATCTCTCCAGATCCTGTAGCACCGTCCTCCTGTTGTTCACTGATTAGCTCGAGCGGGCACCAGTAACATCTCCATTGTAAGACTTGTTGCTACTGTTTTTGGCATATCAAATGCCCCAGGGGGCGCTTGCCAGGCTCTGCCATGCGGGCTGGATAATCTCAGTAGCTTGCCGGGCTCTCCAAGAGGGACGGAGGAATTAAACCCGGGTCGGCCTCATGTAAGGCAACACCCTACCCTAATTATCTAAAATTTTGGAATTCCAGGAATGCAGACATCTTATGCTATTCATAACAAGCAATACAAAATAGCCTAGCATTACCTTTTCAGTAGGTTTGAGTGGTGGTGGAAAAAAATTCAAATAATAATGGTGGGGCTGGTGTCAAAATATTGAGTAATCAAAGTAGAGCGAGAGTATTGTGGAAATTGTCTCCCACACAGGCAGGGGAAGGGGGGAGATGGGGGTGGATACTGGGGATTTTGGTGGTGGAAAATGCGCACTGGTGAAGGGATGGGTGTTTGATCATTGCATGACTGAAAACTCAAACATGAAAACTTTGTAACAAACAGCATTTCTCAAAGTGGGTTCAAGTGGAAGGGGCGTGCTTTCTTGTTTTTTGTTTTGTTTTGGGGTCATACTCTACGGTGCTCAGGGCTTACTCCTGGCTCTGAGCTCAGGGATCATTCCTGGCAGGCTCAGGGGGCCTGAGCCTGACATACAGGATGCCAGGGATTGAACCAGCTGGCTGTATGCAAGGCAAGGCAAATGCCCCACCTGCTGTACTATTGCTCTGGGCCTTTTTTTCTTCAAGAAGGTAGATCTTCAGGGGAAACATGAGTAATCATTATCACTATTAATTCTGGTAAAGGGGGCAGTAGGCCTACTTAGTTTGGGAATCTCAGCTCTCGAGTTTCTTCTCACGTGGCTTCTCGTCATTCTGGGGTCTAAGCTCTCTGTTCGAATTTCTTGCCCACAAAATGTAAGAAATCATAGCTTGTTGTTTTACGCCAGGATGTTCTGGAAGATTCACTGTACAGCAATAAATAACAGACCCTTCTCTACTTCTCTTTCCTTCCTATTCATTTCCCTTTCTACCCATTTCACTGGATCTGCTCTGGTACATTTTTGCGGGGAGGCCTCCCAAGAATTACTCAGGGTATCCTGGCGCCAATCCTGGCAATACTGAACTAGGCTGATAAGTCAATGCTCGGGCCCTGCGGTGCCAGGGGGCCATCAGGGCAACTCAGTGCTGCAGGGCTCTATGGCGCAGGGACTGACGTTGATCCCTGCGCATAGAAAGCAAGGCCCCGACTGTCGAGCTATCTCCCTGACTCCTACTCTAGCACATTTTCCGACTTTGCTTTTGACTCTATCTTGGTTGCTAGGTTTACAGATTATAGAAAAAAAAAAATCAATAAGCATTGCTTTCTCTTTTTCTCTCCAGGTGTCTTTGGGCCATACCCTGCTATACCTTCAGGGGAACCATGGTGCCAGGGATTGAATCAGGGTAGGCCACATGCAGACAAGCACCTTAACGCCAGTTCTATCTTTTTCTCTGGCCCGCCTTTTAAACATTTTGTTAAAAGGTGCATAGTAGCTTCTAATTGACTAAATGGAAAGTTGGCATCATAACTATTACACATAAAAGGTGGTGAGAGTATGCTTTCTCGAGCAACTGTAGATTTCCTTACCATATCACTCCGCAACAACTCGATGGTTTTCTTGTGTTCATCCACAGTTTTCTGTATTGTCTCCACAGCAAGATGGACACTATTTAAAGTACTGCCAATGGAGGCTACACTCTGAACAGAAAGGAGGAGTAGGTCAGAGGTTTTTTAGTGTCTAAACAATCTTAATAGTTTTATTAGGATATAACTGACATACAACTGCACCTATTCAAAATGAATACCTTGAGACATTTTGACACAGATACACTATGAACCCAATCACCACAATGAAGATAATAAATCATAATCCTCAAACTTTGTGTTCTTTTGTAATACTTTCCTCCCTGTTCCTAGGAAACCAGTGATCCACTTCTTTCTCTCTCTACATATATATACATATATACACACACACACACACACACACACACACACCAACTTGCATTTCCTAGAATTTTATATAAATAGGACCAGTAAATATGTACATTTTTTGGATGGTGTGTGGGAGGAATAGCTTCTTTCACGCCACATTTATTGCATTTCTTTTGAGATTCGTTTCATGTGGTCGCTATGCGACATATATTGTTGAGTAGCATTCCATAGTACAAACAATAGCAAAATTGATCTATTCACCTGATGGGCGCTCAGGTTATTTTTCAGTGTTTGACTGCTGAATGCAAAACTGTAACAGCGTTCCTATGTAGGTCTTTATCTGAGCATCTTTATGGTTTCATCTTCACAATGCCTAGAAAATCGATGGTTGATCCCATGCATAATTTTTCTGTTTTCCTTTTGGGTCAATTTGGCGATGCTCAGGCGTTAGTAACTCCTGGCTCTGCACTCAGAATTACTCCTGGCAGTGCTCAGGAGACCATATGGAACGCTGGGAATCAAACCCAGGTTGGCTACGTAGAAGGCAAACGTCCTACCTGCTGTACTATTGCTCTGGCCCCGCTTAACATTTCTTAAAAACTGTCAAACTATGGGCATATAAAATTCCCACAACAGTATATAAAAGCGTACAGCGTTCCAATTTCTCCATGCGTGCACCAGTATCTTGTCTTTTTCAATTCTGGCCATTCTCATGACTCTGTGGCTTTACTTTGCGTTCAACACAGACTTACAACAGCAAACCATGAATCGCATGTAGCTTATCTTGGCACGATAGGAAACTTACAGAAAACAAGCAACGGTCCAAATTTAAAGGACTCTTTTTACAGGAAAAGGAAACTTTTTCTAGCAAAGAGACACACCAATTCAGTCATCTGGTTCCACAGATGACTCTCTCCCACAAACTTGCTGCTCAGACAGGCAGACTGCCAGAACTAACACTGTTGACTACTGTGTCAGCAGCAAATGACAATATTTGAGTGGAACCATTTTGAGGCTTTGGGAAACCCAAACTGAAGAGCAGGAAATCCTATTTGGTAGCATTTGTTCCCTCACTTTTGATCCTGTCAGCAAATACTATGTAAAGTACGCATGGTAGCTTATTTTGCTTCATTCTGTCTAAAGAGCCGCCCTAGACCCCCAAATCATTAAGAAAGTCTCTTTCTTTTGGGTTTTTGGGTCATACCTGGTGACACTCAGGGGCTACTCTTGATTCTGCACCAGGAAACCACGTAGTGCTCGGGAACGGAACTAGGGTGAGCTGCATGTGAGGAAAGTGCCTAACCCCTGTTAAGCTGAAGAAGGCCTAGACCTTTTCTTACAGACTTGGTGGTATGATCCAGAAAGCTCTCTTATAAAAAGGCCTATTCTGGAGCTGGAGAGACAGTGAACAGTCGGAGTGCATGTCCTCCATGCAGACCTAGGTTCACTCTCTGGTACCACATGGTCTCCTAAGCACCACAGGGAGCATAGGAGGGAGCATGCTCCCACTTCACCCCTTTCCCTCACACTTGCCCCACCCCTCCAGGAAACATCCTCCAGAAGAGGGTGTTGGAGTTTTAGTAAGAGACACTATCACGGCCGCTGGAACGATAGCACAGCGGGTAGGGCGTTTGCCTTGCACGCGGCCAACCCAGGTTTGATTCCTCCATCCCTCTTGGAGAGCCCGGCAAGCTACCCTGTGGCGCATTCGGTATGCCAAAAACAGTAACGACATGTCTCACAATGGAGATGTTACTAGTGTCCACTCAAGTTAATAGATGAACAACGGGAGGACAGTGCTACAGTGCTATTATCATGGCAAGAAAGAGAAGAGAGCTAGTACAGCAAATACGGTTCTTGTCTTGCACATGGCTGACCCAGATTTAATCCCTGGTACTACACACAATTCCCCAAACCCTGACAGGAGTGATCCCTAAGCACAGATCCAGAAGTAAGCACCGGCAGTACAGGGTGTGGCTAGATAACCAAACACAAAACAAGAATAAAAAATGAGAGAGAGAGAAATACTGACAATTCTATAGTGTCACATAAGTACATTTAATCAAGGTCCTCCTCCTTATACTGTATCCAGAATCCAAAGAAAACAAGAAATGACATTTCTAACATTTACATGGGATACACTGGAGTCAGGGACTTGAGAGGATCACTTCAAACTGTAACGAAAGCAGTGTCTGACACTGATAGATGCACAGATTTGCAAAGACTCAATGGGTGGAAGTGGCTAAGCTGAGATGTGATCTATGCGAACTCTGTTGTTACAGAGGCTGCAGGCATTCAAAGACACCTACTGTTTGAGAACCCTCACTGGCTGGACGCATGAGCCCACTGGGATGGAAGAAGAGAGTAAGCTCTTGTTTAAGATGTTTGTTTAAAGGAAGCAGCTGACAGAGGCATGTGAACTCTAGAGTAAAATCCTGAAACCAGCATTTTGAACAACTGCAAAAGTGCCTGGTACATACTGGAAGGCTCTCTATAATGCTTTTATCCCTTAAAAAAATGTTTTTTTTCAGACCATACTTCTGGGAGTGCTTAGGGACAACTCTGAGCAGTGCAAGAGGACTACGTAGCACTAGGGACCGAGTTTGGGCTCCCTGCATGCAAAGTACACCTTCACCCCTTTCAACTCTCTCCAGCCCTCCACAAATGGTTACCAAATTAACAAACATAAACAGTATCTTTGCCCAGTGAAAAGGAAAAGAATGGCTTCTGAAGTAAGAGGTACAAAGGCTTTATCTCCAGCTGACTTGGCTGTTGGGAACAGCAGCAAGATGATTTGTTTCATCAAAGTTGTCCCTTTCGGGGGGTGGGGGGAAGACACTGTATTGTACAAATGGCGAACACTATGTTTTTCTTAGGGCTTCGATATTTCCTATTTCTTTATGAAAATAACTGATATTTGTACTGCCTAATATTATCAAATCAAGATTACTGTCACACAGTCTATTTTTAAAAGTGAAAGATCCTAGACTCTAGTATTTGGGGTTGCCCTGTCCAGGATTCCTTCACCTATTTCCTGGGGCTTTAACTAACATTGCTTGTGTTCTTAGTAGGCACTTTTTTGGGGGGAGCTGGGAGGATTCACCCGGCAGTGCACAGTGTTTACTCTTGGCTATGCGCTTGGGGATCTTGCCCCGGGGACCACATGGAGTTCTGGGGATCGAACCAAAGTTGGCTAAGAGCAAGGCAAGTGCCTTACCACCTGTACAATCTCTCTGGCCTCAAAGTAAGGGCCTTTCTTCTTCCTTCCTCTCTCCACTTTCCTTATACAGTTTGCTCAAGACCCCCGAGTATGTCATTTGGCTGATCACTGTCTTTTGCTCTAGTGCTCAGAGAACCTTTTACCCTATAAAAGATCAAATTATTTTCCAAAGCGAACTTTACCAATTTATACTGTTACAGGAGTTTAAAGGTGTCTTCTGTTTCGTATCCTTGACAACATTTCTCATTTCCTCAATATTTATATTTCCCCAAACTTTTGTTTTTATTTCAATTTTTTTTGTTTACTTTTGTTTTGGGGACACATCCAGCTGTTTTCAGGGCTTGCGTCTGGTTCTCTGATCAGGGATCACTCCTGGTGATGCTCAGGGGACCATTCGGTGGTGCTGGGGCTTAAACCTGGGACTGTTGCATGCGAGGCAAGCAAGTATCTCTCTGGTGTCCCAAAATGTCGAAGATTTTTTTCCTCTATTTTTTTTTGGGGGGGGGAGTAAGGGTGGGGGGCGCACACCCCCAATGGTGCTTGGGGCTTACTCCTAGTTCTGTGCTCAGAGGACCACATAGGGTGGAGAGTGAACCAAGATTAGCTGTGGACAAGGGGATCACTTTAACCCCTGAACTAACTCTTTGGCCCCAAATCTCCTTTTTTGGGGGGTAGGGGGTGAGGGACACCCAGCTGTGCTCAGGACTTACCTCTGGCTCTGTACTCAGGAATCACGCATGGCAGGAGTTGCTGGATCATATAGAGAACCAGAAACCGAACTCGGATCAGCCGTGCACAAGACAAACACCCTATCCACTGTTCTACTGCTCTGCTCTCCCCCCGCGCTCCCCCGTCTTCTTATTCATGAAAAGTATAAGCAATTTACAGTAACTCTTATGTATAACTGGTCTGCCTCAATGAAAGCACTGTGGATGATGAGTTGAAAAAGCCGGCGATGAAAAGCAAATCGATACACATTACAAGTCAGGTCAGAGTAGGGACTTAAGGAGACAAATAAATTAAAGGCCTAACCAGACCGAAACGGAGATGCTCTGATTTCTTTAGAACAATGGTTTTCAATCAGCAGACCATGGATTGGTGTTGGTCTACAAAAATGTATGCCTCTTAACACATGGCATTCTTGGATTACTGAAGTGGCGACAATTACTTTTTCAGAGACCTATGGTTGAAAAGCAATGCTTTAAAAAATATAGTAATCTACCCTCTACTACAGTAGTTTATTTCAACTACCTTCTATACTAGAATTACAACAGCAGGGTACTCTCAGTGCCAATACATAGATAGTACTCACCTTCTGAAGTCCCTCCACGGTGGCGGGCAGGTTAATTAAGTCTGAAGCTGATTTAACATTGGCTTTGAGGTGGTTTACCAAAGAAGTTAACAGAGAGACCTGAAAGGAAAAGAGAAACAGTGGAAATGGAATTTGTAGAGTGTTTTATTCCCTTTTGAAGATATCAAGTGATTGAATTTTATGAATTTCTGTGACTCAGACATTATGCCTGTAAGCTCACAGGAGCAGAGGAACCTTGGATAGACGAGCACTGGGAGGCAGCAACCATAACCCTTTTCTTTCCCTGTTCAATTTTAACATTAGTGCCAAAGAGGGAAAGGCAGGTATTATTCTCTACCTTACTTCTGGCAGCTTCCAGATCCAAAAATCTTAAATCATCCCAAAGATGCAGTGATTATAACACAATCCTTCAACAATTGGACAGGAAGAAAGTTAATGATCAAGGACCCCCGCAAGATTTCATTTTGATAAAAAATAACATCTTATTTGCTGAACTTTTTGTTCCTGCCCATGTGGGAACATAGATCATAAAGTAAATGCCCATCACCACAAAATAGAGTCTACCAGAACTGTATCCAGAAAACTTGAACAGCACTTTCAACTACTTAGGGATTTAGTTTAGGTTTAACAATGTGATTAATATTTCAAACTCAATAGCTCAACCAAAGTACTACTTCGTACCCTGAAGGGGCTCAATAAAATACCCACTGACTCTCTGACTGATGCAATGAATGTATTAAAATAGGAAATGAATCAAAATAAAATCTGCTTCCCCTTTTGTTGTTTAGGGATAGAATTCTAAATAGCTGGACTTTTATCTTGAACAGAGACGGGGGGAACCTGAGTAATACTCAATTTCTAGTTACAGATTATATTCTAATAACCCTGTAGTGCAGCTCAAAACATTTCCTGACTCTTAGGTCCAAACTGCTTTCAGCTCAAACCTGTAAGATGAGGGCACAGATCTATCAGTAAAATTATACTCAGGGAGGCCTCACAGAGTAATCACGAAAGTTTCTGGACCCTTGTTAAATGCCTGATGCTGTGGCCGGCACTAGGCCGACTTAAAGGTAAAGTACACCCCAAACCTCTACTATTTCCTTCAACAAGTGTTAGCATCTTCCTTGGGCCTTAGGAACTGCTCTAAACATTATGGAGACAGAGGCGAATAAAACCACAGGTTGAATGCTCATGGATATAAATTCTAAAAGAAGGTGACAGAAAACTAAATCAGGCACTGATGTTTTATGCATACAATTTAAATTGACCTCCCAAAATCACAGGCAGAGCAGGAAGGCTAATGAGGAACTAACAACCTTTCCCTTTTAGGAGAAACATAAATGTTCAGGTGCTTGGAAATATATATTCAAGTGTTTGAGATAATTTTTTTTCATTCATTCATTACTCCAGTAACAAAAGAGTCTATTATTTGTTAAACCCTGATATATATCTCTGACATAGTAAAAAGGCGTTAAGGTGCTTGTCTTGCATACGGCTGTCCTGGGTTTGATCCCTGGTATCACATATGGTGCCTGAGCACAACCAGGAGTTATCCTTGAGCACAGAACCAGCAACAAACCCTGAACAATAACATAATGTGACCCCAACACATGTTCACCCACCCCGACAAGTCCCCACAAAGAGACCAGTCACTGGCAAGACAACAGAAAATTTTCCAAGGATGGGTGGGGTGACTGACTTTGTTGGCTGACCCTTTTTCTATTATTTTGACTGGGAGTTTGAAGACTATTTAATATCCTCAATCAGAAGGTTCTAGGACAGGATTCCTCCCCCAGGTCTATTTTACTTCACATCCCAAAATAACCGCTCAAGACCAGATTGATGGTCACAAGTGTGGTTACTCCAAATGCCTTATGAATCGTATTACTAATTTCTGGCATTTTATGTTAATCAGAAGTGTTCTGATGCCTCGGCAGGCCCCATGAACAGCCAGTCAGCCAGGCAGCACCTACCATTCATCCCAGATAGAGGAGCAGCAGAAGCCAGTGCGAGTGAAATAAGGCCAAGTTCCGTTCCACTCTCCCCATGATTCAGGGCGTATGAGCTGCCTTACTGAAACAGTATGTTCTGCAGAGGTGACCTGGAACTGATTAGTAACTCTCCAATTATCAAACATCATTTAGAACTTTTTACTTACTTAACCCTAGGCACCTGTGTAAAGGATCGGTACGAAGCTATATTCTCATGAACTGCAAAGCCTCAGGAGTCCTTCCTCTCTGGAGACTTTCAAACTCTATACAACCATATCCTTACACATACCTGTGATAAAGTTAATTTATTTTGGTTTTTGGGCCACACCCAGCAGTGCTCAAGGATCATTCCTGGTGGTGCCTGGGAATATCATATACAATGAGTGGTTGGCTGCACGCAAGGCAAATACTTTACCCCTGCTGTACCATCTCTCCAGCCCAGATCAAGTTCAATTTCCAAATCAGAAACAGTCAGATATTGACAAGTGATAAAACAGAACTATAAATCACAACAGGATGCCATAGTGAAAAATAGGTAGCTGTGTTTCTTCTTCCTCAAAATATCCTCTTGCATGCAGTATTTCTGGAAGGTGGGAATGTGGCTGACAATGAACAGGAACCACAGGAGGCAGAACTGAGAGCAGGAGGGACTTACTGCATTTGTCTTTCACTTTTCCTCACCTCAGTGCTACGATAACAAAATCTGTGTGAATTAGAGGAAAGCTGTGTACATGGCGGGAGAGCTGCAATTAGGACTTCTCCCATCACTGTCTCCAGGGCTATTCTGGGTCTCTGACAGACACAGTCTAGAATGACAGACTGGTTTTAAGCAATACAAAACTTAAAGGTCTCTTTCAAAAATCATATATCAAAGTTCAAAGAATCAAGTAGAAACCATTAAGAAAAAACCACATTCTAATCAAAAGATGAGTCAGGAGCTTTATGTATACTACATGACTTTTCATCAGCAAAATAAAAAAAAAGCTACTGTAGACCATTTGCTAATTAGGCCACTTTATACTATAAAGTGTAATATACTGCTTTTAAGTTGTGGGGTTGAAATTGAATGTTTTTTTTTTCTTTTTGGGTCACACCCAGCGATGCACAGGGGTTACTCCTGGCTCATGAACTCAGGAATTGCTCCTGGCGGTGCTCAGGGGACCATATGGGATGCTGGGAATCAAACCCGGGTTGGCCACGTGCAAGGAAAACGCCCTACCCGCTGCGCTATCGCTCCAGCCCCAGAAATTGAATGTTCTTTAAACAGTAAGTTAAAGAGGTACTAAACAGTTGATCACTGATGAGTGAGTACAGGCCTCACAAGAACATAAGAAAACAGATGTACAGGACCCGAGTCTTCCTTTGGTGCTGGTCAGGGAACCTGGGCTTCAGATACATGAATCATGTACTTCATGACTGAGCAGCATTTTTGGCTCAAATAGAATATTTTTGTTTTGTTTTTGGGCCACACCTGGCAATGTTCAGGGATTACGCCCTGGCTCTGCACTCAATAATCACTCATTTGTTTACTTATTTGGGCTGGAGTGATAGCACAGCAGGTAGGGTGTTTGCCTTGCACACGGGCGGCTGACCCGGCTGACTCAGGTTTGATTCCTCCGCCCCTCTCGGAGAGCCCGGCAAGATACTGAGAGTATCTCGTTTGCATCGCAAAGCCTGGCAAGCTCCCTGTGACGTATTCGATATGCCAAACACAGTAACAAGTGTCACTATGGAGACGTTATTGGGCCCGCTCAAATAAATCGATGAACAACGAGAGGACAGTGACAGTTTACTTATTTATTTTGGTTTTTGGGTCAGACCCACCAGCACTCAGGGGCTGCTCCTGGCTCTGTGCTCAGGGGACACTGCTGGCTGTGCTTGAAACTATATGTGGTGACAGGGATCAAACTTGGCAAGGCAAGTGCTTTAACCTCTATACTTTCTGTTCTGATTCTTTTTTCCCCCCTTAGAAAAGGACCCTCAGACATGTAGAGCATCCATCCAGTGGTGGTTGCACAAAGCAGCCCCCAAAGAGAAAACCGTCAACTTGATTGTTATCATCACTGTTGGCATCATTAACACCACCAAGCTTAAAGCAACTTTCTAGAGTAATTAGAGGCATACGTAAGTAACTATCTAACTATCACATAAAGTAACTGGACCAAGTACAAAAAGTGACAGTGAGAATGTACCATAAGAGGGTACTTGGGGCCCCCAGACAGTTTTGCTGACAGAGTCTTACTTTTGCATCTTTCCACCATACTTCAGCTATCACCAAGGACATTCTTTGAACCTGCCATATTTTTCATTCCTTTATGCTTTTGCACAGTCAATCCTCATTATTATAGTACTTATGTTCCAGAAAGTCAGAAACACTGAATTAGTGAATACTGAAACAGTGCCAAGGGAACTTCTAGACTGGATTTCTGAGAGTGCTTGGCCATGTTTCTATCACGTAGTACAAAGCATTACCTTGTTTTGTGAATGCTTCTGTTTAAAGACATCTCAGTTAATGCATACGATCGAACCACGCTTGAATGATGCTTCCTTAATAAATATATTTCTCTGTAAGGTCTTCATGTACTTAAGAATACCAGAGAGTTCTTCGGCATTTTATCTGGGGGATACTTTAAGCAGTAAAATCACCAACAAAAAGCACCCCCAAAACATAAGGAACACAGCAGAGTATTTTGCAAAAGGAAATTGTGTTCACAGTTTGAGAGCTTAAGCAAGATAGTGGTATCTTGTTTGACTGCAATTGGGAACCCTTGAGTCAGGTCACCCAAAGTTTCTGTCACCTTACACCTGCCGGTGAATGTCTGCGAACTTCTAGAAGAGGGCAGTTTGAGCTGACAAATTTTAGCGAGTAAGTGAATTTATAAATACGGAAACTACAAATGACACAATCAACTATATTAATGTTTTACCTAGAACACCCTTCTCTCTCTCTGGAGAAATCATCTGGCCAACTTTTATCTGGCTTTAGGGCTCAGCTTCAGAACTTTTTCTGTATCCAAGTCCAGGCCTAATTTTACAACAGCTCATGAAAGATTTACTGAAGAAATGGTCTTTAAAGAGGGGGTAGAAGAATGAATATAAACCTCAGAAATTTTATGAAACAGAAAAGTAAATGATATTTTTACCACTTTTTACAGGCAAAATCTACTCTTAATTTATTTCAAACTCCTGGCCCCCATCCTCTTTCAGGCTGCATTCATTTTAATTCACATTGTGATAGGAACAGTTCTTGTTACATGAGAATATATTTTCTTACTATTTAAGCGAGTTTGGCTTGCTTAAAAAAATTGCCATTAAAAGCATTTTAGTTGATAGAGCTACCCTTTAAGATACTCGAACACATTAAATTTTAATTTTATACCTTTTTTGGTTGAAGGCAAATGTACCTTACTCGAACAGACCATCAGAAATAGCAACATTAATTTTAGAAAATCACTTCAAAAGAAAAAGATGAATTCCCTTAAAGTTCTCATTCCTTCCTTCCCCAAGGCCTCTGGACCGTACTGGCATGGAATTCCTCAGCAATAAGTCAGTACTCTCAGTAGGTCCCACCATCTCCACTGGAGCTAAAATAGACAGGGTCTCTGCTTAATCTGTTTTAAACTGGAAGCCCTTAGGCAGAAGTAAACTTTCCTGCAGTCTTTCCCAGGTTACACCTTGCAATGGAAATACCAGTCTGGTCAAGAATGAGCTAATTTGTTTTGTTTCCAGATTCCTGCCTAAAGAGAATTCAGAAACCAAAGCATGTCCCAAAGATTTGGACACCTGTGTGTTCTCTGATACCACATATGCGTCCCGTCACTGTCTCTTCCCATGTGGATTTATAAAATGTGGAAAACTTACTCCGCCTCCTCCCTTTGCAGGACCTTAACTTCACCCCAGAAAGGCAGAGCGCATCATCGCTCTACCTAGAATCCAGGCTCTGTCCCAGTGAGAGATGCTGATTCCCTCAGTGCTTCACTGTGGTCTACTTTCACATGATGGTGTCTCCAGCTAAACCCATTCATTTGTTCCATGAATAGAGGCAAAATCAGTTCATCCTATCCTCTTTGCAAAATAGGAGTAAATACCTGTTTTTCCCTAACTATGGAAAGTCCAAAGATAAATGAAGCAATGTTAACTAGATCCCACAACTCAATTTTTTCATAATTTAAAAAAAGGAAATAGGGGCCAGAGCAATAGCACAGAGGTAGGACACTTGCCCTGTACAAAGCAGACCTGGGCTCAATCCCTGGCAACCCATGTGGTCCCTTGGGTCCGCCAGGAGTAATTCCTGAGCGCGGAACCAGGAGTAAGCCCTGAGCTCCACCAGGTGTGGCCCAAAACCCCAAAACAAACAAATAAGACAGAACCGCATAGAAAGTAAAATATCACGTGGTGTTACAATATGAAGGGTAACACGACAGCTCAAAGATTGGGAAGCTTTAGAAGTATCAGCAAGTGCTATATTCATGCAGTGCTTCCTGCCATCGGCTAATACAGAACTAACTGAAAGCAGATTCACTCTAAAGAAGAACAATTCTTAGTGCTGATGAGGAGGACACATCTGTTTTTAACACTCTGCAGATGTACCATTTATCATTTGTTTATTTTTAATGAACATACCTTTTAAATACAAAAAAACCAGAACAGGGGCTATAGTTATCCAGTGGTGACATAGCACTTTATTCATATAAGAGACCTAATCAAAGTTCTCTGAAAAAAATTCCTTTTTTTCCTATGGTAGAGTCCCTCTTTTGGAACCAGTAATTACCGAGAACTAGATAATTCAGAACTGGAAAAGTTTCTGCTTTAGCCTTCCTTGCTTGGCCAAGGTGTTTAACTCTGCTTCCTTCTTCTAAACTATTGCAGAACAACAATCATTGGCTGTTGATGGCTTCTACTTTTGTTTCAGAATAGTGTATATCACTACACCCTAAGACTGTGTTGTAAGCTCTATTAAACAAAATAAACTCTCTTATCTAATAAAAAGTCAATCCATTTTTCTTGGTTAAATGGCACTCTTTTATTTGACACCTATGCTGCATCTTAGTAAAAGCTGAATTTCCAACTTTCTCTAAATGACAACTAAATTGTTCTTTTGTAGAAAGGGCTAACACTCTAAATATTTGTTAAATGCATAATTATTGCCTGTTTTACTTAAGTTTAGTATGTTGGAATCACTATGTTACTGTTGTCACCGTCCTCCCGTTGTTCACTGATTTGCTCAAGCGGGCCCAGTAACATCTCCATTTTTTTGAGACTTGTTGCTACTGTGTTTGGCAAATTGAAGATGTCACGGGCTTTGCCATGCAGGCGAGATACTCTCAGTAGCTTGCTGGGCTCTCCTAGAGGGGCAGAAGAATCGAACCTGGCTCGGCGGGGCTGGCTGCACGCAAGGCAAACGCCCTACCGCTGTGCTATCGAAACATCTGAATTTCCTATACCTACAAACATTCTAAGCAACCAAAAGTAGACATTCATAGCTTACGCAGATATAAATTCATACTTTCGTTACCTGCTTATTCATTTCTGTGATGTTTATCCAGACTTTATTCAAGCCCAATTCTCCAGACTCAATCTTCTCAAGTTGTTTTTGTTTGCTGATTAATTCTTCATTAAGCTTGGGAATTTCTTGGAATGAGCTCTTTTGATTAGATTCCACTGAAAGCAAAAATGAGAACCATAAACTGCCATAAATTTCCCCCATGGCTCCAAGATGAAAACATGATACCTTACAAAAGAAAGCTAGATTAATAAAACTTAATTTTGGCAAAATAAGGACTGAATTCATTCCTACCAACTCCTTTTTTTTAATGTGAATGTATACTGAAACTCCATTTTAACTGGGGTTACTTTAATATCTTACTTATTATTATTACTACTAGCAACACAGTTGCTTTTTTATATATACACAAGGGAAGGTACAGGGTCCTTTTATATATACATGTACGGAAGGTACAATAAGAAAACACACACTGTTCAGGTGTACCCACCACCGCCTCCTCAGAACATCCCAGGGTTGAGGACAGGAGAAGGGAACAACTATAAATAGACAATAAGTGGGAGGGTTAATGTTCCATGGGGAAAATCTAGACTGGGGAATACACTGCCCAAAGGACAAGCAACCACTTTAGCTCCGGGGCAAAAAAAAAAAGCAAAAAACCTGACTGCACAAGAGAACAAGAGCCACAATTGAGATGCCAGGCATGACACGCTCATGGCTCATGCAGGTACGAGAGCTGGGGTGAATTGGGGAGATAACTAAAGGGAGAGAGCAGAGCTGACTTCCTTCCCTGTGGCGGGTCCAGGGCGCTTAGTTTACATCGTGGAATCAGTGCTGGATGGAGAACCACAGTAGAGGACACTGTGGGTGAGACAGATGCCATGGGCTGGGTTGAAGGCAATGAGACACGTCCTGGAGTCGACAAAAGAGCATGCAGGCAGCCTTGGACTCGATCTGATTCTCATTCACAGGCAAAATGCTGATGTCCTCAAAGTGGTGCCACATGCCATTGTCCCTGTTGCAGGCAAAGATCGTGTAGTGTCCCTCTTGCAGGCCGCCATAATGGTTGGAAATGGCAATGGCAATACTTTTTTACAGTTCGGGGGATTCCGCTTCTTGGTTTGATGACAAAACTGGAGAACTCCAGGTCCCAAAGAGGAAATTCCACGAGGGTGTCCAGTTTCTCTCAAGACAACGTGGAGTAGGAAAGTGCTCCAGGTGGATAATGAGAGTCTCAGGCAGCATCCACAGGTCTGACTTCTTGGTTGCCAGCTGGTGCTTTTAGCATGAGGGGCAGTACCATGGATTTTCCTTCTCCAGGATCTCAGTGGTGGTGAAAAGCTCGATGCACTCCTGCAGCCACACTGGAGCCTTCTTCAGCACGCAGCCCTCTGCCTCCACCTTGTCACAGTAATGCATCTTTATCTCTGGGTCCCAGATGAGATCAATGTATGGCTGGGACTGAAGGAGACACCATGGGTCTCTTCGTTGTATAGCAAACGGTCGCTGGTCCCATTTGAACGAACGGTTTGCAATGTAAACAGAGGCTTGCACCTTGCCCTCTGGGGCCAGTGAGATGGTCCAGGGGAGCTATCCACAGGGACCCGAATCCCACCTGCAACTCCAATATGGGCCCCGCCTGCTCAAGCCAACCCTCCCGGTAGCTGTTAGTAGGCTTGGGCATGCTGCTCTTGTTCTCCATATCTCTCTCATTCCATCATCCTCATCCTCAGAGCTGGGTCTGGTCATGTGGAGCGAAAGGTGGTATAGCATGATGTGCTACAGGGATTCCTAGGAAAGCTGATCTCGGGCTCTGATACCAGAAGTGGGAGAAGTGGGTGTCTAAGAAGCAGCAGGCCATAACTGGAACTGTGGTAGTCTTCAGACGGGGTGTGCTCCCACAAATAGATGGGAAGCACAATGTCCTCTCTAGAATTCTCAGTGGCAGAAGACCGGCCTGATACCTCACATATGAAGATAACATCCTGGTCCAAGATGCCACTCAGTGACTCCCCTTGCTGATAGATCCTACAGAAGTGGTGACTGAAGACATTAGTCACAATCATCCTTTCTGGAGAAATGCCAGTGTTTGGCAAGAGCCAGTGGGCAAAGTATCATCCTTGTTGCAACCTTCCGTGATGATCAACTGCCCAGTCTTGAGTGCTGCCTCAAGCACTGTGACATGTGTGCTGTGCAACCTCTCAAAAGTTCCTGATCCACAACTTGGTCTCGTGGTAAGGGCTCACTTCAAAGTGCTCTTGAGCTTGGCTCAATACAAGTTCAGTAGGATTGGTGAGACTGAATTGAGCAGTGGATATATTGTGCTGCACAGCAGTAGTTGTACTGGGTATACTTTGACTGTCCGGCTGTTGGGCAGTGCTACAACCTTGTGTTCAATGGGCAGTTGGCTATGCTCTGTACCATACCACTTGACAAGGCAATGCCAAGCATCCACTGGGAGCAGCACATGGTCTTTACCTTCCACCAGTCCCTTTCTTAGACACCAATTTATCTGGCCTTCGAAAAGTCCAGCATTATCAATGCAACTAGGGAAATAGCTGAAACCCATGCTTGCCAGACTCTACCTCGTGCCACTGGTTCACTAGGCTTGGCACCACTTCCTCCTTTTCCTCTGAGTCATTGGTTACTGCTGCAGCCAAGACTGGCACCTCAGCCATTGTCGCTCACCTCTCCACAACTCTTTGATATTTTGTTTATTGTGGTACCAGACTGAACCCAGGGCCTCACACCTATAAGGCCTCACACCTTCACAGCTAGCCTATACTGTGCAGCCCCTTAACTGGGGCTATTTCAGTACTGGCAACACAACTTTTAAGGAGACTAAAAATGATAACAAAGGACATCAACAGAAATGGTTGGATTTGAATCTTGACTTGAATTTAGTAATGTGATCTTGAGTAAAATTGTTCAAAAAGTTTAAGTTCAATTTCCTCATTGGTAACACAGAGATAAAAGTACACTTCACAGGATTGTTAGAATTAAGTGAAAGAACGGTGATTAAGTACTAACTCAGTTGATCAGGTGTACAATAAGTGATAAATAAATGCCAAGTATTGACCAGCTCTATGAAGACATTTTTTGGATTAGTCAACAAAGACAAACTTAGTCCTAAATGCTCACAATGAACTGCTAAGCTGTATCTCCAGAAGCTTGTGTTTACTATTTATCTATCTCAAACTGGTCAAATGCAAATGTTGAGTTCTTACTATCTTTCAAGTACTACTATGGGAACTAATATTTTCAATCCTTTTCATAAGCATAATGTTTTTTTTTTTGTTTTGTTTTGGCTTTTTGGGTCATATCTGATGATGCTCTGGGGTTCCTCCTGGCCTTGTGCTCAGGACATACTTCTGGTGGTACTCAGGGGACCATATGGGATGCCATCTGGGTCAGCCACATGCAAGACAAATGTCCTACCTGCTGTACTATTGCTCCTGCCCAGAATGGTGTTTTCTTACATCAACCCAAAAGCTCAAAGTAAGTCAGCAGATACAAAAAATGAAAAGTATACAGTGGTATTTGACCTTTCCTTTGGGAAATAGTATCTCCTGAAAGGTTTAGAGATTTGCCAGCCTGAAGGCAGAGGCCTGAAAAAGAGCTTTCTCTTTTTTAAGAGCATTTCCCCCCTTTCTATATTACTGATCATAAAATATTGATCAAAAATAAAACCTACATTTTTTTTTGAGTCAGAGATTGCATTGTTAACTTTCTTTAAAACCAATAAATAAATAAATTGGCACAAAGGACAAAGCAATCTACTAAAATCTAAGTTCTAAGACATTTCTGGTTCATTTCTGTATGGTCAACACTTATATACCTGGCATATTTCTGGCCATTCATAATGATTCTTGATTGAATGAATCTGGCCTCTGCATACTTTTCAACCATGTCCCTTATCACTTTACCTGCCTCTGCCTTTTACTTCCTAATCACCTAATTAATTTACTTCCTAATGATTTTCCTGACACGCCAACTGCTTTGAGTCTCTGTGACACTGCACCGACTCTTCAGACTATTCTTTCTGCCTAGCTACCTTGGCTGCTCCTTCTTCATCTACCACCTAAGCTGAGCTACTGACTTTCGCGACTTAGCACAAACAGCTGGGCCCCCACCTTGGGGCACTTCTATACTCTTTTCCATTCCAAACTCCTTCACTTACTGTGTGGTCACTATTTACTTATCTCTCTCCTTCATGACTGAGCCGTTTGAGGACAGAGACAAGGTCTGTATGGCCGTGCAGTCCGAGGGTCTAGCAAAGTGCAAGGGACAGAAACAGCACATGCTTGCTGTGTGAAGCACACAGGGTATGGAATGAAGTAATTTCATCCCACTAAGTTAAAAGAAAAATAAAAACCCACTCAACAAACAAACTCGACAACAAAAATGCCCACAAAACTAGGGATTGTGGTAGTACCCCTGCCACAAGCAAGCCGCGACCTGAAAAGTCAGTATTACTAGATTGAAAAATTAGGTATTTTCATTTTAAAAAAAGTACCAATTTCAAAGATAAATTATGAAACACCCTTAACTGTTTTTCGTTTGTTTTGTCACATCTGGCAGAGCTCAGGAATCACTCGCTCCTGGTGGGGCTTGGGTGACCACATGTGGTGCCTGGGATTGAACCTGGGTTGGCTACACGCAAGTCAATTGCCCTACCTGCTGTAACACTGCTCTGACCCCAACATCCTTAAATGATTTTAGCTTATTTTTTTCCCTAACCTTAATTCCATCCCTAAACACTAACCCTGATCCCTCAACCCTCAAGTGTTTATAATGGAACATTTGATTTACAAATGGTGTACCGGAGTATATTCATCTAAAACCAAGAACCCTTTTCCTGCCAAAATTAATGCAGCTAAGTTCACTTTTCTACATTTTCAGTTAGGTTACAAAAAACACATCCTACATGTGTCTGCCATTCTCAGCTACTCAAACATGGCAAGGGGGACATGGAGTCTCTTTTTTGTTGTTTGTGCAAAAAAAAAAAAAATTCCCCCTCTTTTTGGATCACACCTGGCTGTGTTCAAAGTTTACTCCTGGCCGGATCAGGAAGCAATATAGTCATATAGTCAGGCAGGGGATTGATCCCAGTCAACCACATGCCAATTAAGTGTCCTACTAAAGGCACTATCGCTCTAGCCTGTTTGTGCAAATAAAGAAGACAGAAATGGATGAGGAAATAAGATAATCACATAAACAAACTGGATTACAGTGATTAATAAACATATAAAGCTAAAAAAGCCCTTAAAACATTCTGGATCCTGAGGACTAAAACGTATATGCACTATAAGAATTGGGACAATTCAAGGCACTTTGATTACGCAAATAAGGAAGCAAACAAGCAACTTGCATTTACTAATTCATCTCCTTTCAACATAGAAATCAACTCATTTAAAATTTAGTGTATTAACACTAAGAACATATCTAAGATCAAGAAATGGAGGTTCCAGGACTGGAGCAATAGCACAGCGGGTAGGACGTTTGCCTTGCATGCAGCCGACCCGGGTTCGATACCCAGCATCCCATATGGTCCCCTGAGCACCACCAGGGGTAACTCCTGAGTGTAGAGACAGGAGCAATCCCTGTGCATTGTCAGGTGTGACTCAAAAAGCAGAAAAAAAAAAATAAAGAAATGGAGGTTTCTACATACACCCTTCAGACAGAATAACATACTGCCAATAGCAGAATTTTATGCTTATATGCCTTTTTAGTTTCAAAAAAACTTTCAATGTATTAGATTTGTTATTGAGTCCCTGCCATGTGCCAGATTCTATACTCTGAGACTCTAAGGCATATAACAGACCCTGAAGCTCTCAGTCTAGTGGGAAGCACCATTATGGAATTACCATACAGCATGTCAGATGTCAGAACAGAGGAATGCCCAAAGTGCTTTGGTAGCACAAATGCATCTTTATGTTTTATGGGTGGGAAATGAAAGCTCAGAAAGAAAAAGTGACTTGTCCAAGTTTTGTAGCTGATAATGAGCAAGCCATGATTGAAAATCTGCTCCTAGGACCACCACTGTTACTAGATACTCTAGCTGGCACAGACCCTCCAGCCCATGCCTTCGTCAACACATGACCTTTTTTCTGAGAGGGAATAAAGGGGGAAAAGTTTGGGGCTAACTCTGGCTCTGGGCTTAGGGGTAGTTCCTGCAGAGTCTGGGGCATTACACATAGTGCTGGAGATCGAACCAGGGTCCGACTTATGCAAGGCAAGCATCTCAATCCCTGTACTAGTTCTACTGGGCCCCACAAGGCCATTTTAAGTTCTGTACTACAAGACTAAATTGCTACTCTGCCTGTTTGACCACAAAGATGCATGATTTATTAAAGTTTTCCTTCTCTCTCTTCCAAATTCTTTCCTTTCACTCTAGCATTTCAGAGTTGACTGGCAAAGAGAAATGGTGAATAAAAACCTCTGGGCGGAGAGAGTCCAATGGGTAGTACAGTACTGCTTACCTTGCATGCAGTCAACCCGGGTTCGATCCCTGCCATCCCATACTGTCCTCTGAGCCTATCAGTAGTGATGCCTGAGTGCAGAGCCAGGAGTAACCCCAGAGTCACCAAAACAACAACAGCAACAAAAAGAACACAAACTTCCTTAGAGTAACTGTGGACATTATCTCAAGTACCTGGACCTGGAAAAAGAGAACTGATTTCTAGAGTCCCAAGGATAGCCAGTCCCACTGGCTTAAGGATCAGGTTACTCCTTGGCCACAAGGAAAGATACCAAGCCTCTCTGTTTTGCTTTCTATTCCAGATATTTCACTTGTTCTGCCGCCTTTGCACATAAGTGCCTTGGAAAATATATTGAAGTCAAAAACAAGGGAATTTCTAAAACAAAAAAAAAAATAATAAAGCTGGGGAGACCTCATTGGAGTTAGCAACTTCTACTCTCCTCTTACAAAGCGGGGGGGGGGGGGGGGGGGGGGGGATGGCACTACTGGAATATGTTTAAAGTAGAAGAATAAGCGAAATAAAGATTATTTACTTAAACTGAATAAAACTGACCATAGTTATTCAAGATTATGGTTTACACAAAAAGTGATCAAAAATCATTCAGTCTCTGAACAATGCTCTAGGTCCCTGACCTCCCTTGGAAGTCCTGCTTTAGAGGTCACAGGTGATGGTGTTTGCTAACACAGTAAATCAATCAAAGCAAAAATAGTAGATAGGTTGACAGGTCTAAATCTGCTTTATTCATATGGCTAATAAATGTAGTCAAGGTCCCCAGGCAATGTTGCTCAGCAGCAGAAAGTAATCTAGGACGCAATTCCTGGTCTCAGTCTACGAAACAATTCCTAGCATCTGCAGATGGTACTTTCAGGAGTTGGCGCTGACAAGTTAATTGACTGCCAGGCCTGTAACATGCAGACACTTTCGGTATGTATTTCCAAACAAAAAAATGCTCTGAATTTCTTCAAAGGGTGTTCTGTAAACACAGACACAGAAAGGAGTCCCCAGAAAACAAAACTGAGCAATGTCTTGAAACATATAAATAAATAATTGCTAAATATATATATTTATATATATATAATCAAAACAAGGTAGAGGAGGAATCTAGGAAGCCCAAGTAAATACTGAGAGATGATGTGACAGAAAGCTGTTCTGTGTGGTCATTAACAGGTAAATATTATTTCTGACAACCTCATTTATAAGTTTTGATTATTCCCTAAAAAGAACATGTTAAAAACACTTCGTGATACTGGTAAGAACAAGCATTTAGGAAGGAAAATAACCAGAATACAAATGCCATTCTTTTTATGTTGTATTCTGATTGGTAAAACAAATAGGTCAGGTAGAGAATTGTGGCTTGTCCAATCCTATCTCCTCAATCAGAAGAAAATTAAAGTTAGTATTTCTAAGTTTTTTTCAAGGAACATTAGTAGGAATGTCATCAACACATTAACTAAGGATTAACTGTCCTTAAAACAGGTTTAGAACTTAAATAATTGAGGGTAGCAAGAAGTAGGTGTAAAGGTAAGGTAAGATATTGTGATCTCCTACGATGGGAAGGAAACAACTCTATTCCAGATCAAGGACCAGATTTCTAAGAGGTTTAAAAGCTTGGTGATTTGTTTCCTGGTATGATAATTAAGATTCAAATATTTGTGAAGGGTTCAGAATAGTACTGCAGACAGACAGCTTGTCTTGTATGTGGCCGACCAGGGTTCCACACCTGGCACCCTCAGGCCCTTTGGAAGTAACCCTAGAGCAGAGCCAGGAGTAAGCCCTGAGCACTACAAGATGTGGCCCCAACATAACAGGAAATACTGTGAAATTGATTCCTCAGTTTAGAAAATTAATTCTTGAAATCTAGAGCCAAAAATATTAAAAATCATAAGGTGGTAAGAGTAACTTTATTAGAAGAAACATACACAAATCACTACACAATGATCATCTCTAATGAACAATTTCTTTTCCAGGGAACACAGGGGACCACACAGAAATCAGGCTAGGAGGTTGAAATGACTAAATAATATGATCAAGGAAGAGTTCACCTCTCGTAGACAAAATATTCAGGCTCTATATGGGAAAAGTTATGAAAACACACCTTTCAGAAGAAGGACTTTGGACGTGCAAAATAAACCTTTATAATTTAGATAGTCCACAACTTAGAAAAAGCCTCAAGCTTTAAAATTCACTCACGAGACAAATATGTATTTGTGACTTGCACACGGCACTCCATACAAGCTGGCTGTTATTGCTACCCTACCTATTACTATGTTCTCGTCTCAGGAGGAGACCACAGACACTCCCACATTCCTTCTTAAGTGGACTTCCAAGGAGGAAGTTGTGCAGTGTTGATTCTGCCGACAGGTGGAGGGCAACCAAGCTTCTAGAACCTCAAGACACTAGCCTTCCCTTCTGCACCCTAAGCGCTGACAACCACCCCAATAATTTAGATTCTATTTGTCCTGACAGGGCATAAAATAAGCACTGTTTTCTTTGTATGTTTAAAAACAACCATCCATTACCATATTGTAAAGTAAAGTAAGTAAAGGCCCTCCCGTTGATCGTCGATCTGCTCGAGCGGGCCCAGTAACGTCTCCATTGGAGACTTTGTTGTTACTGTGTCTGGCATATCGAATACTCTCGGTAGCTTGCCGGGCTCTCCGAGAGGGGCGGAGGAATCGAACTCGGGTCGGCCATGTTGGCCGCGTGCAAGGCAGACGCCCTACCCGCTGTGCTATCGCTAATGATTATAAAATGTACCAATGCTTCATCAGAGTGGGCAAAGCTCTTTAATTCAGGTTCACTTTCTCCTAAAATCAGGAAAAGAATCCAAGGTCATACTCAGAAAGGCTGACCACTTACTTGTTCTAAATTTTTCCTTGAGAGCATCCAGATCCTCCTTGAGAGCCACTTGCATCCACACCAAGCCAACGCAGGCCACAACACAGGCAGCAAGGATGACAAAAGCACAGAGGGGATAACAGATCTTGCAGCAGCGGACGTAGTCTCCCCTAATCATGAGAACAAATTCAACAGAGAGTACAAAAGTGGTTAGCAGCCCAGGTGTATTGGAAACAGCATCCATGGGTCACTATGCCATGACCTTCCCTAATGTATGAACAGCTGAGTTACCAAGGAACACACACATATTTGCACAGGAGGTTGGAAGTGACTAACTAGAATGACCTAGGAAGAATTCATCTATTAGATACAACAGTCTCAAACTTTATCCAACACAGAGGGAGTTCTGTGGGTTACAGGAAGAACCTGTGAGCACTGAGCTCACTGCAATCACTATCAGCTCAAGTGCAGAAGTAGAAAAGTATAAAGACCGGATCATCTTTCTAATTCTATCACTGTGCTGATCTTTCTTCACCTTTCCATTCCTCTCTCAACACCCACCCAACCTAGAGGAACTTCTCCACTTTTATTGAAATCTCACAATTTTTTTAAAAATGAAATCTCGCAAGTTTTTGAGCAAGTTTTATCTGTGTCTGGCATATCGAATACTCATTTCCCATTTTACCAATGGGAAAAACAGAACTATAAGTTCAAGTGGACACCTGTTACACTCCAGCTTGTCAGTTCAGAGGGAAGAAAACACTGAACGGAGTTAGATTCCCTTGAATAACTTCAACCAGTATTCAAGATTTTCAACTAAGCCAACAGGGTAGCATTTCGTGTCAACTATTTCAGCTCTTCAGGACTGCCCTCACTACCTAACTCATCAGAAACCAAACTCTTCCTTTAAGAAAACATTTGAGGGGGCTGGAGCAATAGCACAGCGGGTAGGGCGTTTGCCTTGCACGCGGCCGACCCAGGTTTGATTCCCAGCATCCCATATGGTCCCCTGAGCCCTGCCAGGAGTGATTCCTGAGTGCATGAACCAGGAGTAACCCCTGTGCATCGCTGGGTGTGACCCAAAAAAAGCAAAAAAAAAAAAAAAAAAAAAAAGAAAACATTTGAGGGGCTGGAGCAATAGCACAGCGGGTAGGGCATTTCCCTTGCATGAGGCCAACCCGGGTTCGATTCCCAGCATCCCATATGGTCCCCTATGCACCTCCAGGGGTGATTTCTGAGTGCAGAGCCAGGAGTAACCCCTGTGCATGGCTGGGTGTGACCCAAAAAGTAGAAAAAAAACAAACATTTGAGACAAAACCCAAAAACCTCAGGATTCCATCATAGCAGTCAATCTCTGCCTAGCCCTTGTTTCTGTGCTCGGAATATTATTTTATTGTGATTCCAGGGTACCTCCATATTTCTTTCAGACATGTCCCCCAAACTCACTACTACACATGTCAAGAGGCTGCCCCACTGGGAGGAGGGGGACTGTCTCCTTTTTGATGGTCTCCTTAGCCACTTTCAGTACTGAGGGGTGAGGTGGTGTGGTATGTGATGTCTGGAACCTAGGCCAGAGCTCAGGGACGCACTTCCTCCCCCTAAGCTTATTAGCCCAGCTCCGCCTCCTTTGTTTGTTTTCTTCTGGTGCCTGGATTGAAACCCAGAGCCACACACCGCACAGGCAAGGCTAGCATCCTACCACTGAGCTATCTATACCCCTGGCTATATACTCCTTTCTTGTACGCCTCTCCACCTGCTGTCAAGGTTGACAGCTCTATAATTCATGTTTCCCAGACACCGAAATTCAGACTCAGGCTTCCTGTCTCTCTCATTTTATCTGCTGTCGGTGAACGGATCCAGGGTTTCACACACGCAGGCACGTGGTCTACTACCGAGTCCCACCCTGGACCCTGCCCAAGTCTTCAGAGCTGCTCTGCTCTGGTGTCCCTGCGCTGGTGTCTTTGCTACTCCCGGGCTGGTACGGCAGGAACTTGGAAAGGGCGCGGGCACGGTGCCCAAGTCACTGAACTCTTCCTCGCACTTCAGAAGCCGATTCCGGGCCAGAGCGCCGTGGACAGGGCGCTTGCCTCGCATGCGGCCAAACAGGACTCGACTCCTGGCACCCATTCTGATGCCCCCGCCCGCCGGGAGTCATTCCCCAGCGCGGAACTAGGGCGACCCCTGAGCACCGCCGCGCGCGGCCCCAACGCAAAGCACCGCGGAAACCAGCCCCCACAGGGCTCTCGGCTCAGGACCCTCATCTCCTCCGGCGGGCACTTCCCTCTGCCGGCGGGTCCCGCACTCGCTCGCCCGAGGCTCCCTCGCTCCCACCCCAAGGAGGGTCTCCCCGGCCCGCCCGCCCCCCCACGCCCGACTCACTTGGCGAAGCCGGGGCGGCTCCCGACGACCCCGAACCCTTCCTCCTCCTCGGAGCTGGACTCGGAGTCGGAGTCGGGCGGCTCGGTGCGCAGCAGGCGGTGGCCGGAGCCCCGCTTGGGCTTCTTCCTCCGGCTCTCCCCGGCCAGGCCGATCAGCGCGTTCAGCTCTTTGCGCTTCTTCATCTTCTTGTGCGGCGTGAGCGGGGCCCCCGCGCCCGGGTCGCCGGGCTCGCACCCAACGCCCAGCTCTCTCCCGGTCCTGGGGCTGCCCGCCAGGGTGGAACCTCCGGGCAGAGCCCCCGGCCACGCCCACCGGGTGGGACCGACCAGACCCGCCGAGCCGGGGCCGGGGCCCGAGGACGCCGAACGCGGACGGAGGCGGCGGTCGCGCAGCCGCGCCGCGCTGGGGCCGGAGGCTCCGGACCCGGGCGCCGAGTCAGGGGCGCGGGAGGCCGCCGCGGGGCATCCTGCAGGGCCGCCCCGGCGGGGGGGCGCTGCTCCGAAGGGGTCCGGGCGCCGGGGGGGGCGCGCGGCGGCGGCTTCCGGGCGGGACGCTCGCCGGAGCGCGGAACGGGGCTCCCGAACGGGCGCCGAGGCGCGCGGGGCGGGGGCGCGGGGCGCCGCAGGAGACCCGGGCCCAGTCCGACCCGAGGGGACGCCGGCCCTGGGGACCGCCGACGCCGGCCCGGGTGTCAGGGCGGCCCGGGGGCGAGGGGTCGCGCTCGACGCGGCCCACCCGAGGCGCTCACGCGCGCCGCCTCCGCCCCCGCCGCGACGCCGGCCCCCGCCGCGGCTGCAGTCGCGGCTGCTCGAGACGCGCTGGCGGCGGCAGCGGCGGCCGCAGGTCCCACGCCCGGGCCATCGCTCCGGCCCGGCTCACTTCCCTTTTGGCAGGGCCGCCGCGCCGCCTGCCAGCAACGCGAGCGCCGGTTGGCCGCGGCCCGTGACGTCACGCCCGGCGCTCCCGGGGCGCGGAGGCGGGGCGCGGAAGGCGCCGGGCTCCCGCGAGGGTCGGGCCCGCCCACCGCCCGAGGCTCCGCCCCCGGGCGGGCAGCCGGACGCGTGACGCCCTCCGGAGTCCGGGCGGAAGCGTCTTGCCGGCCGCGCGGCGGCGGGCCGGGGCGGCTGTGGGCTCCGCGAGCGGCGGGGCGGTTGGGAGCTGGACCCAGCCGGCCCCGGAGCCCCGCCCCTCTGACGCGCGGGCTCTGCGCGCCCAGGTCGGGTGCGTAGCAGGGCGGTGACCTGGGTGACACGCACTCGCTCGGAAGGTGTTTCCGAGAGCTCGCCGCCTGTCAGACGCGGTTCTGGCACGCGCGATACAGCGACTGTGTCGCAGAATCGCACAGTGCCCGCCTCCCTGAGCGGAGGAAGAGGATTGCTTAAAGCACGTTACGCAAATTAGAGCCCAGCGTGTGAACTTCGGATGAACTTATTTTTGGTGTTGGGGTGCCGCTGAGGCATTCCAGCGTGCTACTCCAGTCACTCCTGGTCACGCTGAGGGGACTGTGTCCTGTCTGAGTCACTTATGCAGCGCGCTTGCACGCAAAACCTAGCTCCAGACCATTGGACACAGTCTGAACTATTTTTCTTTTTAAAAAATGTGTTCCCCCCCCCCAAAAAAAATGTGTCCAGTGCAGCATTTAGGACATTATACTGAAAACTCGTTTAATCTGAATCTCAAATTTAATTGGAGTATTCCTGCCATTTATATTCTAATGGCAAAAAGCAACAACAGGCTAATCTATTAAATGGCAGGCAGTGATGAGTATTGAGAAGAAAATTTAGGGTTTGAGGAATAGGTCAACTGGCTGAGCATATGCTTTGCAATGGGGAGAGGAGTGCCAGACTTTGATCTCCAGCACTACTCTATCTGATCAGCACCTGCGCAAGCCCAGAGATTGAGGTGGGGGCAGCCTTTCCTCCACCCCATGTTGCTGGGTGTGGCCCCCCAAACAAAAAGGAAAGAGGAAAATTGAAACATAAGAAGATAGCAGTGACCCATGCTAGGGGAAAAGGCAGCTCAGATAGAGAAGGGAGCACCAAATAAAGGGTGTTGGGAGGATCCTCCCAAGATGGGAGAAGCTTGCTGAAAGTAGACTATAGACCAAACATGATTGCCACTCAATGCCTCTCTTGCAAACTACAACACCCAAATGGAGAGAGAGAACAAAAAGAAATGCCCTGCCACAGAGGCAGGGGGGGGATGGGGGTGGGAGGGGTACTGGGATCAGTGGTGGTGGAGAATGGGCACTGATGAAGGGATGGGTACTCGATCATTGTATAACTGAAACCCAAGCACAGAAATTTGTAACTGTACAAATCTACAACTGTACCTCATGGTGTTTCACTAATAAAATTTAAAAAAAAAAGAAGATAGCAGTGACCTTGTGATAAGGAGATGGTTGGTAAGAGACTGGTACAGTGGGCAAGGCACTTGCCTTCCACATGGCTGACCAGAATTTGGTAACAAGTATCCAAGCTGGACCAGGGATTAGCAGCAGAGCCTAGAGTAAACCCTGAGCACAGTTGGGTGTGGCCCCAAAACCAAACAAAGAGGGTTCCTGACCTTGAGGAAGGACTGGCCTGGCGACCTGATGTGGCTGGACCTACAGAGCAGAGAGGAAAAAACACAGGAAATGGAGCCAGAGCTTGTCAGACCTTCTGGTTCACAGTGAAGACTTTGGGAAACCATTGGTGCTTTCTTCCATCAGAGGAGGCATTTTCTGGGTTGGATGCTTAAAAGATCAGTGACAGTATGAAAAAGAGAATGGGAGACACAGGCCAGGGCTGGGGAGCTGGTGGTGTTGGAACATTTATGTATGAAACCCTATCATTAACAATATCGTAACTCATGGTGCCTAAAATTCTTACTGTAGCCTGAGAGATAATGCAGCAGATAGGGCGCTTTCCTTGCACACGGCCAGCTGACCCGGGTTTGATCTCCAGCACCCCAGATGGTCCCCTAAGCCCTGCCAGGAATGATCCCTGAGCACAGAGCCAGGAGTAAACCTTGAGCATAACAAAACAAAAATGAGAAAGAGAGAGATAGAGAAAAAGATAAAGAGGAGAGAGAGAAAGGGAGAAAAGGGAGAGAGAGAGAGAGAGAGAGAGAGAGAGAACTTGCCATTGATAGATTAAGGTTGCAGTGGCAGGGATGCCGAGTGTTCTTGTCGCTTCTTCAGATAGCACTAACAGAGTTTGTTTACAGTTTAGCTGAAAAGTGGAAGGAATAAAAAGTGATGGTTGAAGAAGAGAGAGAGAACAAAAGGGAATGCCCTGCCACAGAGGCAGGGGGGGATGGGGTGGATGGGGGGGTGGGAGGGATACTGGGATCCGTGGTGGTGGGAAATGGGCACTGGTGGAGGGATGGGTATTTGATCATTGTATAAATGAAACCCAAGCACAAAAATTTGTAAGTCTACAACTGTACCTCATGATGTCTTGATCACGATCACGACCATCCTGTTGTTCGTTGATTGCCTCGAACAGGCCCCAGTAACGTCTCCTTCGTCCTAGTCCTGAGATTTTTTTAAAAAGTGCCATATTCAAGGCTCTTTCAGGGTTAGGAGAATGAGACCCATCATTGTTACTGATATTTGGCATATTGGGTATGCCACGGGGAGTTTGCCAGACTCTGCCATGTGGGCAGGTTACATTCGGTAGCCTGCCAGGTTGTCCAATGTAAGAATGAGATAATAGGATGTCGCACGGCCGAAAATGCGGCTGCGTGCTTCTGGGAGCTGGGTTTTATAGTCTCTGGGTCTTGGCCATTGATGGGATTACACGTCGCCAGGGGGCCAGTTGGTGAGTGTCACCCCTGCCTACTGGAATATGGAGGATCTGGGTGGAGGATGCTCAGCCCCGATCCAAGTAGGCTTGGAGATCTCATCCCCGGGACCCGCATGCCTTTGTTCCTCTGCCGGTACCTTCATGCGTGTGGAGAGTGGTCTCAGCATGGTGGTGGCTGGTTCTGGAGGTCTTCGGCTGCTGGAGCCCTGGTCGGGGCGGGGAGGGAAACTCAACCCGCTCCCCTCCAAGGGGCCCCGGCGAGGACAGCCAGGCGTGGGGGCAGGAGATGTCTCACTAATAAAAATAAAAAATAAATAAATAAATAAATAAATAAAAGAATTTTCTGCAACCTAAGTAAACTTTTTCTAACTGAAATAAAATTTGCCAGACATGCTGAAAAAATCACCCTGAAATACTATTACTGTCTAATTACTTCAGTTTGAAAGATGATTACTTGCATTTAATCCATGACATGAAAGCAATATCTTGTTTGCTCATTATCATTGGGGTCTTTTCAATATGTAAGCTCTAGGAAACAAAAACATAAACCATCAAAAAAAAAGTGATGGTTGTCTTCTGGGAAAGAGGACTGACTGCCATTTACAGAGATGTGGCAGAACATGTTTGGGGCAAGTGTGAGAAGCCAACCAGTATTCAGATGGGCTGTTTACTATCACACTTTGGGCAGAGTTTGGGGGCTAGATTACACACACACACACACACACACACACACACACACACACACACACAATTATGTAGCACTGTAGCAATGTCCTCCCATTGTTCATTGATTTGCTTGAGTGGACCAGTAACGTTGTGAGACTTGTTGTTACTGTGTTTGGCATATCGAATACATTATGGGTAGTTTGCCAGGCTTTGCCGTGCAGGCGAGATACTCTCGGTAGCTTGCCGGTCTCTCCGAGAGGGGCGGAGGAATCAAACTCAGGTTGGCCTGATCTGCTGCATGCAAGGCAAACGCCCTACCCACTGTGCTCTGTAAATATATATATGTATATATATATTTATATGCCACCAGGTGTGTCTATCTATTTATCTAAGTCATCAGGCATAGATGACATTTAAAGTGAAGTGCTTTGAGTCTCTTAGAAGAAAGTCACTTAAACTAATTTTGCTACCACATCCATATTAGGACTATTATGCTGTCTATTTCTAGAGAAATGGCTTGATTGTATCTTATTTGTCTTTTTGTATAGCCCAGAAGTAAGCTCCTAATGCAGCAAAGATGTGATGACTACGTAAGTGGGCCACTTTATGTAGACGTTTAATGGAGTTTTAAAATCAAGAGACATGGGATTAAATGCTGCATCCAAGGAAAGCTATTTAAAGTCTCTGAGCTACAGTTTTCCCATTTGAAACATGGATAAACATCTATTAAAGGGACAGACAAATGATAAGATGCTGATGAAA